GCTTATTAAAAGAAAGGGAATCATAGGAAAAGCAGGCAGAAACTGTGTGATCCAAGTTACTCACAGGATCTACAGTTGGAAGATTGGAAAGTCTCCTCCTTTTCCTGCTTGGGCCTGGTGTAGAAACAGAATGGTGCCCGTCATCAAAGTCCCCACTGACACTACTGGAAGGGGAGGTCGCTCTTCTTCTTTTGGAACCCATGGAATCCAACTTCTTCTATAAGAAATAATCAGCCATGTTCTTATATTTAGACTCTGCCACCAAGCCCTCAGCTGGCTACCTGATACAAAGCTTCTGTTTCACTAAGGAAGATATTTCAACTGTGGCAAAGAAGCTTGACTAACTGGAAGGTATTTTTTTAATGGAAGTCCTGGACCATGTTGCTTTAGTCCCTACATTTACGAGAGTGCTACACTTTCAACTTGAATGGAACAAATTCAGCAAAAATGTACCCATTTATATATCACCAATTTTGAATGACTCAAACCAGTTCTGGCCCCCAAATTACCCAGGAATGGAATTTGTAAACCATTATGCAGTGGTACAACACTGTTCTGCAGGTATTGATCCCTTGGCCCCTGAGGCAGCCGGGCAGGACTTGTGGACAGAGGACCCAAGGCAATCACCTCTGGAGTCAGTAGCCTTATGTTTTCCCCAGTGTGTCTTACAATTACAATCATTTTCCAGGTAGGCCATGAAGTGAAAAAGAGTAGGAAGCTGTGCCTGAGGCAAATGAGTAGTGCAAACTATTAAGGGGACAGAGGACAATTAACCTAGCATTTTAAATGCACCCTAAAATTAACACACTGAGAATGGCTTCTCTCCATTCATTAAAGAAGGTCCCACAAGACATACCCTTGGAAAACACTTGATGTGACTTGCCATACCTATGCCAAAGTAACAAAGCCGTGCTTTGAAACTGTTCTGTCAATCCAGACTAACCTCCTTTTCAGTTATATGAGGTACTCAATCCCTGTAAATTTTGAAATCATAGCTTTAAGTTTCAGTAGATGATCTGGAAGAGCACCTCAGAGGTGAGTGTTTAGGTCCTGCTTGGCCTTTCAGAAATGCATAAATGTGCCCTCTGTTTCAGGCAGGCTGCTAAGTAACTAATCTTAACACAAATTTACAAATGTGTACATGTTTTACTATAATACAAGAAATGTAATCACTGAAATGATCTGCTACAACTAGAGAGGAAGTGTGTTTACTGGGAAAGTTCTACAATGCTTATACAATTTAAAATAGCATGTTGTGATTTCAAAGGTCTTTCCCTAAAGCTAAAAAAACTGATCCCAGTTTACATTTAATTTCAGGAAACTAACACATTACAGCTGAAAGAATGGGTTGCCAGTATATGGAGAGAAAAATTGGGGCTCTCCAGGGAATGAGAGCAGGATTACAATAAACCAACAAATAAATGAACCTGGTAAGAAACTAAGAAACAAGAGGAGTCTCCTATTTCTTCCTTCAACAGTCCACATGGTATTTGAAAACACAGCCCATCAAGATGTTTCTTCCTCTAGCCTTTGGTTTGTTACAACATACAGTAGTTTGTAATTGGCTACAACTGGCTAAAAGCTCAAAAGGCTTAGGCCAAGGATAGCCAAGTTTTGTTGATTTTTGTTTGTTTTATAAAAGGCTGATATACTGTCCTCAATCATTAAGATGAAGAAACTAAGGACCAACCCTTTGTAAACTAACCTATGACAAGGACACAAGTGAATTTGATAAACACGAGAGACTCTTTATGGAAAGGATAACAAAATTTAAGAAAGGTGAAAGGGAAAAGGCAAGGAAGGACAGAAAAGGTTAAGGGTATAGATGATCAGTAATTTACCAGCTTTACCAGAGCACAACCAGCGCCTCGAAAAGCCAGTCTCCTCATTATGTCTGAAGGCCAAGTGAAGCCAGTGGGAGAAGGCAGGGCTTTAAAAGTGCTGACTCAGTGTTAATATATTCAAAACTGAAAGAGAAGAACAAGAGAGAGAAAGGGGAAATAAAAAAGAAGGGTCAGAAGTAAAAATGGGTACGAATAGATAGAAAACATTCAAGTAGAACTACTAAGAAAAGATAAGAGAATTGGAGAAAATAGGCATATTAGTTTTCTTGTGCCAATGAAACTAACTGCTACAAAGGCTCAGGCATTAATAATACCTGACATTTCTTCCATTTTAAAACCAAAAGCTTTTCATGTGCTTAAAGATGTCTCACTGATGTTCCCCTTTACTCACATGGAATGACTGTCAATTCCAGGAATGAAGCATGCCTGCCAAATGCCCCCTAGTCAGTGAGAGCAGAGTTCAATCACAGAGCTGGAATGGAGAGTGAACACATGTGGAAGGCTCACATGTGACACCAAGTGTTGGCAAGCTAGAACAAACCAAGAACGGCTCATGTGAGCAAAGAGTATGAAAAACTCCTCTTCCCCCCAACATTTCTTTCCAAAAGTCCTATCAGCATTGGGAAGACACCACATACAATTTAGAGAGCCTTCTATCATTTTGGCAGGAGGTCAAAATTACTTTTACAAACAATCCACTGACAATCAAATGACAAAAAATGTTAATCATTGGGGGGAGGTACACAGACTATTCAATATCCAAAATTCCTTAAATCATTAATTTACCTTAATAAGACAAGAAAAAGATGCAACAATAATTTCTTATCCAAAGGACAAATTTTATAATGTATTTTGGAAGTTTGGCATGAAAAGCAATGTGGGCAGGTGGGTGGGAGGAGCAACAGGACCTGAGACCCAGTTTTTCCACCTTTAAATATTTGTTTGATGTTGCCTGAGTCACAACCTCTCAGGTGTTTCTTCATTTCTAAAATGAGAACAGTCAACTACACATACCTCCCTTGGATTGTTGTGACAGTGAAATATACATGAAATCATTTTGAAATTTCAAAGCACAACAAAAATGTTAAGTTTCAACCCTAGAACTGCATGCTCCCTGGGCACAGGAGTAGCATGTTACTCATTTTGTAGCCTTGGCTTATAGAATAATATTTGGTATAGTTTGGGTGATCAACTTATGTTTATTATAAATGTATTAAAAGAGCACTTAAGTGAAACATTTAAAAAAGTTTGTGTGATTTAAAAAGACTTGTGAGCATCCCTAGGGCAATTCTTTTTCCACAGAGAGGAAAATAGATTCTAAAGCTGAATTACAAGTTTTAAAATGGCATTGATTATGGTCACATGCCCAAAATTTTGACAACCAATAATTAATTACAGTAAAAAATAACTGTAACTTATAACTGGGAAAATATTTACTCAGTACAGCCAACTGGTATAATTTGACAGTCAATAAGTTTTTAGTACTCTCCTGTATTTCTAGTGATACTCAATACTGTAACACATGCTTAAAACAAAAACTGTGGAAAACATGATTCAAAGGGGAAAAATATCACTTATAATCCTACTTTCCAGAGAAAAACCACCCTTAACATTGGCTTTCACAGCTTTCAATATTTATTCTATACCATTTTTTAGATAATAAAAGCTTTAGTAAAATATGTATTATTTTGCAGTGTGTTTTAACTTAGGGAAGATTCTTCCAAGTCAACATTCTTCCACATGTTTGATGGCTTAATTGTCTAACATAGAGATATACCACAAATCTTGGGGATTTCAGTAGCATATTAATATTTGAGGTATTCTGGACACTTCCCAAGCCAAAGAATGTGGTTCAAGACCCTTCAATTTATCCACACACATATTTGTTACAGTTTTAATTTGAAACACTTCAAAAGATCATTTCCAATTTTCCTTTGAATCTTAAAATACGAGCAAGCTGTTAAGTAATAAAGCAAAAATTATACTACTCTCTTATAACTGTATTGAGTTCACTTTGCTTCTGACTGATACCTGGGAAAGAGTGAACTTCTAAAGGGCGGGACCTAAACATCATTTTTGAGGAGACCTAGTTTAAAGTAAGTTAACAAAAATGTTTTACTCCAATATGTCTCTGTAGTTATCATTTCTAGTATTCATCATACTGTTTGTCACTTTTTTTTCAGGATTTCTTTGACATTTTGCCAATCTTCCTTCCTCTCAAGTCACCAGAATCTACCCTGTAATAACAAAACTATGCTTCTCAATGGATAAACATTAAAAACCAGAAACGTAGTTTAAAAACCTCGATTCTTTGTAGTGTTGCAAATAAAAAACTTAAATACCTGGCGTCTACTATAAATACAAGTCCCACTGGTAAAACCACTCGGTCTGAACAGTGACCCGGAAAGTGTAAAAAAAAATCACTATTAAAGTTTGTGTCGGAACCATCAAGAAACAACAAAAAAGAAGGCCCTGACCTGCTTTCCCGACCTGTCACTGGTACCGGGGCACTAAGGGAAACGCTGACAGCTTTGGAGCTGTACGCGACGAGCAGTAGGCCAGCCGCCCAGGGCGGGAAAGAAGGGCGCGGGGAGCTTCCGGGCCGCGGCGCGCCTTTGTCCCGGCCGACAGGTGCCGCACGGCGGCCGGGCCCGTCCCGAAGCCCGCCGTGCCCCGCCCCGCGCGCCTGGCCTGACCGGCGCATCTCCACAGCCGGGGCGGGGCCTCCGTCGCTGCTCCCGCCCGCTCGGGCCCACACAAAGGCCCGAGAGCCGGCCGAAGAGGAGCGGCCCCGCCCGCCCCAGGCCCGGCCTTACCCAGCCGCTCCGCCGCCTGCAGCCCCGGCCGCGGTCCCCGACCGCCGCGCCCCGCCCCGTGGCCGCCACGGCTGCTGCTATTGCTCCTCCGGCCGCGACCGCTGCCGTCGCTCCTCACCCGCCGCCCTCACCGCCCTCACCCCTCCCGGTGCCGCCGCAAAACCAGTCCTGGGGCCGCCAAGCGATCCCGGCTCCGCGCGACACTGCGTGCCCGCGCACGCGGGGCAGCGGCGGCGCGCTTTACGGCGGCAGCGTGAGTGCGTGACGCTCGCCGGTGGCCTCGGTTCACACGTGGTGCGGGTGGAGGCATCTTGTAGCTACTGCGCTCGCCGACCCTGCTGTTCCCAGCGCCGATATGAAGCGGCCGAGTGAGTGCTGTCTCGGGACGGGCGTGGAGGGGCCTCTGTTTCTGATGGTCGATGAGCCCATCAGGGTTCTCTTCTGGGGCTTGGTCCCTGAAGGAACGAGGGCTTGTGGGTACCTGTCAGCCATCGTTCTGGTCCGGCGTAGAACGAGAGTTGAAAGGCCCCATGTTAACCGCAAGCCCATGGTGCAGGAGGGTTGCGTCCCAAAGGTCGGAATCAGGCCAGAATCTCGTGAGGAAACAGCGTCTGAGCCGGGTTTAGGGCCTCTTTTCCTTATTCGGCCGCGTTCAGCCCGGCCCCAGTGAAGTATGAGGGTCACCTCTCAAACTCCTCACCTTTTGCTCCTACCTGTGATTCTTGGTTGACAAGAAGTGGTTGTCGTCTTGGGTCTCCTACACTCTTCGTAGAAGTCCAGTCTGATATGGGAAGAGTGGGAGAGGGAAGAATGATTCTCAATCTATTGAGTTCTCTGGAATTTGATAGTGGCATGTGTGTTTTCACTATGTGTCTCCACGTGATTTTTTTTTTTTTTTTTTATCCTCACCGAGGACATTTTTTGCCATTTTTTGTTCAGATAGAGTGGGAAGGAGAGAGAGAAAAAAAAAAAAACATCCACGTGAAAGGGACACATCAAGTGGTTGCCACCCACACGACCCAACTAGGGCTGGGGACAAACTGCAACCCAGGAATGCGCCCTTCTTGGGAACCGAACCCCGGTCTCTCTGGAACGCAGGCTGATGCTCTAACCACTGAGCCAAACTGGCCAGGGCTCCACGTGATTCTTAAATTAAGTTTGAAAGCTTATTAATTACACAGAAAGGGACCTGACCCAGAGCACAGTCACCAAGAACAAGAAAAAAATTGATCCTTTGTGTCTAATGTTTTTGTGATGTGTTTCTTTGTAGAGTTAAAGAAAGCAAGTAAACGCATGACCTGCCATAAGCGGTATAAAATCCAAAAAAAGGTAAGATTTTATGCTTGGGAGGGCTATACCAAATATAGTGTTAAACTGACTTCTGCTCCACCTCTTCTCCAGGAGAAGGTTTGGATTACTATGATTCATCTCAGGAAATGATGGTTGGATAAACTGACCATGGCACAATTTAAAAAAAAAAATTTTTTTTTATCCTCACCCGAGGATATTTTTGTACTTATCTTTAGATAGAGCTGGAGAGAGGAGGGAAGAGAGAGAGAGAAACATCGATGTGAGAGAGACACATCGACTGGTTGCCACCCACAGGACCCCAACCTGGACGGGGACAAACTGCGACCAAGTAACATGCCCTTAGCAGAAACCAAACCCAGGACTCTCTGGTCTACAGGCCGACACTCTAACCGCTGAGCCAAACCAGCCAGGGCACCATTTTTCTTAATTCTAATTTTTATATATTGAGAGAGGAAGTGAGAGAGACACATCGATTTGTTGTTCCAGTTATTTATGCGTTCATTGGTTGGTTCTTCTGTGTGTCCTGACCAGGGATTGATCCCACAACCGTGGTGTATCTGGATGACACTAACCAACTGAGCTACCCCACCAGGGTAGCCCAACCTTGTAGGCATCAAGAGTGCAGCTGTGGGAAAGTGCAATAATTCAGTGATAAAGTCTATAATCTTTTATCAACGTATTAACAGCCTTTGCAAAAAGAATCTTCCAGTGACTTTTTCTTGCTGTTTTATACATGAGTGTCTCTCTGTATGATTACAATTAAAATTCCATTTTTCTAAGTCATTTTACAGGTGTAACTAAACTGCAGCCAGATTGGTTTCTCACAAGAATTGTTTAGTATTTTTGTAAACTGATAAATAATATCCTTTTTATCATGATAGGTTCGAGAGCACCATCGAAAATTGAGGAAGGAGGCTAAGAAATGGGGTCGCAAGAAACCTAGGAAAGATCCAGGAGTTCCAAACAGTGCTCCCTTTAAGGAGGATCTTCTTCGGGAAGCTGAACTAAGGAAACAGCGGGTAATTTTCAAGAAGTGATGTGTGTGTTTTTTGTTTGTTTGTTTTTTTAAGTAAAGTAACACCACCATGTGACTTTGGCTCACCCATTTCTCTTATGGCTTGGACACAGCTTGAAGAACTAAAACAGCAGCAGAAACTTGACAGGCAGAAGGAACAGGAAAAGAAAAGAAAACTTGAAATTAACCCTGGTGTTGAGCCATCTAACATGGAACCTGTAAAGGAGGTACAATTAAGTCTCTGTGAACAAGCGATGAGTTCTAATGTAGAAGAAAAAGCACATAAACAGGACATCAGTTGCTATGCCTTTTTGGAAGGAAATGATTGAGTTCAGGCTGTCTTAACTATTTATTTTTTGTATTTTTTTTTTCTTTATTGATTTGAGAGAGAGAGGAAAGGAGAGAGATAGAAACATTGATGAGAGAGAACATCAGTTGGCTGCCTCTTACATGCCCCCCACTGGGGATCAGGCCCACAACCTGGGCATGTGCCCTGACTGGGAATTGAACCAGCCACCTCTTGGTGCACGGGTCGACGCTCAACCACTGAGCCACACCAGCCAGGCCTGTCTTACCTATTTAAATATCAACTGCAGTACCCCTAATCAGCATGAAAAATGGAGAAACTGGCTACAACTGCTGAATTTCTAATTTTGTGTTATTTTTTCTTTGTCATTATCCTTTAGGAATCTGGGCAATGCAAAACCAAACTGGGCAAACAGAATCCAAAGAAGTTATATTGTCAAGAACTTAAAAAGGTATCTTAGATTTCTAAAAATGGTATTGAGGTTTAAAAGACTAGAGTCGCTTCTTTTTTGTGACACCAACCTTGTAAAGATGAAGTCGAGTTCACTTGAGCTGGAAGGAGCCATTCGTGAGAGCTGAAGCAAGTTCGTTTATCCTATTCAGAGCCATTCTGTTATGTTTAGTTGAAGAAAATATTCTTGTGGTTTTAATTTTTTGCCAGTGTTAAAGTAACATGTTGACACAGTGGGGTTGACACAGGGTTTTGAAAGTGCAAAATACATTAAAATAAGAGTCTCTAAAGTACTTTGTAGCTCAAGAGGATGTCTTGGTGGCGTTGCTCCCCAGCACTTCCACCCCCAACACCTGTTTTCCCAAGCTTGCTCTCCCCTGTGAATAGAGCTTGACCATGCTTCGTAGCCACTCTTGGCAGAGCCACAAAAACTTATCTAACCACCTTATTCACAGTGGGAGGATGCTATATTCAGACAATGGGGGTGTTCAAACTTTTGAAATCTGTGTTAATGAGAGGCCAGAGGCTACTGAGCACACCTATGTTAACTTTCCTGTGAGAAATGATGAGCATGAACATTCTTCATACCAAAGTGAAGAAATGAGATCCAACTCTGAGCTCACCCTGTGGGAAAGTGGATAATGCCAGTATATGTGTGTGGAGGATGTTCCCAGATAGTTCCCTAATTGTTTCTACCTTGACAGGTGATTGAAGCCTCAGATGTTGTGCTGGAAGTGTTGGATGCCAGAGATCCTCTTGGTTGCAGGTGTCCCCAGGTGGAAGAGGCCATTGTGCAGGGTGGACAGAAAAAGCTGGTACTTGTATTAAATAAATCAGGTGAGCAAAGGAGATGCCATTTGTGTTTCATGTGCACTACTGAGGTATGAGGAAAGCATCTGAACAGTCTGATTATCACTGAAGACTGATAAGATCCAACTCTGACCTCAACAAAGCCAGTGCATTTGCTCTCTTGTTGCCAAAGACAGTGCTCGGCAGAGGGATGGAGGTATTAATACAAGTGATTTGACTGGTCTTTGCTTATTTATTGTTCATTCACTACTTAGCACCTTCTTATTCAAGAGTGTAAGCTTCTGTATTCTTGCAGTATATTTCATGTAGGAAGTGATGAGTGTGTCATGTTCTCCACACCTGCACAGGGTTGTTCTGACAATATTTGGTTGAAGTCTACAGTTAAATATGTCTGGGTTTGAGCAGCAGGAACGGGAAAACCCAGAATAGAAACCTGTGAAGTAGAGAATAGTAATGGAATCTACAATTATAGTGTGGTCAGTAAACGTAGCTGCTACTTGACAGTAAATTCTGTAAGTAAAGCCTTAGGATTAATAGGATAATCTAGAAGTTGAGTTAATCCTGAAAGGGTGAACAGTACAGAGGAGAATTGAAAAATACAGAGGTGTACATACTGAACGCTAAAAACTGGGAAAAGGCAAACCAGGGTTATCCATAGTTTATCAAATTTGCGATTTCATCTCAACAAAACGAACAAATTGGAACATGTGTGTCTTACTTCTAATCCCTATCAGATTTGGTACCAAAGGAAAATTTAGAGAACTGGCTAAATTATTTGAAGAAGGAATTGCCGACAGTTGTATTCAGAGCTTCAACAAATCTGAAGGACAAAAGGAAGATAATCAAGGTAACCTTTACTGTCACTGGTGGGAAGTGTTCTGTTTTTCAGATTTTGGATGGCTGAAATATGATGAGTATACAAAGTCTTGATTTCAAAATGAGAACATATAAGATCCAACTCTGATTTCATCCAGAGATAATCTGAAAGGCAGTAGAGTGTGGTGATTTTAGCAGCTGGTCTTTGGAGTCAGATTTTTGAGTTTGATATGGTGGGTTGTCAGAAGTAGTTAAACTAATTATTTGCAATTTTAATATGAAGATGAGGAGGAAAACTCCATTGAAAAGTGAAGTCTGCATTGGGAAAGAAGGCCTTTGGAAACTTCTTGGAGGTTTTCAAGAGACTTACGGCAAAGCTATTCAGGTTGGAGTAATTGGTAAGTTTCAGTTCAACACATTTCTTGTCTTAATCTCTTACATGCCAAGAATTTTTCTGTGAAGAGTGTTTGGGGTTGGGCAGCTGGTGTGGCTCAGTGGTTGAGCATCAGCCCATGCACCAAGAGTTCACCGGTTCTATTCCCGGTCAGGGCACATGTCCAGGTTGTGGGCCCAATCCCCAGTGGAGGGCATGCAAGAGGTGGCCAGTTGATGTTCTTTCTCATCAATGTTTCTGTCTCTCCCTCACTTGCTCACTCTCTAATCAATAAAGGGAAAAACAATTAACAAAAAAAGAGTGAAGAGTGTTTGGGGTTGTTGCTAAATAAAGGATTTGTTTAAACACTAACTTCTTGCCTACCTTACCAAACACACACACACACACACACACACACACAGAGTAAACACATTTTTACGTAATTGCTAATTTTTTCCCCCCAACTGGGCACAGTAGGGAGTTGGCTTCTTAAAGCTGTGTGTATTTGAATTAATTGCATTTTCCTGCCCTCTCATTATTTGTGTAAGAAATGAGGATACTAAGATTGGTCTTAGTGTTAAAGTAAAGACACTCAGATCCAACTCTGATCTTGCTCTAAACATCAGACAAAATAAAACAGTGGAAATGTTATAATTACCAATACAGTACCTTTTAATCTGTGGGTTTACCATTTTGTAGGTTTCCCAAATGTGGGGAAAAGCAGCATCATCAATAGCTTAAAACAAGAACAGATATGTAATGTCGGTGTATCCATGGGGCTTACAAGGTAAACTGAGTTATTCCATAATTGTAATATTTCATTTTTGGTGAATAAATATGATTTTGTTTTGGGTATCTTAAGGAAGATAATTTTTCATTCTTTTCTTTAGAGGTGTTAGTGAAAGGAAAAGGTTAAGCCAGTGCTAGGCTTGGGGAAGAATTGGAACAGGTGGTTTGAAAGACAAGTACTATAAACAAATAGATTCAGAGAAGGGGGAAAGCTCCCTCAGAGGAAGTGATGCTTGAACTTGGCCTTGAAATGAAGTCGGCTAGACAGGAGAAGGGGGTATATTTATGGCAGAGGAAGCAGCATGTGTTCAGGTCAATATGTAAGTTATAACATACAGTGTTTCTCTTTAGAAGGGAAGGGAGCACTGTATGGTTTTAGATAAACATGAAGCAAATGATGATAAACTGGATCTGACGGACTATGCTGAGTTTGTTCAATCCAACCCTGAGCTTCAAGTTCTGTTTCTTGTCCTCCGGGTAAACTAGTACCCACATCAATTACCATCTCTTGTTCTAGGAACATGCAGGTTGTCCCCCTGAGCAAACACATCACAATCATAGATAGTCCAAGTTTCATTGTGTCTCCACTCAACTCTCCCACTGCACTTGCTCTGAGAAGTCCAGCAAGTATTGAAGTTCTAAAACCAGTGGAGGCTGCCAGTGCCATCCTGTCCCAGGCTGACACTCGACAGGTAAAAAAAAACCCTTCCCTTGAGTGCCATTCTCGCTTTCATTGTGAGTATTTTAAGTAGAACATTTTCAGGTATTTTTAATAACAGCATTATATCCGGTGAATTACTGTTTTTCTTTTCAGGTAATACTGAAATTCACTGTTCCAGACTTTAAGAACTCTTTAGAATTTTTTACTTTGCTTGCTCAGAGAAGAGGACTGCACCAAAAAGGTGGAAGCCCAAATGTAGACGGTGCTGCCAAACTGCTGTGGTCTGAGTGGACAGGGTAAGGTTTCTTTCTGTTGGCATTTGATGACCATATAGACTAAAGGAACTGATATTTGACAGATCTTGTTTTAATACCAGTGGCTCTTTAGGCTACTATTGCCATCCCCCTACATTCTGGACTCTTTCTCCACATTTTAATGAAAACACTGTGACAGACATGAAATGGGGCTTTAATCTGGAAGAACTGGAAAAGAACAATGCACACAGCATACAAAGTAAGCAAGGCTTCTGTTTGACTGCTGTCTTCATCAGCTGACAGGTCAATAAAGATCTCATCTCTTTACATGTGCTGTGTTCCTTTCCTAGCCATCAGGGGCCCTCGTTTAGCCTGTAGCATCCTTTTCCAGTCCTCGGGTCTGACGAATGGAATAATAGAGGAAAGGGACATACCTGAATTGCCAAAACAGAAAGAGAACAAGCAGGAAGAAGGGGAGGACTATGAAGACATTGACAGTGACCAGGATAGTGTTGATGAAGATGATGGTGTAAGTATATTGTCTGTGAGTTGTTTAAGCTGAATTAATTTTTCCAGTATCATAATGTACAATAAATGAGAAGGGGCCAAAGGTAGAAATTAAATATTTCATAATAGACTACAAAAAAGCTCCCCATAGCCCTGGCTGGTTTGGCTCAGCGGTTAGGGTGTCAGCTTTTGGACCAGAGTCACAGTTTCAATTCTGGTCAAGGGCAGGTACCTTGGTTGCAGTACCCCGGCCCTAGTTGGGGTTGTGTGGGAGACAACCATTGTGTCTTTCTAACACAGATCTCTCTCTCCCCACCCTTCTTTCACCCTCTCTCCCTCCCACTCCATCTGAAGAGGAATGTCCTTGGGTGAGGATTTCAAAAACAAAAACAAAAACATATCATTTAGGTCTTTTAAGTCTTCCAGCCACTAGTCTCACTTTTATTCATTCCATATGTGTATTCAGAGACTTTTTCCAGGTACACAATTATTTGGATTAATGAGCAGACACAAGAGCTAGTAATATAGCACTGTTTCTCTTTGTCCCACAGGAAAAGAGCTTAGACATGTCCTCTGCAAACGAGACCTGTGACGCATTGCTTGATGAGTCTCAAGCAGGTGAGTTGGGTTAGAGGGGTTTTTAACAAATCAGAATTGCTACTACTGAAAAAAAATAATAATGAGCCCTGGCCAGTTTGGCTCAGCGGTTAGAGCGTCAGCCTGTGGTCCAGAGAGACCCAGGTTTGGTTCCTGCTTAAGGGTGCGTGCCTCTGCTGCAGTTTGTCCCCGGCCCTGGTTGGTCATGCGGGTGTCAGCCACTTGATGTGTCCCTTTCATGTCGATGTTCTCTCCCCCCCCCCCCCCCACTCTATCTGAACAAAAAATGGAAGAATGTCCTCGGGTGAGGATAAAAATAAATTAATTAAATAATAATAATAATGACCTTGCCTAGCCAATGTGGCTCAGTGGACTGAGCATCGTTCCATGGACTGAGAGGTCCTGATTCAATTCTCAGTCAGGACATATGCCCCTGTTGTGGCCTCAATCCCCAGTGTGAGGCGTGTAGGAGGAAGCTCATCGATGTTTTTCTCTCACATCACTGTTTCTATCTCTTTCTGCAAAAAATTAATAAAAACATTTGAAAAATAATAACCTTTCTTTTCTCCAATATAGATGAACAGTGTGCACAATCTTATGTCTTGGATGGAATGTCTAAAGAGGAAGATGATGCTTACGACTTCAGTACAGACTATGTATAACATAACTTTGTCCTCCTAGGGGTTTTTGGTTGCTGTGATTTATTTTTTTTATATTTTGAACAGACTGCTAAGCTATTCTATGTGTGTGATGTACCAGTTTGTTTCTGGTATGACATAAGCTGTATAAAATTTGTAAATATGTATCATGATATATTCATTTAAAAAATGAGGCAATGGCCCTGGGCCATGGCCAGTTTGCCTTAGCGGTTAGAGCGTTGGCCTGAGAACCAAAGAGTCTAGGGTTTAATTCCAGTCAAGGGTAGATACCTCGGTTGTAGTTCGATCCCTGGCCCTGATTAGGGTTGTGCAGGAGGCAACCAATTGATGTGTCTCTCTCCCTCCCTCCCATTCTGTCTGAAAATCAATGGAAAAATACCCTTGTGTGAGGATTTTTAAAAAGCAGGCAACCTATAAAGTGTCTGAATTCCATAAAGACAACTCATCTCTTATACACTGAATGGATGGAAGTACATTTATTAACCTGGATGCAAAAAATAAGATACCTACTGAAAAATGTAGGTTTCACTTTATTTATAGATCAGGCCACAGGTTACAAATTTAGAACTAAGCAGCAGTGTTGAACTAGCCATACCAGCCATATTAGTCCATTCACCTCTGGTCATTCAGCACTGTAGTAAGCAAACGCTTGGTAAGGCAGATGGAGACGTGGAGTCTATCAGAGAGGCTGACTGCCAGAGAGTGCCATTTGTCCTCTACCCAGTTGAAATGTCCCGTTTTCCATGGGTTGCCACAACTGTTACTTTTTATACATACTATCTTCTGGGATTTCCTGAGAAGTACTTATAGCATAAATTATATTTTACTTTATATTTGAGATTTCCATATGTCTTCGGATTAGGCTGAATTTGCCTGTTGGGTCAGGAATATACCATTTTTCCCAAACATCAGTATATGAAGCAGTTCTTCCCCATGGCTTAAAGTGCCCATTCCAATGGAGTAATTTGGCAGCTTTTACAAACTGGGGTGAATATCGTTTCCCAGCACTGGAGCCTTACGTTGAGAGAAAAAGAGCCAAATGATTATACTAGTCAGACACAAGACAATGCCACATCAAACTGAAGAAAACTTAAAGGGAATGATCCATCCCTGAAGATAGTCCTTTATATACTTAATTCTTTATTAGCTTAGACTTTCTGCTAATTATTTCTACTTACCAAGGTGGCGAACATTCCACATCGGGTCAATGGTGGAGTGCTGTTGATAAAATACGATCAACAGAGGAGGTGTTGTGATGCTGCCAGCCAGTGTTCTGCTATACAGTCCCTCTCTTGGGGCAAATAACAAATGTAAGCTGTTAGTGAAGAGTCAATGAATTCTTGTCGAATTACAGCTAGAGCAGTTTTATACTTACTCTACATTGAGTTTCATCCATTTCTCCAGCTGGTTAGTTATATTCTGTCTTTTCCATTCTGTCAGGTTTGCAACAAAAACACCAGGATTAAATGAGCAGGTGCTGGCTTTCATGGAAAGCTTACGGATTCTTTCCTTTTTATAGTCAAGATATCCAATGTAATTGTACTAAAAACACAAATAGGATATATAGTATGTTTACAGCTTCACAAAGAATAGATACATACAACCATGCACTGCTTCAATAAAAATATGTTCTGAGAAATACATTGTTGGGCAATTTCATTATGCAAATATTATAGCATGCACTTAACACAAACCTAGATGAGGTAGTCTACTACATACCTAGGCTGTATATATAGCCTAATGCTCCCAGGCTTCAAGCCTATACAGAATGTTACCATACAAAAAAAAAAAAAACAGTACAAGATTAAATCAAGCATGAGAGGTCTGGCTGGTGTGGCTCAGTGGTTGAGTGTCAACCCATGCACCAAGAGGTTGCCAGTTCGATTCCCAATCAGGACACATGCTCAGGTTGTGGGCCTGATCTCCAGTGTGGGGCATGCAGGAGGCAGCCAATCGATGTTCTCTCTCATCAGTGTTTCTATCTCTCTCACTTCCTCTCTCTCTAAAGGTTAAAAAAAAATCAAGCATGAGAGAACGTGATGCAATCAAAAGATGCCAGTGTGGCTTGGTTGGGCATTGTTCTGAGCACAGAAAGGTTGCCAGGGATTTCAGGCTAGGTCTCTGGTAGGAGACATGCAGGAGCCAATTCATATTCTACTTTCACATTCAATGTTTCTTCCCTTCCTGTCACTCTCAAACTTAATTAAAATATTTAAAAAATTTAAAAAACAGTCAACATGAGATGTATGAGCCTGCTGTGGGTATAAAGGCATACTCTTTTATAGCAAGCTTTATTAAGTTTTAGAGAAAAAAATATCCATGTGAAGTGTAGATGTGCTGCATGTCCCTGAAGGGGGATGGAGCCTACAACGTGGCTCTGGCCAGGGAATCAAACAGGCAACCTTTTGGTGCATAGGACAATGGCCAACCAACTGAGCCACACCAGCCGGGGCAGCAAAATTTTTGTAAGCAGAGTATGATGATAAATAGTAATAGTATACAAATCAGTAATACAGTTTATTAAGTATTAGGTAAGTACTGTTCATAATTATATATGTACATGGTAGGTTTGTTTATATCAGCATCACCATGAGTAATTGTGCTTTGACATTACGATGACTACTAGCTCACTAGGCAATAGCAATTTTTTTTTTTTATCCTCACCCAAGGACATTTTTCCATTTTTTGTTCAGATAGAGTGGGAGGGAGAGAGAGGAAGAGAGAGAAACATCCACATGAAAGGGACACATCAAGTGGCTGCCTCCTGCATGACCCAACCAGGGCTGAGGACAGGCTGCAACCACGGTACATGCCCTTAGCGGAAACTGAACCCAGGCCTCTCTGGACCACAGGCCAACACTCTAACTGCTGAGCCAAACCAGCCAGGGCGGCAATAGCAACTTTTCAACTCTGTTTTAATCTTATGGGACCAGCAGTGGATATGTGCAAGTTATGTATTACATGTCTATAATTTGACAGCCAGTAAAGAGAAGAGCTGCTTATTAAAAACAATGACTTCTCAGATTATTAGCAAAGGGTTCTACATATAAAGCAAATAAAAGTGACATTTGGGATTCCAAGTTAGGCAGAACAGGAAACTAGAAACATTAAGTCAGATGTTCAAAGAGAATTAGGTTGTTAAGGCCATGAACCAATCTATAGGAAAACAGTCTTGAGTTTTCAGACAAAATAGTTGGGAAATGTAAACTGCCACAACAAAAAGAAGTCCCTGATTTTGCTGTCTCTCCCCCATTGAACTGCTTTATAGGGAGTGGAGTGTCTACAAGGGCTCTAACAAGTAATTTACCTGGTTCCCTGCTCCACGTATGACAACTTTAGTAGAGACTGAATCACAATCTTCTGAAAATGCAGCTGCATGTCCTGGCTTCAGTGGTGTATTGTAGAGGGCAAGAATATCACCTGAAATAGATAACGTATAAAATTTACATTTCAAATTGCCTCAAGATCCCCTATTCCTCCCATTTCCTAGGGTGACCTTTTATAGGATACCACAAAAACAACCACTACAGCCCACACTGGACAGAAGAGCACTAATGAGTGACATTCTTTGGTACCTTGTACAATTACGTCATCATCCATATATATGGCCTTCTTTGCTCTGGGAACCAGAATAGGCAAGTAGAACCTTGCAAAGGTTAACTGGGAAAGAAAAGGAGAGTCATTGCCATAGGATTCACCAAGGGCTGTGTGCACATTTTACTTACTATAAACTCCCAGAATGTTCTCAGTACCCATGCAGAAGATACCCAAAGGTCACTTAGAATTGCCCAGGCTTGGTCCCAGGAAATTACTTGCACTCTACTCAGTTACTCACATATTCAGTCATTTCCTAATACTCTTCATATATAAGAATGTATGGAACTCACTGGTTTAATGGATTCCCCCTGGTCAGGATCCTCCTCTTTTACTTTCCCTTCCAAAAGTTTAGTGTCAAAATTCACAAGTTTGTACCTGATGCTTTTCAGAGTACTGCTGCTGAGCCAAGACCTATTAAAAATAAAATGCCAAAATTTCAGTTTTAAATAATCACATCCCCAAACCATAGCCTTATCTTTTTGTGCCTTCCGAAGAGACCAAATAAGTGTTTTCAAGCCTCTTCACTTTTCTGAGCCTTGGTTTCCACATTTGAAGAGAGTTTTCCCACCAAAGTCCCTCCCTGAGCCAAGATTCTATTGTAACAGATAGTGCCCCCACCAGGCTCACACTTTTTGAAACTAAACTTGCAGAACTCATCACGGAATTGAGAATATCCAATTGCCACATGGACCAAACAGATGGGTGAAATACATGGGTCAACACAGGACGGTAGTGAAAGCTGGTAAGCAGTTAACCTACAGACATTAATTCACTGTGATACTAAATTCTCCCACCTGAGTCTAATGTACTGACGATAAGAAAAGTTAAGTATTCCCTAAAGTACTGCACATTTTTCCTAGGTCCATTTTAATTCTGCATTTTGTGGGCACTGTTATTTGTGTAGTCTATTTGTTTCTACATTATTTTAGATGGTTTCTGAGTTTTTAAAATATGGAAAAACAGCCCAGATGGTGTGGCTCAGTGGTTGAGCATCGACCCATGCACCAAGAGGTCGCCAGTTTGATTCCCAGTCAGGGCATGTGCCCATGTTGTGGGCCCAGTCCCCAGTAGGGGACATGCAGGAGGCGGCTAATCGATGTTGATGTTTCTCTCTCTCCCTCTCCCTTTCTCTCTGAAGTCAATAAAGGAAAAAAAAATAAGTAAAATATGGAAAAACATTAACTTTCACAAAACATGAAACATGGAGAAGTTGAATTTGGCTGAGCCTTGCTTGCACAGTAGTCCCCACGGACTGGGCCCCAGGCTGCCTTGGCTAATTGCCTTTTGTAGGACAGGGAAGCCAAGGGCAGCATCTCCAGCCTATGGCATGGCCACCCACAAAGATAGGATGTGTTTATCCAACCCAACAGCCAGGCTCTGATGATGCCCAGGCCGAAGGTGGCACACCACCTGTTTTCCCCTTGCTGCCCCGGGGATGCAGAAGCTGCTGGGTAATTCCACCACACAAGTACGAAGTCGGCTGTTGTTGAGTCCTCGGTCTCACTCAAAATCCCTTTGTTCTGCTCTTGTAGGCTCCCTGACCTGTTCCCCCAATGATGACTCTCAGTCTCACCTTGATCTTCAGGCCCCCAGGGACTGCTGCCCTCATGTCTCCACTGATGAATAAGTGGTCTATGTCACTGAGAAGACAGGTCATGAAGCATGAAGTCCTTCAACTTACATCTGAAATCCCTTTACCTTCCCTGTTTCTGTCTCACATGCTGCCACCTGTGATTTTAAATACCCTAGTCTTGAGGAGGCCCTCACTTCGTCCAAAGGTTCGCTGGGTTCTGTCTTCCATCAAGTATCCACTGTATCTGCATTTAATATCAATCATTTCACTCACGGCCGAATCTCCTGCCATCTCCACGTGGCCCCAATGGGAAATGAAATCCACAATTCCTGATTCATTCCTCATGTTAATGGAAGTGTGTGGCTTCTCATGTGCCTTCTTAAAGCCCCTCCTCCCGTGACTGCTGTGATGACACATTTTTAGTCCTAGGGTGGGACATCAGGGTTTATCTTTGACCCTCATTTCTTCTCGCTCTCTCCGCCTCCTCTCCTTCACTGCATATATCGACATTCAAGATTACACATACCATCTATAAGCTGATAATTACAAACCGGTTTACCAATCCTGGGCCTCAGCTGACAAGTAGAGATCTGTACTATCTTGCAGAACGTATACGTCAATAAAGTAAACCAACCTCCTCCCACTAAAATAGGGTTTTTTAGTGTGTGTGTGTAATTTGTTTCGATTTTTTTTCTTTATTGATTTTAGAGAGAGAAATGGAAGCACCGATAAGAGAGAACATCGACTGGCCACCTCCTGCATGCCCCTCACTGGGAATCGGGCCTACAACCTGATTGTGTGTCCTGACTGGGAATTGAACCAGTGACCTCTCGGTGCAGAATCAGCACTCAACTACAGCCACACCCAGCCGGGCTTGTAATCTGTTTTAGTTCATTACACTAGCTTCGATAAAACTGCCCAAAGTCAAAACTTAAGAATAACATTTTATTTTTTCACATGAATTATTCCCATACTTATGACCAATTAATATCAAATCCCATTGACTTAATCTCATTCATTCTAAAAAACAAAACAAAACGAAACATGGAGAAAGCCACAAGGACAGAAATGTTTTAGAACTTTGACAACTATTAATTTATTAGACAAGATGTTTCTTGGAATAAACTTTGTAAACCTTAGTTCAAAGCATTTTCAAAGTATGGATAAGACTGTCCCTCAGACTGGGTTTCCATTGTTAATCACTATAATGGTAAAAACCACTTACTGAATGATTGTGTACTAGGTGTTATTTTTAAAATATATTTTCTCATTTACTTGACATAATAATCCTCTACATTGGATATTTTCACCCCATATTTATAGATGAGGTCTCCAAAGGATTAGGTAATATTCCCCAATCACTCTGGGCCAGAATTTGTATCAGTGTCTGTGCTCACTTCACTACACTACCTTGCCATTGCTCCCACATCCCCTCCCACTCTAGACCAGAACTACTCAGAGCATGCTCATGAGATAAGAAACTTGTAACAGGATGTAAATCAACATACTGCTTCCTTCATTGAGAAAATTTATTACTAAAAAAATACCAGCTTGAGTTCACAATGTACATAGTGACACAGTTGATTTACATCTTAGCATAAGTTCCTTACACCATTTCTGCCATGGGGACATGCTTATGATACAATCACATGGAAACACGTCATGTGCAGTTTATATGTGATATAATCTCAATTATATAGAGAAAATATATACTTATAGAGCATCCTATAGAAGAATCATCAGGCAAGCAGAGCTCACCGGAGATGGTCTGCTGTATGATTGAGCGTTACAATGTAGAAAATGACATTGGAGCGAGTGTTGTGCTGAATGCTGTTTATGGCTGCAATGGTCCCCCCGAGCCTATCTTCAGATGCAGCAATGACCACAGGAATCTCCTCTTGTCTCCCATCTACTGCATGACGGGGAACATTTGGGATAAAGTCTATGGGCTGAAGCCCCACAATTCCTGAATCTGCAAAGAACACAAGAAAGGTACTGTGATACAAACACAATCTCATGAGGTACTGGTAGAGAGCACAAGACATGAAAAGAGGTGAGGATTCTGATGCTTATTTACCTCATTGTTCCCCATTACAATGTGAAGTGTACAACCTAGAAATTGTGTTTTCATGTATGTAACCAGGCTTTTGGAAAAGCAGAAGCAGCACTAAAAAAATAGGTTGACAAAATTCTGATACACAACTGATGGAAATAGAATCCTTCTAGTAATTTTTGGCAATTTGTATTAAGAGCCTTAAACCAGGTACATGGCCTTTGACCCAGTAATTCCTCTTGCCTCCCAAAGACAAAATCTGAGAGGTAGTCAGAAGCCACAATTTTATTTACAATTGTGAAAACCTAGAAACAAAACATTTTCAGACCATGAGTCATAGCCCATAAATAGGCATGAAATCAATTTAGTGGGTCATGGATCAGATTTTGAGTAGAAAAACAGTTTCTGAACTGTAACAGAACATCGAATGAGAAAATGAGTGTATTCCACACAGCAACTGCAGGTATTGTTTTGTAAACCTTCCTTTTTGCCTTTTATAATATATCCATTCATTTACTCAATCATTCGTTGAACACTGAGTACCTACTATGTGCCAGGCAGTATCTATGCATTGAGGTTACAGCCCTGAATAAAACAGACAAATCTCTACCATCATGAAAGGCAGATAGTCGGCACACACACATATATGTGTGTATGTGTGCTGTATGTAATACATTTTTTGTTTTGTTAATCTAATTGGAGGATACTATTTTCCATTGATTTTTAGAGACAGTGGAAGCGTGGGAGAGAGAAGCATCGATGTGTCTCACACTGACTGGTTGCCTCCTGTATGCACCTGGACCATGGCCAGGGATAGAACCTGCAGCCTAGGTACGTGCCCTTGATCAGGAATCAAACCCGAGACCCTTCGGTGCATTGAAGTAAACAAAAAGCCCTCATGGAGCTTGAGTGCTATTTTCTTTTTTATAAAAGTTCCCACCAGGAGCAAATACTACTTTATGTACATACAGGGATTGGCAAAATTAGGTTTACAGTTTGTATGGAAAATAATACAATAATACTAGAATAAACTCTGTCTCATATACTCAAAACTGTAACCCTACTTTTGCCTACCCATACGTATATGTATATGTATAAATACACACACATGGCCCAGGTCGGTATAGCTCAGCGGTAAGAGCTTGGCCCGCAGACCAGAGTCCCGGGTTCGATTCTGGCCAAGGGCAGTAAAAAATAAATAAATAAATACACACATGTGTATACACATTGTTATAAAACATGCTGTCAGAGCCCTCAGGAAAAAGCTATTCGTTTTTTCTTGCTCTGGTTAACTATGGTATGTAGCAATCCAAAAATGATTTTTAACAAACACTCTGAAGCCTCAAACATCCCTCAACACTAAGGCAGAGCAGTAAGTTAAAGTATCTAGTAATGGAATTGTATAATAAAGTGATTTTTAAATCAGTTGACAAACTATGGTTTTTTTTGTTTTACTACTGGAGTCGTGTTGATACAGTTCCACAGGTTTCTGGAAAGTAACAGGTGAAGGAAAATAATCGGACTGACACTCTAGTGAACACAGCTGGCATCAAATACCAATGACACTCAACTGTCCCCACCTTCTGAAGCCCTGCTCTGCTGAAATGTGAGCAAACAGCAGCAGCCCACAGAGGCTCCTCTCTGGCCTCTGATTTGGTGAAGGATCTTCTGTCAGATCAAACCCTTAGCAAAGAACTGCACAGAAGGGAGAAGAAAGAGGTGGGAAGGGAAAGCTGCAAGAACACAGCAAGTACCACCATGCCTTTTCCCAGAGCCTTTAAAAGCTTTTGTAAGGCCAAGAAAAAAGGTTTCTTTTCTTTTAACCTATTGATATAACTCAGAATGTGAGACATAGAACTCCAGGTCCCCAACAGATGCCAAGGGTTCCCATACCTGAAACCTCATTCCTTAGCAAACTGCTCAGGCCGAGGAAGTTATGGTGCAAAACCAGTAAGAAGAAAACAACAGCCAAGACCAGGATGATGATGTTTACTGAAACACAGAGGGGAAAGCCTGCATTATATCTCTTTACCTTTTGACCAGGAATAATAACATAACTTGTAGAAATAGCATACCTTTACGGAATGACATCTTTCTCTTCTGTCTTACATAAATATTAGTTATTAATCCTACAAAACAAAAAAGGCCCCCAAAGTCAGTAGGTACATAAGAATGGTCATCAAAATGCCTAAACACTTTTATTCAGGTAGAAACAAGAAGTGCATATGTTCTGCTAGAAATTCATTTTGGTACATGTCCCTAGTGGGAACCGAACCTGGGACACTCTGGCCCGCAGGCCGATGCTCCAACCAATGAGCCAAACCGGCCAGGGATAGAAACTCATTTTGAATTAACAGTTTCCAATAACCCAATTTGGGACCAGAAATTTTTATGGTAGTAATAATAAATATTTCCAAGTAACTTGGAAAAATAAGACAACCTTGTACATTATATGCCTCTCGATGAAAAGCAAAAGAAATTCTACCAAGAGAACTACCTGCGGTTGTGGTCTAAGAACTATGGAAAGTATAGTATGAACTTCTACTTAAAATTCCATTAGCCTTGGCTGGTTTGGCTCAGCAGTTAGAGCATCGGCCTGCGGTCCAGAAAGACCCGGGTTCGGTTCCCGCTAAGGGCACGTACCTCAGTTGCAGTTTGTCCCCGGCCTGGTTGGGTCATGCAGGAGGCAGCTACTCGATGAGTCCCTTTCACGTCAGTGTTTCTTTCTCTCTCTCTCTCCTTCCCACTCTATCTGAACAAAAAATGAAAAAATGTCCTTGGGTGAGGATAAAAAAAAAAAAATTCTTCAGCTTGCTGTCTGTGATCAAGGGAAGGGAAATTAGACAGGGACTCAGCTTGCTGTCTGTGATCAAGTAACCTGAGGTCAGCCTCACTGGTACAAAACATCCCTGTTCTGAGTTGTATCTCATTCACCTTTAATTGAAATTAAAGAAAAGGGGAGAAAAAAAAAACATTTTCCACATTCATTTAAAACAATTGCAGGGGGGAAAAAACACTACAGCAGAGAAGCATAACAAAAATTCACAAAATTCAATTTTGCTATGAAAAGTTTAGCATGAAGCCCTGTTTGATGTGGTTCAATTGGTTGAGTGTCTGTCGTCCCATGTACTGGGAGGCTGCAGGTTCAATTCCAGGTCAGGGCACATGCCTGCGTTACAGGCTCCATCCCTAGTAGAGGACATGCAGGAAGCAGTCAATCAATGTGTCTCGCTCTCTCATTGATATTACCCTCCCTCTCTCTCTAAATTCAATAAAAACGTATTTTTTCAAAAAAGATTTCCCAATGACCTGAGAACCATCCCTTTGGGGGAAAAAAAGTTTAGAGTGCAAGAAAAACAACAACAAAAGTTCAGAATGCTATTCTCAAAAAATTAAAATCTGCTAAAAGAAAAAATTAGCTGCTTCCCTGCAGCTTATGCTCCCCCAGTTCATCTTATGCCTTCACTCTTTCAAAACAAATAACTCAACAGAAACAAGACTGTAAGTGGCACTAAATTTTTTGTTGTTGTTAATCCTCACCCCAAAAATATTTTCCATTGATTTTTAGAAAAGAGTGGAAGAGAGGGAGAAAGAGAAACAATGATGCAAGAAAGATATATCAACTGGTTGCTTCCCACACGCCAGGGATCAAACCTGCAACCCACATACACTCCCTTGACTAGCAATCTAACCCTCGATCCTTTGGTTTGAAGGCCAAAGCTCTAACTGCTGAGCCAAACCGGCCAAAGTGGTGGTACTAAATTAAATGGTTAGATTTATACAACAATTTAGGTAATTCTTCCTCAAAAACAGATTTTAAACAACCAGGATACTATGATCCTACATCTGAGACTTTTACCCTTTTCTATTTCATCTTCTCCCATGAGAGTACCTAACATTTACAAAAGGGTATTAATTTTACAAAGGATTTTTGAATATAGCATACTTCTAAAGTCAAAGTAAGTCTGAACTAATTACACCTTAACAAAGTGTGTGCGTATCAGGCACTTTTATTTCTCAGGCCTTTGAAAACAGGAGAAATATACTGAAAGACTTTAAAAAACTGGGGAATCACAGGCCAGATTACAAATTTGGGAGAAAATAATTCAGGCTCCCCAAGAAAAATCTAAAATACTCTTTGTGTCTCTCCTTTCTTTCTAGAGCAGTATATATAAAGTACATTATATCAATGAACTTCCTCTCTAAAAAATATACATTACACCCGGCCAGTGTGGCTCAATGGATTGAGCACTGTCCCATGGACTGAGAGGTCCCAATTCGATTCCAGGTCAGGGCACATACCCAGGTTGTGGGCTCAATCCCCAGTAGGCGGCATGCAGGAGGCAGTCAATCAATGTTTTTCTCACATCAATGGTTCTTTCTCTCTCTCTAAAAAAATCAGTAAAACATATTGAAAAAAAAAAAAAAGGAATATACATCACTACATACCATAAGCCATGTACTGCTATCACATTGTGGACTGAGCCTTACCTATAGAAGCTGGCAGACTGGGAGCTGCTCAGACAAAGCTCTAAAATCTGCCTGCTTGGAACCAACTTCCACCAAGGCTGGAGAAAACTATCTCACTCAAATCTCATTTTGTTAATGGTACAAGGGACAGTGTTTTAGCTCAACAATGTCCAGTAACAGTTACTTACAGGTAATATGTGAATCGAGAGGCGCACGTACTTGTGCTATTTCAGATAGCTAGACACAAGAAAAACACAATCCTAGCAGGTATTTAAAGTACTTAAGTAGATTAGCATGGCAGAAACCACTTGCTCCTAAAACTCTTCGTTATCTATAAGAAAAATGCCAATTGTTATAGAGTATGTCTGACTCATAGTTCCTTTCCTGGTGCTATTCCTGGTAATGGATTTATTGATTTGGGTTAGAAGGAATTCATTCTCAAAACAAAACTGCATGAAGACCCTGGAATGTGTAATAATGGCTTATATTTTTGTTATAAGTATACAACAGTATACAATTTGATCAGCAATATTCAAATTGTTCACTATGAAAATTACTATTTTTTGTTTGGAAATTTTTAAATCTTCACATGCCCAATTCACTCACAAAACACACACACTCACCCAGGGCAGGACCACCCTCCCCCCAAAATATGGGTGAAGAAACCTTAAGGGGAAAGATGACTTTTTTTCCCCTTTATTGATTTTTAGAGCAAGAGGAAGGGAAAGGGAGAGAGAGAAACAATGATGAGAGAGAGCATCGACTGGCCACCTCCCACATGCTCCCAACTGGGGGCCAGGCCCACAGCCTGGGCATGCGCCCTGACTGGGAAATGAACTGGAGACCTCTGGGTGCATGGGTCGATACTCAACAACTGAGCCACACCAGCCAGAGCCAGACTTTTTTTTTTTTAATTTACTAGTTACCTGCATTACTACTCACATTCAGCAGCTGTGCTCATCTTTTCTGCTTTCTTCCATTACTATGTACATGTTACTAATGCTCTGTAACCTGACCCTACTATTGTTTCCTTGGTGCAGCATCAGCATACTCTTTCCTCTCTGCTGGATCACACCCATCAGTATATTATCATGCTCAAGTATCTTCCACTTATTAAAAATTTTTCAAAAGGCACTACTCCCTCACCTCAGTTGACCCACAAATCCGTTTCTCTGCATCCCCTCACTGTAGAAGCTTGAAGAGAGTTAAAGTCTCTAGCTTGCCCTGAACTGTTTGGCTCAGCAGCTAGAGTGTCAGTTCAATAACCAAAGGGTCATAGGTTTGATTCCCAGTCTGGGGGACATCTGGGTTGCAAGTTCAATCCCGGTCCCAGTCGGGGTCGGGCAGGACATAACCAATTAATGGTCTCTCTCACATTGATGTTTCTCTCTCTCCACCTCCCTCCCTTCCACTCTGTCTAAAAAAATCAATGGAAAAATATCCTTGGGTAAGGATTAACAAAAACAAAAAGTCTAGCTCCACTTCCTCTCTTGTTCTCTCATTAGCCTCCTCCAACCAAACTTCTATCCCTATTGAAAGGTGGGAGGGTACTAAGGAAATTCATCCACTTTCTCCCACCTTTTCATCAGGCTAGGTCCTACTTGGCTTTCGAGAGTCAAGGGAGCCCCTAAACTATAACTTCAGCTGCACCTCCCTGAGTTCCCTCTTCTCCAGGGCCTCCCTATCTCTGAGTAAATCCAGCTGTCATGTATTTCTGGGGTATGTAGCTACGTATATCCCTTGACACACTCTGGTGCTAGGAAGGCAAGGATCTCATGGTTGATCACAGCCATATCCTTGGCCCATTGCCCGGCACTAAAAAAGATGATGTGCCCACCCTGGCCGGTTTCGCTCAGCGGTTAGAGCATCGGCCTCCGGTCCAGAGAGACCCGGGTTCAGTTCCCCCTACGGCGCGTACCTCGGTTGCAGTTTGTCCCCGGCCCTGGTTGGTCGTGTGGGTGGCAGTCACTCAATGTGTCCCTTTCACATCGATGTTTCTCTCTATATCTCTTCCTCTCTCCCTCCCACTCTAGCTGAACAAAAAATGGAACAGTGTCCTCAGGTGAGGATAAAAAAAAGATGATGTGCCCTGGCCCATTTGGCTCTGCAGCTGGAGCATCCGCATGCGAACCAAAGGGTCGTGGGTTCGATTCCTGATCAAGAGCACATAACTGGGTTGCAGGTTCGGATCCCAGCCTGGTCAGGTTCCGTTTGGGAAGCAACCAGTCGATGGGTCATCAGTGTTTATTTCTACCTCCCTCCCTTCCACTCTATGTAAAAAAAGTTAATGAAAAAGTATACAGTCGCCCCTGGTTTATCTCGGTTAATCCCTTCCCGGCTCTAGGCTCTAGCCGTTGTACCTGGCTTTAAAGAATTCCTGGGGTGCTCGAATATATAGGCCTACAATCCATACATACAGTAATTTTAATTGTAATTGTAATACAGGGGTGTATTGACTCAGACAACCAAGCGCGTACTGTATCATTTTCACTGTCTCAATCAACTTTCTAATTAATATATTTGAAATAACCCCGATAGAGTGAAGCCACGAAATTCCAAGCTGGAAGTGGCAGGGACGACTGTGCTCGGGTGAGGATTAACAACAAAAAACGCGTGAATGTTTGCTGACTTCATGAATGAGGGGGCAGCACCCACACACCAACCTGTCTTGGGAGCGCCCAGAATCCCATCGTCTGTGACCCTTACGTGCAACATTGCACAGAGGACAGAGAGCCTGTTGGGACGCTCAGGCCCGGGTTCTCCAGCACGGTTTCTCTCTGAAACATGGGGGAGGGGCCTGTGCTTTTGAGATAGACACCGGCCTTAAGAGAGGCAGAGAACCCGAGGCTGGTCTGTACCGGGAGGGCCCAGTGGAGTCAGTGAACTTGCTCGCTGGCCGACCTGGAGACTCCGGGGCGGGAGCTCCCTCCACATCGGTGCAAGGGACAGCCACAGACTGGGTCCCCTCTCCGAGGGATTGCCCTTTCTCTCGAGGATATGACCTGGAGTAGTCCCTTCTAAATTCTAGGGGTCAACAGGGCCCCCTTACGCTTAGGGGTGATGGGGGCTGTGACGTTCCCCTAGAGAAAGACTGGGGTTCGGGCAAGCCGTTACCCTTCGGATGCTCGCGGCCACCCTTACCTGCAGCCGGTGGAGGAGGAGCCGCCGCCCGCGCCCCGGCCCGCCCCGCCAGCTCAGCGCCCGCGCTGCAAGCCTCAGGGCCCAGCCCGCCGCCGGGCCGCCCGCGTTCCCTGCGCTCTGGACGGAGGGGGTCCACCTGCCGGCTCTGCTGGCTCTGCCGCTGCCGCGCAGTTCCGCCAGACCCAGCCCACCCGCCGCATCGACAGCGAAGGGTCACGCTTTGCAGGCGCTACGGGGCAGCCCCACTGCCGGGGTCCTCGCCGCGAAAAGCCCATCACCATGGAGACAGGGCGCGCGCTGCGGCCGTTGAGTTGCGGAGGGGCAGTCCAGGACAGTTTGAAGGACCGGGGCGGTGGCTCCTAGCACCCAACAGCACCGACGGCGAACCCTTCGCCGGCGCGCAATGTCTCGGCTCGGCCGCCGCGGTCACCACCTCAGCCTTCGCGGGCAGTGCGGCGGCCTCTAGTAAGCGCAGGGCGCCTAGCGATGGAGCGGGGCGGGGCCTCGGGCCGCCCGGGTCTGTCGAAGACATCCGCTTCCGGGGCTGCGGCCATCGTACCACCCGGCTCGGTAGGCTCGCCAAGCCGTGTCCAGGACCAGGCGCCAAACCCTACGTTCCCTGAGTCGCGGCCGCCCTCGCCTCGCGGCCGGACACCCTCGCCTCGCGGCCGGACGCCGTCGCCTCGCGGCCGGACACCCTCGCCTCGCGGCCCGACGCCGCCGCCTCGCTCCCGGACGCCGTCGCCTCGCTCCCGGACGCCAGCACTCTGCAGTCGGACGCCAGCACTCTGCTGCCCGCCTCCTCAGCCAGTCATGCTGCAGCGTCTGAGCTCGCTGCCCACGCAGATGGTGAGGGGGTGGCCCACCTGACCCCAGCACCCTCGCACGCCGCTCGCCGGTCTGGCTGCTTGGCAGCCCTTGTGCGAGACGCGCCTCCTCCATCGCGGGCCCAGTTACCTTATGCTGCTCCCCGAGTTGTGTCCTAGGTCCCCGCCTCCCTATCTCCGCGAGAATCTCCCTACTCATGTCCGTTAGGATGCTTCAGTTTCCCCAGGAAACACAGCGTCTCATTCCTTGCCCAGGTCTTTGGGGGAACGCCTGATGTTGGGATTGCCCTGTGCCAAAGCTGTGAGGCCAGGGCAGGAATTGTCTCTCTTCGGTGATGCAACAAATTCCTGCTTTGCTTTCCTTAACCTCTAGGATTACAAGGGCCAGAAGCTAGCTGAACAGATGTTTCAGGGAATTATTCTTTTTTCAGCAGTAAGTATTGGCTTTGCATAATCTTTCCTTTTTCTTCTTCCACCCCCAATCCCCAGCCTGACTGTATTTCATATACTTTGTCTCTAGATAGTTGGATTTATCTATGGGTACGTGGCTGAACAGTTCGGGTGGACTGTCTATATAGTTATGGCCGGATTTGCATTTTCGTGTTTGGTAAGAAATTTGTGGGTGTTTGAATGTTAGTGGCAACTTGGGTTGTTTTGGTTGGACCTATTAGTGAAAACCCACACCAACTTTTCCCTCATCCTCTTCCATCAATGTTTCCCCTTGCTATCACTGGAAAAGTAGAATGACTAGTCGTGTCAGATGAGGTAAGCTGCATAAAAGAATACAGCTCATTTATTTTGGCAGCTGCTCCAAGGTAATCTTACAGTCAAAGCCAGCAGGAATTTCTTACAGTCTTCACACTGCTCCCTCCTCACCTTTCTTTTTGCTCTTAAAGCCATATGTGTAGCCCTGGCCGGTTTGGCTCAGCGGTTAGAGCGTCCGCCTGCGGTCCGGAGAGACCCGGGTTCGGTTCCCGCTAGGGGCATGTACCTCGGTTGCAGTTTGTCCCCGGCCCTGGTTGGTCGTGGGGGTGGCAGCCACTCGATGTGTCCCTTTCACATCGATGTTTCCCTCTCTCTCTCTTCCTCTCTCTCCCTCCCACTCTGTCTGTGTAAAAAATGGAAAAATGTCCTCGGGTGAGGATAAAAAAAAAAAAAAAAAAGCCATATGTGTAAACAGTGAGGCTTGTCTCCATCACTTAAAGTATCTTGTCTGGGCAATGACACAATATTCATAGGAAGGTCAGTTTTGTTGATGTTATCTTTAGTATAGGAGTCATTTGGGAACCAGACACTCTACATAAAGCTCTTTAATGGCTATAAATAACATGCATTTTCTCTGTTCTGGCCCAGCTGACACTTCCTCCATGGCCCATTTATCGCCGGCACCCCCTCAAGTGGTTACCCGTTCAAGACTCAGGCACAGAAGATAAGAAACCAGTGGAGAGAAAAATTAAGAGGCATGCTAAAAATAACTGATTGGGAGTTTTCCTGATTTAGCTTTACTGTTGCACCTGCTTTTGTATCCTGTGAGATGAGCTAAATTTTCACACCCAAACATGAGCTAAAACCACCTACGCTTGTACGGTACAGCTGTGTATAGATTTTGTTCTCTTTATATTTCACTTCTCATTTGGGCTTTGATTTATACTTGATTTTAGACCTCTTCATAATGCTTCTCTGAAAAGGAGAACAGAAAATACAGGTATGCAAAGTTTCTTTCAGGACTGCAAAAATAATGAATACATATGTGCCTCATAAATGATAGTACAACTTGTCATTATTAGTCAAGCTGTTTTAATATTTTCAATTAAAACGCACAGTGCAAATCTGTGTCTGAAGACTCTTTTGTTCATTGTTCTGCAAGCAAGACTACTAACAAAAGCCAAAGTTAGAAGTTTGTGTCTCTGAAACTGTTGGTAAGCCCCATTTCTAATTCTTTTTTTTTTTTCCTTTTTTTATCCTCATCTGAGGACTTTTTTTTGCATTTATGTTCAGATAGAGCGGGAGGAAGAGAGAGAGAGAAACATCGAGTGGTTTCCACCCACATGACCCCAACCAGAGCCGGGACAAACTGTAACCAAGGTACGTGCCCTTAGCAGGAACCAAACCTGGGACTCTCTGGTCCGTGGGCCTATGCTCTAACCGCTGAGCCAGACCGGCCAGGGCCTAGTTCTTTCTTACCAGCAAGCAGCTAATGAAAAAATTTTATAAATTTGTGGTAGTGTTTTAGTACCACTAAAATAAGGCTGTTGTTAAGCAGAAAACATTTAATTATACTTTACCTGAGGTGGACCAAAGTGAAAACCTGTGAAGCTGTAAATTCCCTTTAAATTTTCTGAAGAGAAAATATTCTGAAGGTCTTATGTGAGGGGTGGGGGTGGGAGTGGGAGGGTTATGTACAATATTCTATTTCTCAATACTGGATAAAGAACTTCCAAACTGAGTTTTCAAAAAGGGGGAGCAAAGACCTTAATACAGTGAAAGTCAGGAAGGTTATTTAAAAAATAAAAATAAGGCAGAAATATATAGACCAAGTATACCAATTAATACAATAAATGTGATTTTAAAGTGAGGAACTCCTAGTAGGGTTAAAAATCAAGTTATCTCATGTTTTCAAAATGACACCTAATGGTCTAAAATAGGACAAAGATATACTAGGCAGAAGTAAACACAAAGGAGGGGTAATGGTGAAAAAATACCAGCATTAAATGGGGAAAAGAGGGACTTTTCATAGCTGCCCAAATGTCACTTGTGAATTGAATTAAGACATGAAATGCAAAAAGCAAAGAATATTATTGATAAAAGTTTGGCAAAGCTACACTTTTGGTAGGAGACCAACACTACTTTTCAGATTTTGATAGATCAAGTGGATAGACTATTGATAGGAAGACTTTTGTACTTGTTCCCTGTACTTAAAACATTCCCTCGGGTATGTGACTTGTTCATTCATTCCTTTTATTCGGGTCTCTACTGAAATGTCAGTATAATGAAAAATCTCCTGCTGTCCTATAAAAATAAAGTACTATGCCACATAATTCTATATCCATGCTTGCTTTGTTCTTCATGATATTTAATATATCTCACAGTATATATTTATTTCTTAATTGCCCTCCATAGATGAAGCTCCATGGGAACAGGGACCTTGTTTTGCTCATTGATGTTTGCCTAGGACCTACAAGAGTATATGACACATTATAGGTATTCAACAAATATTTAGTGAATGAATGATACAGAGCTACACTGTCCAACACCAGTCACATGTGTGTCTCTACATTAATTAAAAAATAGGGTTCCTCACCCAGCCGGTGAGGCTCAGTGGTTGAGCGCTGATCCATACACCAAGAGGTTGCTGGTTCGATTCCCAGTCAGGGTACATGCCCAGGTTGTGGGCCCATGCCCAGGTCATAGGCCCAATTCCCAGTTGGGGGCATTCAGGAGGAAGCCAATCAATATTCTCTCTCATCAATGTTTCTCTCTCTCCCTCTCCCTTCCTCTTTCTCTAAAAAAAAAAAAGAAAATTTTTTTTTAATTGAGTTCCTCAAACTAGTCACATTTCAAAAGCTATATGACTAGTGGTTACTATAAAAGACACTGCAGATACAGAACATGTCCATCATCACAAAATGCTACTGATCAGACCTTATATAAATGTGTATATTTAATAGTAATTCTATGCATAACAGAATTCACCTTTATTGAATGCCCACATTACTGGGCATTCCAATGATGGATAATGTACTGTGCCACAGGGAAAAACAATTCTAAGAAACAGGTTGTGTAGCTCATATTCAGTAACAACACTGCAATGTAGCTGGAATAAGGAGATAGAATTTCCTTGGCTCTCTAAACATATGGAGCCAGGGCTGATTAGGCTCAGCAGTTAGAGTGTTGGCCCACGGACTGGAGGGCCATGGGTTTGATTACATGGTCAAGGGCATGTACCTGGGTTGCAGGTTCAATCCCCAGCCCTGGCCGGGGTTGTGCAGGAGGTAACCAATTGAAGTATCTCTTTCTCTCCCCACCCTCCCTCCCTTCCACTCTATCTAAAAATCAATGCAAAATGATCCTCGGGTGAGCCAGGCCAGTGTGGCTCAGTGGCTGAGCACTGACCCATACTCCAAGAGGTCATCAGTTCGATTCCTGGTCAGGGCACATGCCCAGGTTGTGGGCCTGATCCCCAGTGGGGGGCATGCAGGAGGCAGCCACTTGATGTTCTCTCTCATCAGTGTTTCTAGCTCTCTCTCCCTCTCCCTTCTCTCTAAAAATGAATAAAGAAAAAAAAAATTCTCGGGTGAGAAATTAACAACAAAAAAATTTGGAAATAAACTTATAAAAAAAAAAAAAATCGAGCCCTGGCCTAATGGCTTGGTCCTGATGGCTCGGTTGGAGCATCGTCCTGTACACCAAAAGACTGAAGGTTCAATTCCTGGTCAGGGCACACACCTAGGTTGCAGGTTTTATCCTGCACATAGTCCGGGTACATACAGGAGGCAACCAACTGATGTTTCTCTTTCTCTCTAACCCCCATCCTCTCTAAAATCAATAAAGACATATCCTTGGGTGAGGATTAAAATACAAAAAATCGAGCCCTGGCTGGTTTGGCTCAGCAGTTAACGTATCAGCCTGCAGAACAGAGAGTCCCGGGTTCAGTTCCCGCTAAGGGCATATACCTCGGTTGCAGTTTATCCCTGCCCCGGTTGGGGTCGTGTGGGTGGCAACCAGTCGATGTCTCTCTCTCGCATCAATATTGCTCTCCCCCCCTTCCCCCCGCTCTATCTGAAGATAAATGCAAAAATGTCCTCAGGTGAGGATTAAAAAAAAATCAAAATCAGTATTATTGAGAAACTAATGTCACAAAGAATGTCATAGCCCAGCCAGAGTGGTTCAGTTGGTTGAGTGTTGTCCTGTGCACTGAAGGGTCGCCAGTTAGATTTCCAATCAAGGCACGTACCTGGTTTGTGGGTTCAATCCCCAGTCAGGGTATGTACAGAAAGGCAACTGATTGATGCTTCTCTCTCACATCGAGGTTTCAATGTTTCTCTCTCTCTCTCAGCATGTCCTCGGGTGCTAATAAAAAAAAATGTCAGCCCTGGCCGGTTTTGCTCAGCGGTTAGAGCGTCATCAGCCTGCGGTCCGGAGAGACCCGGGTTCGGTTCCCGCTAAGGGCATGTACCTCGGTTGCAGTTTGTCCCCGGCCCTGGTTGGTCGTGCGGGTGGAAGCCACTCGATGTGTCCCTTTCACGTCGATGTTTCTCTCTCTCTCTCTTCCTTTCCCTCCCACTCTATCTGTACAAAAAATGGAAAAGTGTCCTCGGGTGAGGATAAAAAAAAAAAAAAAAAGTCATATCAAAGTCTGAAATGTGGCCAAAGGTGTATTATAAAGAAAACACAGTCTTAAATATGTGGTTTATAGCCCTAGCCAATCTGGCTCAGCAGTTTGAGCATCTGCTGGTGGACCAGAGTCGAGAGTACAATACCAGCCAAGGGCACATACCTCGGTTGTGGTTCGTCTGTCTCATGCAGATGTTTCTCTCTCTCTCTCTCTCTCTCTCTCTCTCTCTCTCTCTCTCTCTCTCTCCCTCCCTCCCTCCCTCCCTTCCACTCTATCTGAAGATAAATGGAAGAATATCCTCTGGTGAGGATTAAAAAAAAATGCCCAGCAGGTGTGGCTCAGTGGTGGAGCACTGACCCATGCACCAAGAGGTCGCTGGTTCGATTCCCGGTCAAGGCACATGCCCAGGGTTGTGAGCCAAATCCCCAGGGGGCATGCAGGAGGCAGCCAATCGATGTTTTCTCTCATTGATGTTTCTATTTCTCTCTCCCTCTCCCTTCCTCTCTCTCTAAAATCAATAAAGAAAAAAATTATTTAAAAAAAGAAAAATGTGGTTTATAATTAAATTAGATGAAAAATGATTAAGCATTCAAGAAAAAAGAACTACAAAATAACCAAAAAAAAAAAAAAATAGAACAAAGACAATGTTTAACAATAAAAATATACAGAATGGGAATAAAGTATGCAAGAGATTTTTTTTTTTTTTTTGGTTAATCTATACCCGAGGATATTTTTCCATTGATTTTTTTAGACAGTGTGGAAGAGAGGGAGGGGGAGGGAGAGAGAGACAGAAATATTGATACAAGAGAAACACGTTGATCGGTTGACTCCTTCACAACCCCAACAGGGGTTGGGGCTGGAACATACAACTCAGGTACATACCCTTGACTGGGAATCAAACCCGAAACCCTCAGTCCTGGGGCTGATGCTCTAACCACTAAGCCAAACCAGCCTGGGCAATATTTTTTAATTCTAAAAAAAATAATACATACAACTTTATACCAATAAGTTAGAAAACTTAAGTAAATCAATGACTTTCCAGAAAAATGTAGATTTCTGAAATGTGCAAGAAATGGTGAACATCTCAGGAAGACCAATAGTTTTCCAAAGATTTGCCCCCAAGTGGGCACTGGGGCTAGATGGTTTTATAGTTGAGTTTTAACAAACCCTTCAAAGTAAAAACAAGAGGTCTCAGAAACCAAGCTATGAGCATTATAAGGGCAGGGAATATTGTTGTATTCACCACTATATTCCCAGATTCAAGAATAGCACCTAGCAAAACAGTAAATGAAGGTCTGTTAAGTGACTGGAAAGGGGATATTTCATTAGAGTATTTGATGTGTGTATATATTTTCAAAGAAGATACATTTTAATTATAAAAACAAAACATTTCTAGAGAATTCATTTTTAGAGTTCCTTGATTACATAAGTAAAAATTTACTAATCAAGACTTATTTTGCCTGCTGGTGTGGCTCAGTGGTTGGACATCGACCCATGCACCAAGAGGTCGACAGTTCAATCCCTGGTCGGGGCATATGCCCAGGTTGTAAGACAAATCCCCAGTGGGGGGCGTGCAGGAGGCAGCCAATCGATGTTCTCTCTCATTGATGTTTCTCTCTCTCTCTAGAAATTTTTTTTTTAAAAGTTTTTTTAAAAGACTTATTTTATAAAAACAGTTTCCTAGGTTGGCAATACCCCTTATAAACAATTAATAAAATATGTGATATATAAGTATACATTTAAAACATGGGGCGCGCTCTTCCTCTAGAGCACACTCCTGCCATTCCCTTCCTCCTCTTCTTCCCCCACAGGAACGTATCTCCTAAACTTCAAAGGACCCCAAGAGAGTTGCAACCAGGGGAGCCTGACCCTGTCTCCAAGGCCCCTTGTTCTCTAACTTCCCAGTGAGCCAAAGCAGCCCAGCTTCTTCTATGCCCGTCCTTGTTTCACTGCCCTAAGTATGTTTCATGAGAAGACAACCAATATCTTTCTTTTTTTATTCTCACCTAAGGACAATTTTTGCATTTATTTTCAGATACAGTGGGAGGGAGAGAGGGGGGAAGAAAGAGAGAGAGAAACATCAATGTGAGAGAGACACATTGACTGGTCGCCGGGGACAAACTGTAACCAAGGTATGTACCCTTAGCGGGAACCGAACCCGGGACTCTCTGGTCCACGGGTTGTCACTCTAACCACTGAGCAAACCTGCCAGGACGACAACCAATATCTTGATGTATAAGCCACACCTGGGCAGACAAATACGTCCAGCATAACTAAAAGGAGCAGGACTCTACTTACAAATTGCTTAACTGGAAAAAGACTAAGTGTTCAAGAAATGTTTTCATCGAGGGAAAAATAAATCTAAAAAACTAGCATATAAAAACACTGATTTACAGATTTTCCTAAAGTCTCTCAAACAAGCAGCATCTGGCTATAGCGAGCCCCATACCTCTCACTAAGTGGCCCCAGGCCTGGCACTAGAACCAGTCAGCCTTGGTTCACAGTCTGGCTCTGCCTGGGCACCTCCAAGTCCAGCACAAGAAGCAGCCATCAGCTGATCACTTTGTAAGTTATGTGTGGTGGCCCCAGGTAGAACACAGACAGTGGCTGACCTTGCACCAGAGCCACTCAGTGGACAGCTTCAGACCACGTCAAAGCACCACCACCCACCACCTCCACAAGTGACACACTCAAGGAATGGACTCAGTGGTTACCAGAGCTCTGCTGATGTAAGTCTTGCTCTTTGTGGTGGGCCCCTGCACAGCTGATGCTCCAAGGTAGTCAGAGGTCGGTGGTCAGTGGACATAGCCAGTCCTTGCAGCTTATCAGTCTGAGTAAACCCCTCCCATTGACATGCCAACAGCAATCAAGACTCAATTACAACAGAAGGGTGTAAAGTCCACACGAGGGGTGCACCTCAAGAGCCCAGCTGGGTGACAAGGGAGGCTGTGCCACTGGACCCCACAGGACACCTACTACAATAGGCCACCCTAGGAAGCCTAGGGGACATAGCAACTCTACCTAATACATAGAAACAAACACAGGGAGGTAGCCAAAATGAGGAGACAAAGAAACATGTCCCAAATGAAAGAACAGAGCAAAACTCCAGGAAAAGAACTAAACAAAATGGAGATAAGCAATCTAACAGATGCAGAGTTCAAAACAGTGCTTAGAATGATGCTCAATGAACTTAGAATTTCAAGGAACTTTATAAGGATCTCAAGAGCATAAAAAAGGACCAGTCAGAAATGAAGGATGCACTAACTGAAATAAAGAATAATAATTTACAGCTTGGCTGGTGTGGCTTAGTGGTTGAGCGTCAACCCATGCACCAAGAGGTCACTGGTTTGATTCCTAGTCAAAGTAAATACCCATGTTTTGGGCCAAATCCCCAGTGGGGGACATCCAGGAGGTGGCTAATGAATGTTCTCGCTCATCGATGTCTTCATCTCCCTCTACCTTCCTCTCTCTCTGAAATCAACAAAGAAAAAGTATTTATTTATTTATTTATTTTTTTAAAAGAGCCCTGGCTGGTTTGGCTCAGCAGTTAGAGCATCAGCCCGCAGACCAGAGAGTCCCAGGTTCAGTTCCCGCTAAGGGCATATACCTCGGTTGCAGTTTGTCTCTGGGCCCAGTTGGGATTGTGTGGGTGGCAACCACTCAATGTCTCTCTCACATTGATGTTTCTCTCTCTCTCTTCCTCCCTCACTCCCTCCTGCTCTATCTGAAGATAAATGCAAAAATGTCCTCAGGTAAGGATAAAAAATAAAATAAAAATAAAGAAAAGAATAATTTACAGGGTATCAACAGTAAAGTAGGTGAAGCTAAGAATCAAACCATTGATTTGGAATATAAGGAAGTAAGAAACATCCAATGAGAAGACCAAAAAGAAAAAAGAATCCAAAAAAATGAGGATAGTATAAAGAGCCTCTGGGACAACTTCAAGCATACCAACATTCACATCATGGGAGTGCCAGAAGGAGAAGGGAGAGAGCAAGACATTGAAAACTTATTTGAAAAAATGATGACAGAAAAATTCCCTCACTTAGTGAAGGAAACAGACATACATATCCAGGAAGCAGAGAGAGTCCCAAACAAGATGAACCCAAAGAGGTCCACACCAAGACACATCATCATCAAAATGCACAAAGTTGCCCTGGCCGGTTTTGCTCAGTGGTTAGAGCGTCGGCCCACAGACCAGAGAGTCTCAGGCCCGGTTCCTGCTAAGGGCAAGTACCTTGGTTGCAGTTTGTCCCCGGCCCCAGGTGGGGTTGTGCAGGTGGCAACCACTCAATGTGTCTCTCTCACATCAATGTTTCTCTCTCTCTCTTCCTTCCTTTCTCCCTCCTGTTCTATCTGAAGATAAATGCAAAAGTGTCCTCAGGTGAGGATTAAAAAAATGCAAAAAGTTAGAAACAAAGAGAATCTTAAAATTAGCAAGAGAAAAAGCAGTTAGTTACCTACAAAGGAGCTCCCATAAGACTGTCAGCCGATTTCTCAAAAGAAAACTTTGGAGGCCAGAAGGCAGTGGCAAGAAATATTTAAAGTGATGATAAGCAAGGACCTACAACCAAGATTACTCTATCCTGCAAAGTTATCATTTAGTTGATGGCCATATAAAGAGTTTCCTAGACAAGAAAAAGCTAAAGGAGTTAATCACCACCAAACCAATATTATATGAAATGTTGATGGGTCTTCTTGAAGAAGAAGAGTATAAAAATATATGAACAGTAAAATGGCAAAAAATACGTATCTATCAACAACTGAATCTACAAACAAAATTAACAAGCAGAACAGAAACAGACTCAGAGAATTTTTTGTTGGTTGCCAGATTGGGGGGGGGGGGGGGCTGGGAAATGGGTGAAAAAGATGAAGGGACTAAGAAGTATAAATTGGTTGTTAGACTGAGGAACCTCAAAGGAAAGGGAGGAGGTGGGATGGGAAGAGAGAAACCAAAGAACTTATATGCATAACCAACAGACACAGACAATAGTGTGGGGAAGGCAGGAACTGGGTGGGAATGAGGAGAAGGGGAGTCAAGGGGGGGGAAGGGGGGATAGCTGTAATTCATTCAACAATAAAGATAAGTTTTAAAAGAAAGGAAAAAAAATTGATCTACAACGCCAAAATATCTCTTAGTTTCATTCTTGAATACCCTCAATGAGGTGCATATTACATGAAAATAAAATGTTAAATGTCCATTAATATGTAAAGAGGGAATTCAACCACTCAAGTACTAGATATAACTCCACATTCCTTAAATCTACTCCCCAAATCTTCAATTTACTTTTCACAAAATAATTTATCAACTACTACTCTAAGGTTATTAACAATGACAAGTAGTATCACTGGACATATGATGTCATTTATTCTCCTATTGCTTTTAACACTATAGTATAATAAAAACTTCTAATCCAATATTATGTGGTCCTGTATTCAATCCAATTAGTACCTTAAAAAAATAAAGTTTTAGATATAAAGTTTGTGGTTTAAGGCTCAGTAAACAGTAACCAAACAGTCTTATCACAGGTATTTCCTCACAAAGAGTAAGATAGCCAAAGGTTTTTTCTCTTGTGAGCTTGCTTCATATTACTTTGTTTTGTCCCATTTTTTTCCAGTAACAAAAAAAAAAAAAAGTGATATAAAGATGGTGAATAGCCTCCAGTCATTGTCATAAGTTTGTTTCTGTTTAAACCAAAAATCTTTGAATATAGGTCTTTAGTTCTGGCAGAAAATTAGAATAAAGTCTCAAAAATTCACATTTTCTTCAAAAAATTTCAATTGGCGAGCTTTCACACTATAAGTCGTATATTTTTCACCCATGTGCTCCTGCAAACGTACCTATTTGGGAAACATAAAAAGAAAATCAGTATGTAGTATAAAAAATATTTCTGTAATCTTAGAAGAATAACTTTTCTAGGCATGATACCAAACATGGAAATCACATGGATAAATATTAATAGTATATTTACATAAATATTTGAACTTCAAGATATTAAAAAATAGTCCTAAAAAATTAAAAAGCAAACAATAAACAAGGAAAATATTTTCAACATACATGCCAAAGAATACCATTAAAATGTAAATAGCTGTTAGAATCAACAAAACAAAATACTAGAACATCAGAACTGATAAAACAACAAAATCAATCCCACAGATAATTCAGCAAAGGCATTTATAAAATAATACAAATAACCAATTAACATACAGAAAATTCAATTGGACTAGAAATCAAGAAAATTTACTATGTGATACTATGTTGAAAGAAATGCCTGAAATCAAGATGTGTTAAATAGATGTTATAGACCTCCTGATACAATGTATTAAGGACACAACATCACTTCTGTGGTATTCCTGCCAAAAATGCATAATCTGAATCTACACATGAGATCAGACAAATCTAAAATAAGAGGCATTTTACTTATTTTAATTTTGTTAATCCTCACCTGAGGATATTTTCCCATTGACTTTTAGACAGAGTAGAAGGGAGGGAGAGAAGGAGAGAGAGAGAAAAACATCGATGTGAAAAAGACATATCAATTGGTTGCCTCTCACACGACCCCAACCAGGGCCAGGGATTGAACCTGCAACCCAAGTATGTGTCCTTGACCAAGAATCAAAAAAAAACAAGAGACCCTTCAGTATGAGGGCCTATGCTCTAACCACTGAGAAAACTGGCCAAGGCCCAAGAGGCATTTTAAAAGCACATGGCATATACTCTTCAAAAGTATTAAGGTTAGCCCTAGCCAGTATGGCTCAGCGGTTAGAGCGTCGGACTGTGGACCAAAGAGTTGTAGTTTCAATTCCAGTCAAGGATACGTACCTCGGTTGCAGTTTGATCCCGGACATGGTTAGGGTTGTGTGTGTCTCTCTCACATCGATGTTTCTCTCTCTCTCTTCTCCCCCCCACCCCCACCTCCCTCTTTCCCACTCTATCTGAGAATCAATGGAAAAATATCCTAGGGTGAGGACTAAAAAAGAAAAAAAGTCAAGGTCATAAAAAACAAGGACTGAGTAAATTGTTCCAGATTAAAGGAGATATAAGAATTAAATATAAAAGGTAATCCTAATTGGTTCCATATGTGGCATGACAGCATGAGGCGCTCTGCAGACCCCTCAGTGAAATGGGAAAATTATTTTTTAAACCAACCATTTAATGTCTCTGGAAATGGTCCTATGAGCATACAGCATATAGAGACACATTTCTTTCAAGAAAATCTAAAAATAAGAACTGAGAATCTGTGGTATATGAACTAAGATCAGGTGCCTCCCTTACCACTCCCGGGCTCAGTGAGACAAATAGTACATCAGACTGGTGAAGCCAACAAAACAGGGCTCTCTTTCCCCCAGCTCCTAGTCAGAAGGCTATGTTCCTGGAAGGGGCTGGACATCAGAATATCTATCCCATCCTACCCCCAATACCTGTTACTGAGGATAAGTTTTGGAAGAGTGCAGCTTAGAGGTAGAAGCTTCTCTCTTACACCCGGCTTGGATTTGTAGGAAGGCGGCTCTACCTTGTGTGCAGGGCCACTGAAAATACTGGAGTCCTAATCCACCTTTGCACCAAACCAAAAAGTGAAGATTCCATGCTGGGTGAATGAAGCATGCTGAGAAGACCAGAGAGGGCAGCCCCCTCATCCCCACTGAGCTTTTAAAGTATGTGGTATGTGTGTTGGCGGGGGCAGCACCTAGAAACAAGCTTGCTAATTGTCCTCACTCCCAGCTCCTGAGCTTTGGTCAGAGATTTTGTCTGGGTATCTTTTCTAAATAAATTTACTTCATTTGCTACAGATTATAGAAAAATTCAATCCTAAAGGTGCTCTCAAAAACAAAACAAGCCCTGGCTGGTTTGGCTCAGCAGTTAGGGAGTCAGCCTGTGGTCCAGAGAGATCCAGGTTCAGTTCCTGCTAAGGGCATGTACCTCGGGTGGTTTGTCCCGGGCCCTGGTTGGGTCATGTGGGTGGGAGGAAATTGATAGATTCATTGGATATATAGGTTAAACTGTAGGCACTTTCATGGAAAGAAACAAGCTGGGAGGAGCCTCCCTAGGATCAGAACAAATTTCAAACATTGACTTTGCCAACTATCCCTTCAAAGGAGCCTGAATTTGATTGGATCAACCTGTAGCACAATGTATGCCCCAGAGCATTGTTGAAAATAGCAGAGCCACTAAAAAACCTTAACAGCTAGGTGAGGTCTGGTAAAGGGAGAGTATCAAGAGAGCTCTCCCAAACCCACTGTCATTCCAAGGTGGCTGTGGACATGCCGAAAGTTGCATCCACTGAGGGGCAACATCAGAGGCTTTACATTGTGGGGAAAGGAGGAAAGGGTAAAATAGACTTCACTAAAATGACCCAGCTGATCACTAAACAAACAAATGAGTAACAATAACAACCCTCACTCCCAGGGAGGCCAGTACCCAGAGTTGTAAAAACTTCACTGGATTGTTGGAGATTTAAACGACTTAATACATGTGAGGGGGCTTAGAACATTGTGCTGCACTTTAAAAATATATATATATTCTCTTTTCTTTAATAAATTTTTTAGAGAGAGAGAGAAACATTGATGAGAGAGAACATCGACTGGATGCCTCCTGCATGCCCCCCACTGGAAAATGGGCCCACAACCTGGGCATGTGCCCTGACCAGGAATTGAACTGGTGACCTCGGTGCATGGGTCAACACTCAACCACTGAGCAACACTGGCCGGTGTGCCGCACTTTTTAAGTGTTACTACTACTTATGGAATGATAAAACAAAATCTGGAATCACTGAGTGCTAAGATTCTCCTGATTTTTAAAAAATATCTGTATGTTCTAAATGTTCCACAACAATCATGTATTATTAGCTTTCTATTCAGACAATGAAAGACAACATTGGGTTTTAAACATGGGTTTTAAACATTAATATAGAATTGTTTGTGCTATATAAGTATGCTTTATTGTTACCTTCAAATCTGGGAACATATATAATGAATCAATATCTCAAAAAGAAAAAAAAGTTGTATAATAACAGTAACTTTAAGCAGAAAAGTCAGGTAAGTCAAACTAAAATTTATTCAAAACTCTATAGTGCACTAATCAAAATTCCAGAAATTAATGAGTTGATCATAAAATTCACATACAAATGAAAATAACAGCCAAAATAATCTTGAAAAATAAGAGCAAAGTTGGAGGACTCATGCTTCCTGATTTCAAAGCTTACCACAAAGCTATAGTAATCAAGACATTGTGGTAGAGACATAAGGATAGACATAAATAAAACATAACTGAGAGTCTAGAAATAAACCCTTATATTACAGTCAACTGATTTTCAACAAGGGTGCCAAGACAATTCAACAAATGATGCTAAGACAACTGGACATTCACATGCAAAAGAATGAAATTGGAGCCCTTCCTTACACAATACAAAAAAATTAATTCAAAATGGGTTTTAGGCCTACCTAATTGTAAGAGTTTAAATGATAAAACTTTTATTTATTTACTTATTTTATTTTTATTTTTTTATTTATTTTTTATCCTCACCCGAGGACATTTTTCCATTTTTTGTTCAGATAGAGTGGGAAGGAGAGAGAGACAGAGCGAGAGAAACATCGATGTGAAAGGGACACACTGAGTGGCTGCCTTCCTTCCGAACAACCCAACCAGGGCCGGGGAGAAACTGCAACCAAGGTACATGCCCTTAGCAGAAACCAAACCCGGGTCTCTCTGGACTGCAGGCCAACGTTCTAACCGCTGAGCCAAACCGGCCAGGGCTATTTTATTTTATTTTTATTTTTAATCTTTACCCGAAGATATGTTTTCACTGCTTTGAGAGAGAAAGAAGAAGGGAGAGATGGGGAGAAAGAAAGAGGGAGAGAGAAAGAGAGAGAGAAACATCAACTTGCCACCTCCTGCACACATCCCAACCAGGAATCAAACCTGCAACCTGGTCATGTGCCCTGACCAGAAATCAAACACTCCACCTTCTGGTGCACAGGCTAAATGATAAAACTATTAGAAGAAAACAAAGGAATAAAATCCTTGTGATCTTAGGTTAGGCAAAGAAAGCATTCTTAGATACGACACCAAAAGCAGATGCAACAAAATAGATATATTACATTTCAGCAGAATTAAAATCTTTTGTGGTATAAATAATGCTATTAGAAAGTGGAAAAAAATGGGAAAACATTTTGCAAATCATGTATCTGATAAAGAACTTGTGTCCAGAAATATAAAGAACCCTTACAACTCAACAATAAGAATATAAATAACGTCTGGCCAGTATGACTCAGTTGAGCATCGACCCATGCACCAAGAGGTCGCCGGTTTGATTCCCAGTCAGGATACATGCCCAAGTTGTGGGCCCTATTTCCAGGCATGCAGGAGGCAGCCAATCAATGTTCTCTCCCATCGATGTGTCTATCTCTCTCTCCCTCTCACTTCCTCGCTCTCTAAAAAAATCAATAAAGGAGCCCTGGCTGGTTTGGCTCAGCGGTTAGAGCGTCGGCCTTCGGTCCTGAGAGACCCAGGTTCAGTTCCCGCTAAGGGCACATACCTCGGTTGCAGTTTGTCCCTGGCCCTGGTTGGGTCATGTGGGTGGCAACCACTCGGTGTGTCCCTTTCACGTTGATGTTTCTCTCTCTCTCTCCCCCTCCCACTTTATCTGAACAAAACATGGAAAAAATGTCCTCGGGTGAGGATAAAAAAAAATCAATAAAGGAAAAAAAATTTTAAAAAAAGAAAGAATATAAATAACAATTTTAAAATGTGTAAAAAATCTAAATAGCCCTGGCCGGTTTGGCTCAGCGGTTAGAGCGTCGGCCTGCGGTCCGGAGAGACCCGGGTTCGGTTCCCGCTAAGGGCACGTACTTCGGTTGCAGTTTGTCCCTGGCCCTGGTTGGTCGTGCGGGTGGCAGCCACTCAATGTGTCCCTTCACATCGATGTTTCTCTCTCTCTCTCTTCCTCTCTCTCCCTCCCACTCTATCTGTACAAAAAATGGAAAAATATCCTCGGGTGAGGATAAAAAAAAAAAAAAAATCTAAATAAACACGTCTCCAAAAAAGATATACAATGGTCAGTGGGCACATGAAAGATTCTCCATGTTCATTATCCATTAGGGAAAAGCATGTCAAAACCATAATGAGAAACCACTCCTGATCCACTAGGATGGCTATAGTCAAAATGATGACAATGACAAGTGTTGACAAGGATGTAGAGAAATTAGAACCCTCACACATTACTGGTGGGAATGTAAAATGGTGAAGCTGCTTTGGAAAACAGTCTGGCCATTCTTCAAAATGTTAAATATAGACTGTCCATGTGATTCAGCAATTGCCACTCTTAGGTACATACCCAAGAAAAATGAAAATATATGTTCACTCAAAAACTTGTTCATAGCAGCATTATTCATAATAGCCAAAAAATGGAAATCTAAGCGTCTATAAGCTCATGAACACATAAACAAAAGGTGGTACAGCCATATGATGGGTTATTTTTGACTATATAAATGAATTAAGTATGTGATACATAGATTATGTATTATGCTTAGTGAAAGAAGCTAATCACCAAACACCACATATTATATATGGTTCAATTTAAACAAAATATCCAAGATAGAAAAATCTATAGAGACAGAAATATCAGTGTTGCCTAGGGGTAGAGGGCTTTGGGGAAAATGGGGAATGACTGCCAATAGGTCATTAGGGGGTAATTAAATGTTCTAACATTGTTTGCAGTGATGGTAGTACAACTTCGAATATACTAAAAACCAGTGAATTGTACATTTTAAATGGGTAAAATGTAGAGTATGTCAATTATATTTCAAAAGGCTGTTAAAAAAATTCTAAAGCATAAGCAGCTGACACAGCTAATAGGACACTCACCTCTCTCTCCAATTCATCCTCCTCTTCCAAAATATCATACACCTGCTCTAAAAGCTGAATCCCCAGGCCCCGGACTACATCAGCTCTTAAGACTTCAACTATTCTTCTGATCTTTTCAGAACCTGGAATGATAACTAAAAAGTAAAAACAAAGACAGGAAAAAATGAATACTTTCACCACTGCAGTAAGAAGAATGCAATGTTTTTTAAAAAAAATCTTGTCAGTTGGCCGGTGTAGCTCAGTTGATTGAGTGTCGATCCATGAACCAACAGGTCATTGGTTCGATTCCCAATCAGCTGTCGGATAATGCCCAGTGGGAGATGTGTGGAAGGCAGCTGATCGATGTTTCCCTCTCACTGATGTTTCTCTCTCCCTCTCCCTCTCCCTCTCTCTCTCTAAAACATCAATAAAAACATTTTAAAAAATCTTGTCAGTTAAGGTCCTTTTCACTTTGACAAGAGTTTACCTTAATGACTTCATGTATTTTTAATGACTAAAATGTATACCAGCATACCTCAGAGATATTGCAGGTTTGGTTCCAGACCACTGAAGTAAGGTCAGTAACACAATTTTTTGAGTTTCACAGTGCATATAACAGTTATGTTTACACTATACTGTGGTCAATTAAGTGTACAATAGAATTACGTTTTTAAAGGCAATATATATACCTTAATTAAAAAATACTTTACTGCTGCCCTGCCGGCTCAACAGTTAGAGCATCAACCTGCAGTCCAGAGAGACCTGGGTTCGGTTCCTGATAAGGGCACATACATTGGTTGCAGTGTGTCCCTGGCCCTGGTTGGGTTGTGTGGGTGGCAGCCATTCGATGTGTCCCTTTCACGTCGATGTTTCTCTCTCTCTCTCTCTCTCTCCCACTCTATCTGAACAAAAAATGGAAAAATGTCCTTGGATGAGGATAAAAAAAAAAAATTCTTTACTGCTAAAAAGTGCTAACCATCATCTGAGCCTGTTGGAAAAATGGCGCTGATAGACTTGCTCAATGCAGGATTGCCACAAACCTTCAACTTGTAAAAAACACCATATCTACCAATAAAGTGAATCACAATAGCCCGGCCAGTGTGGCTTAGTGGCTGAGCATCAACCCATGCACCAAGAGGTTGCTGGTTCGATTCCTGATCAGGGCACATGCCCAGGTTGTGGGCCAAATCCCCAGTGGAGGGCATGCAGGAGGTGGCCAGTTGATGTTCTCTCTCATCAATGTTTCTATCTTTCTCTCCCTCTCCCTTCCTCTCTCTCTAAAATCAATAATATATATAAAAATAATAAAGTGAATCACAATAAAAGCAAGGTATGACTGTATATAAGTTTATGCTTTATATCTCATTATCACTTCCTTAACTTAAAAAACAGAATTGTCTACTTTGAAGAAAATTCTATGAAAAGTTCCAAACTTGTATTTATTTAAACTTAATTTTAAAAATCAATTTTCATGCAACTTTTCAGAAACACACCTGTTACATAAAACAAGATATACCTTTTATGGAGATACCCAAATGAAATAATAGAAAGACAAAAAAATTTGCAAGCCCTGGCTGCTCTTTGCTTTGACACATTTCTCCAATAAACATATGCTCTCCAGTTTGCTGTAAAAGAATAAACTGATCACCTAAAGGTAGCTCTTTAAAATGGAACTCCTCTGCCTGTTCTGCAACTTTCCCATGAAGTATCAGTGTGTCCCGATACTTTCGATGAAGTTTAAATTCTGACATTGGATCTGGTACTGGGAGATCCTCACAGCTCTCTTTACCGTCCAATTTTAGGGTCTGAGTCATCAACTGTACCAAGTCACTCATTTCACTTGAATGACCTTTCCTGGAAAAAAAAAATTCCTCTTGTTATTTAATTGGCTTCATGAAAAGTTTTTATTAAAAAATTAGATGCCAAATGATCAAATGACCTTTAGGAAGTTCTGCTTCCAAATGGCCGAGTAAGCTCCTACAGGCAGACCCTTTCAGAAGTAATAAGTATAAACACTGAACATAACACAAAAATCAACTATGTGAAGGCATTGGAGAATGTAGAAAATCTGAAAGCAGATTCTGGAGGGAAGTCAGTACCTCTTACTCTAAGGCAGCAGTTCTCAACCTGTGTGTCGTGACCCCTTTGAGGGTCAAACAACCCTTTCACAGGGGTCGCCTAAGACATAACAGTAGCAAAATTACAGTTATGAAGTAGCAACAAAAATAATTTTATGGTTGGGGGTCACCACAACATGAAAACTGTATTAAAGGGTCACGTCATTAGGAAGGTTGAGAACCACTGTGGAAGGCCATAGGTGCTAAAGTACAACAGAAAACCCACAGTCTTTCTGGCCTGCAGAACCAAAGGACACAGTTCAAGATAACCACTGCCACAAGACAGTGAGAGAGGAATCTTGGAAAGAGGAGAGCCAGAAAGAGGAAACCCCAGATTCTGTGTATAAATTCTGCCCAACTATTTCTGAGTAACTTAATTACATTCAAGTACAAAGCTCAAGAATATTTCAAGAAATATAAATAAACCATCTCCTAATGAAAGAAAATTAGCAATGTCTGGAATCCAGTCAAAAATACCAAACATGGCCCTGACCAGCTCAGCTCAGTCGTTAGAGCATCGGCCCTCAGACCAAAGGGTCACAGGTTTGATCCCTGGCCTTCGTCATGCAGGAGGCAACCAATCAATGTGTCTCTTTCACATTGATGTTTCTCTCTCTCTCTCTCTATCACTCTCTCCCTCCTTTCCACTCTATCTAAAAAAAATCAATGGAAAAATATCCTCAGATGAGGATAAAAAAACAAACAAAAAACGTAAAGAAGAAAAAAAAGCACACATTTGTGAAAAGAAAAAAAAACAGGTAATAGAAACAGATCCACAAGTGACACAAGTGATAGAATTAGTAGATAAAGACTTTAAAGCTATTATAAATAATAATTATAAAGTTTTTATAAATATATCCTAGTCCAGCTGGTGTGGCTCAGTAGATTGAACCTCATCCCATAGACTGAGAGATCCCTATTCAATTCCTGGTCAGGACATATGCCTGGGTTGCAGGTTCCATCCTCAGTAGGGGGCGTGTAGGAGGCAGCCAATCTATGTATCCCTCTCACATCGATGTTTCTCTCTCTCTCTCTCTCTCTCCTTCTCCTGTCCTCTCTCTCTAAAATCAATAAAAACATATCCTCGGATGAATTTTTTTCAAAAAAGACCCAAAATGAACTCCTAGAAATGAACAATACAATGTATTAAATACATTGGATGGGATTAACAGATTAGACAGCACAGGATAAAGATAGATTACTGAACTCAAAGATATAGCTATAGAATCTATGAAAAATGAAACAAGTCTAAAAAAATTAACACCATTGGTGAGCTGTGGGACACCTTTAAATAATTAATATACATGTAATTAAAATCCTCAAGAAGGCAAGAAGGAATCCAAAAAAAATATTTGAAGAAATAATGGCCTCTGCCCTGGCCAGTTTGGCTCAGTGGTTGGAGCGTAGGCCTGCGGACCTGAGAGTCTCGGATTCAGTTCCCTCTAGGGGCACATACCCTCCCCCCAAAAGAAATAATGGCCTCCCTGGTCGGTGTTGCTCAATGGTTATAGCACTGGCCCAAGCACTGAAAGGTCAAGGGTTTGATTCCCGGTCAAGGGCACGTTGTACCTGGGTTGCAGGTTTATTACTGGGCCATGGTTGGAGCACGTGTGGGAGGGAATCAATCAATCTCTCTCTCATTCTCTCCCCACCACTTTCCACTCTATCTAAAAGCAATGAAAAAATATCCTCCAGTGAGGATTAACCAAAAGAAAAAAAAAAGAACGGCCAAAAATTCTTCCAATTCTGAGAAAAACTATAAACCCAAAGATTTAAGAAGACATTCATAAAAATTCTGAATGAAAATCAGATGTGTTCATTAGAAGAGGTATTTTTAGTGCTAACATATATCAAAAACTATTTATAATGTTATCAATGAAAATATTACAGATCTTAATACTACTGTAAATATACATTTATGATTAATTCAAACAGAAATAATTTATGAAGGGAGATAGAAAAACGGCACTTACCCGTCCCTGGAATCCCCATCTGATTTATCAGTTGAACTTGTAGAAGAACTTAACTCCTCCTCAGAGAAACAATGTGTGAGTTTCCTTTTCTATTAATGTTTGGAAAAACAAAATTCCAGATGACAACACAACCAGAATGCAAAACGTGAAAAGTCTTAGATGTAATAAATGTCTAGCTATAATGCGTGCTTAGGTCCAATTTAACAAGGGAAACTAATGGATATAAAAATTGAAGTTACTTTACCCAAATAATGTCCCAGTTCACCCATGAAGCCTTGTATAAAGTTCACAAGTGAAGCCTGAGGAACATCAAAGTGAAGTTTTAAAAGTCCCTGGAAAGTCTCAGCTATGAAGAAATTTCCTTTCCAGAAAAGAGTGGACAAACAATTCTGGTGTTCCAGCCCCTATGCAGAGGACTGGTCCCATAGGGAATATTATGTTTTTGTTTTTGTTTTACCCATTTATTTATTTATTTAATTTATTTATTTATTTATTTATTTGAGAGAGAGAGAGAGAGAGAGAGAGAGATAGAAACATCAATGAGAGAGAACATCAGTTGGCTGCCTCCTGCATTTCCCCCACTGGGGATTGGGCCCACAACCTGGGCATGTGCCCTGATCGGGAATTGAACCAGTGACCTCTTGGTGCATGGGTCGATGCTCAACCACTGAGCCACACCGGCTGGGTGGAATATTGGTATTTTATTTTATTTATTTTTGTTGTTAATCCTTACCTGAGAATATTTTTTCATTAATTTTTAGATAGAGTAGAAGCAGAGAGAGAAAGAGAGAGAGAGAGAGAGAGAGAGAAACATTGATGTGAGAGCGATACATGATTGGTTGCTTCCCACAAGACCCCAACTGGGGCCAGAGATTAAACCTGTATCCCAGGTGTGTGCCCTTGACTGGGAAGCAAACCCAAGATCCTTCGGTCCTCAGGCCAACACTCTAACTGTTGAGCCAAACGAGCCAGGACCATTGGCATTTTAAACTAGATAGAATGCCACCTAAATAAAAGCAACTCATTTTGTTCATAGGTGAGACTTTTTGTTAAAATACTTTAAAGGATTACTTGATACAATTATACACAAACTTTAAAACTTTGGAAAATGGAGAGGACCATCTCAATTAGTGAAACAACTAACTCACAGAATACTGTTCAAGAAACACATCTTCATTTCTTTCAAGGACAGGAAGTTTCTATTTTTTAAAAATAATAATATGTGCCCTGGCCAGTATGACTCAGTTGGTTAGAGCACCAATCCGTGCACCCAAGGGTCTCAGGTTCGATCCCCGGTCCCTGGTTAGGGTGCTGTCAGGGTACGGACGGGAGGCAACAAATTGATGTATGTGTCTGTCTGTCTGTCTCTCTCTCTCTCTCATCAATGGAAAACATTTCCTCAGATGAGGATTTAAAAGTAATAACAACAATAATATGCTCCTAGAAATAATGTCAGAAACTGGAATACAGAAAAATGGATAATTATCCCTAGGGTATTATTACACAGAAAAGAGCATGGTTGGAAACTTTGCAATTACTCATTTAGTCAACAAACAGTGCCCCTACATCATCATCCCTAGGTGAGAAGGTAGTCTCTGTGACAGACAAGAAACTGAGGAAATTGAGCCAAGTAAGATTAAAATCCACCAAGTAGGTGGATATATTGGTAACACAGCAGGGTAAGCAATGTGTTGTCTAGTGGAAGCCCTTTGGAAGTCTTGTTTTAAAGACTGCCTAAGAAAGATATTTAATTAGGCTACCAATCGTTTACAAGAGTGCCTGAAAAATTCATTTCCTTAAGGAAGCAAACATAATCCTTTTAATTACTGACCAGTTCCTTTCCTTATCATGAGTAAAAAGGTGTAACTTAAGCCAGAGCTATCCTAGAAGTAAATGAAGCTGGTATTTATGAGGTTTACTGTATTAGGTTTGCCAGATGTAGACATGTCCATCTTTTTCCCTTAGAACCAAGTAATGTACCTGAGCAAAGCTTCGGTCAGAAGACAACCACTGAGCAGGAGTGCGCTGGCCTTCCTCTTGTGGTTTCCCTGGCCCCGGTGCACTCAGCGAAGCTCTCCTCACTGAAGGGCCTGAAAAAGTGACCACCCCCAGCAGTTGTCTGGTGGGCTGGCCTCAACAGAAGAGGGCTTTACACTGGGTCTAGGAGATGACTCAGCAAGGGCCAGCCTAGAAGTAACTCAGATAGCATATCATCATCACTCTGGTATCTGACACTTCAGTTCAAAGCTGAGCTCTAGGTCTACCAGCTCTATAACCTTGAGCAAGATATTTAACCACTCTGAGCCTCAGTTCCCTCAGCTGCAAAATGGGGATAATGCTGCCTACCTTTGATAGTTACTGTAAATATAAATTGAGATAATGCCCTTAAAACGCTTACCATAGTGCATGAGACATAATTAGCATTCAATAAATGGAAACTGCTAGTACTGTCTTTAGATAATAGTAATAGGAATGATCACAGCACTCAGCCCTGGGCACCACCATTCTCCTGGCTTCCTCTCTTTGTTCCTGAGAAGATAGCACTTCTCTGACCAGCAGACTCTGAACATGGAAACAAATTCAACACTCACTTGATTTCCTGTCTGAAATCTCCCAGGAATTACTGCCACTTAGAGCCCTCTTGCTCTTTTCAAAATCCTCTTCTACTGATAACACAAGTTCCAGATCCAACAGCCTATGCTGATTTGTTTTTAAAGGCTTGACAAAGAAATTTCAAATTTTTTTCCAAATTGGTTTCCCAAACGTATTACTATTGCTTGATATTTCTTAACACTGCACAATCAGAACCAATGCTTATGTCGATGAGTCAGTCAAACCGCAATAGATAAAGAAGAGAACTTTACCTGAGGAGAGCATTTCTTCCTGTGACTGCTTTAGTCGCCTCCTCTCTCTTGCTGATAATGGACGATTCTTTCAAAGAAAGTCAGAGTTATTTCCATTTCTACTCACTATTCTTACAACACCTACAAAGCATGACATATCATCTAGCACTATAGAAAAGGCCTTGCACAGGCTTAAAGGAGTGTCCATTTGAAACCAGTCTGCATGTGGGTTATAGCTACTAGCTAGAACCAATCATAGCAGCCTCATTTCTGGGAAGTACAGTGCTCATTTTTGAAAGGGCAATTGGGGAATTTCGCATTTCCTCTACTCAGAATCTACTTGGTCTCCTTAGTTGACCACAAGGGACTACCTCTGCAACTTTAGAATCTGTCCATTTCAATCAGTGCTTCTGCTAAGAATCACAAATCTGTCCCTTCCAGTGTTTGACAAAAAGCAGGGCAAAGATGTTCTAATACAAAACTTCACAACATATGCAGGATCTCATACACCCCACAAACCTTTGATGATGACATCTCACTGCTCCTCGAACCGCTCACAGACTCAGTGACCACTCTATTTTGGTTCTCAGCATCCTTTTGGGTTGATATGACATCCGCTTTTCCAACAGCAGGAAGAGAAGGCAAAAGTTGAGGTAAAGCCTCCTGGAACTTAAATAATTTAAAAAGAGGGGGAGATTATCAATTTCATATGATAACGATAACCCACCTCCAAAGTTCATCCCTCAGTAAGTTTCCTATGTATTCAACAGTAATTTGCTCTCAAAAACTTCAAAACACTGCAGTTTTGGGGAAAGAAACTCTGCCAAAAGTGAAGCATATGAGAGGGTGCCTATGAAAGTTACTTCAAGAAATGGTATAATATCTCAATTAAAGAAAAAAAATGAGGTGTCAACATGATTTTATGCAGAAGATGAGGGAGAAACTGTTCATCAATATAACGGGGAGGATCAGAGATTTACTCTTGTTAGTGTGTAGCCTGTTCCTTGAACTCTCAAATGATCTGTCCATCTTTTCTGGAGAAGATATCTTTACTCTGCTTCCAACTTACTGACATTTGAAAACTAACATCTTGACACTGTCACCCTTCTCTCAATGTTCCTTGCATTTCTTGTGTGCCTATTTGGCAACTGTTACTCATTCTAAGTAGAAATTGAGCTTCCTAAAGTATATTTCCCAAGCAGCAGCACAATGACTTATTCCAAAGAGATCTTGTCCAACCTGTCTCTTTTCCCCACTGTGTTCAGTCTGCTCTCTTTTCTTCTGCCGTCGCTGTCGAGACAGGGAAGGTTCAGACCCTGAACTGTGTGGCTGTAAACCTGGGTGGATTCTGTCTTGTTTTTCACCGGCAATTTGATCCTTAAAAAAATAAAAATAAAATAATAATAATAATAATAAGTCTTTTGAATTTCCAAACGGCCAAATGAAAATGAAAAGGAGATGCCTTTCTCAAAATAAATGCATATTTGCAGTGTTTACAGGCAAAAACAAAATGCTAATATCAGTTATTTATATTTTGACTTTTTTATTTCCCCAATTAAAATATAATTATTTTAATTAAATTACTCATATTGTTATTAACCTGAAAACTACTGATGTTAAAATTGTTTTTTTAAATATACTTTTTCATAATTTTTTTTAAATCCTTATCTGAGGATATTTTTTCATTGATTTTCAGATTGAGTGGGAAGGATGGAGGGAGGGAGAGAGAGAGAGAGAGAGAAACATTGACGTGAGAGAGACATATTGATTGGTTGTCTCCAGCAGGACCCTGACTAGGGCCAGGGATTGAACCCACAACCCGGGTACGTGCCCTTAACTGGGAATCAAACTGGCTACTCTGCAGTCCATGGGCCAATGCTCTAACCGCTGAGCCAAACTGGCCAGGGCTCTTTTCATAACTTTTAACAGGTTTTCTACTCAGAAAACTAAGAAATATTTTAAATAAAGTCCAATTTAAATATACATGCTTCCCAAGTATAAATCAATAATTTAGATGCACCATGAAAAGAGCATTGAATGTGGAGTTAGATGGAGTCACATCGGAGAAACTTATACTTTCTGAACCTGTTTCTTCATCTATAAATGGGTAAAATCCCTCACACACATTTGTATGACTGTTGGAGAATTAGTAAATATATTGCACGAAAGTACTTAGGACTATGTTTAGAATATTAAATACCCCCCAAAATCAGAGATATTACTAGCAGTAGTAATGATAAAATAAATTGCATTTTAAGTTATAAAGTTCACCAAGGACTTAGTAATTTTATTTATTTATTATTTTTTTAACATCCTCACCCCAGGACATGTTTTTTATTTATTTATTTTTTAAATTGATTTTAGAGAGAGGAAGGGAGAGAGAGAGAAACATCAATCCACGCATAATCTGGGTATGTGCCCTGACTTGGAATCAAATTCACCACCTGTCAGTGTACAGACAACACTCTAACCAACTGAGCCACCCAGCCAAGGCAAGTACTTAGTATTTTATCGAGAAACTGGTTTTAGAAACTAATTGATGCCAAACATTAAAATAAAATAGATTCTTAAATTTTTTTAAAAAGTTTTAACTATCATAATATCTAGAATTTCAAGCAGATGAGCACTGGTAATTGCATATGGTTCAATCTTTTATTAAGAGCCCACTATGAGGTACATTTTAGAGAGAAAAATGAACAATGTTATTAATACAAGGTGAAATTGCTTGTAAGAGTCATTATTATTAAAATATCATCTATCATTCAGATCTTCTGGCAAACACAAAACAATGACTCTTGTAGGTAAAATGATTTGTTAAATTTATTCTTTCAAGAGTATACCTAATTTATATAAAATATAGTAAATGATTAAATTTTACAGTATTATTACATAATAAACAAGCTGAACAAGGAGACCAAGATAACAAACAACTACTGATATAAATCTGAAAAGTGAAGTAAATGTTTCTCTGCTGGTAGTAAGCATAGGCTGTTCAAAATAAAGTTTATACAAGTACCAGAGTGACAGAACAAATGACTTAGGGAAATTCTCCATGAAATCCAATTGGTCTTGCCTGGCCAGTGTGGCTCAGTGGTTGAGCATCAACCCATGCACCAAGAGGTCACCAATTCAATTTCCAGTCAGGGCACATGCCCAGGTTGCAGGCTCTATCCCCAGGGGGGCATGTAGGAGGCAGCCAATCGATGTTGATATTTCTCTCTCATTGATGTTTCTATCTTTCTCTTCCTCTCTAAATTCAATTAAATATATATATATATATTAAAAAAAAAAAAAAAAACCTGCCCTGGCTGGTTTGGCTCAGCGGTTAGAGCATCGGCCTGCGGTCCAGAGAGACCTGAGTTTGGTTCCCGCTAAGTGCACATACCTCAGATGCAGTTTGTCCCCAGCCCTGGTTGGGGTCGTGTGGGTGGCAACCACTCGATGTGTCCCTTTCACGTCGATGTTTCTCTCTCTCTCTCTCCCTCCCACTCTATCTGAACAAAAAATAGAAAAAATGTCCTTGAGTGAGGATAAAAATAAGTAAATAAATGAATAAATAAATAAAAAGAAAAGAAAACCTAATTGATCCTGAAAAAAGGTTCCTCTACTTTTAAAAACAGTAACACAAGAAGAAATGCTAGACATACAATTCTATTAAACAAAAAATATGTTCTAAAAGCCTGATGTAAAAAATGAATTTGGCCCTGGCCGGTTTGGCTCAGCGGTTAGAGTGTCGGCCTGCGGACCAGAGTCCCAGGTTTGGTTCCTGCTAAGGGCATGTGCCTTGGTTGCAGTTTGTCCCCGGCCCCGGTTGGGGTTGTGTGGGTGGCAACCACTTGATGTGTCTCTCTTGCGTCGATGTTTCTCTCTCTCTCTCCTTCCCTCTCTCCCTTCTGCTTTATCTGAAGATAAATGCAAAAATGTAAAAAAAAAAAAATGAATTTGATCAGAAATAAAACAAAGATGATCACCCTCACCACTTCTATTTGACATTGTACTAGAGGTTCTAGTCAGAGCAATTAGGCAAGAAAATGAAATACAAGCAATCCATATTAGAAAGGAAGAAGTAAAACTACCTCTATTCACATATGACATGATCGTATATTCAGAAAAGCCTAAGGAGTTCACTATGAAAAATTATTAGAACCAATAAATGGGTTTAATAAGGCTGTATAATACAAGATTAATATACAAAAAACAATTGTATTTCTGTGTACAAGCAATGAACACTATGAAATGAAATTAAGAAAACAAAACCATTTACAATAGTATCAAATGGAATAAAATACAAAAAAATAAATTTCACAAGCCCTGACCAGTGTTGCATAGTGGTTAGAGCACTGGTCTGCACACCAGAGTCTCGGGTTCAATTCCAGGTTAAGGGCACGTACCTGGGTTGCAGGTTCGATACCTAGCCCTGGTCAGGGCACATGTAGGAGGCAGTCAATCAATGGGTATGTCTCTCTCTCTCTGCCTCCCCCACCCCCCACCCCACCCCCACTCCATTCTCTCTAAAAACCAATGAAAAAAATATCCTTGGGTGAGGATTAACAAAATTAATTAATTAGTTAATTAATTTCACAAAATAAGCGCAAGGCTTGTATACTAAAAACAAAACATCATTATAAGAATTCAAAGAAGACCTAAGTAAATTGAAAGACATTCCATATCCAAGTGTTCAAAGACATTCAGGTTTGTATACAAAACAATACAGTAATTAATAAATAATAATACAAGAATAAATTCTGGCCCGGCCAGTGTGGCTCAGTGGAGTGAGCATCAATCCATGTACCAAGAGGTCACTGGTTTGATTCCCAGTCAGTGCACATGCCTGATTGCATACTCAATCCCCAGTGTAGGAAATGCAGAAAGGCAGCCAACTGATGTTTCTCTCTCATCGATGTTTCTCTCTCTCTCTCTCCCTTCCTCTCTAAAAATCTATAAAAACATATTTTTTAATTGTTGTTGTTCTTTATCCTCACCTAGGATATTTTTCCATTGATTTTTATTTTTTATTCCTCACCTGAGGATATTTTTCTACTTATTATCAGATAGATTGGGGGGAGGGAGGGAGAGAGAGACAGAGAGAAACATCGATGTGATAGAGCCACATTGACTGGTTGCCTCCCACATGACCCAACCAGGGCCGGGGACAAGCCACAACCAAGGTACATGCCCTTGACCAGAATCAAACCAACGACTTTTTTTGTCTGTGGGCCAACGCTCTAACCACTGAGAAAACCAGCCAGGGCTCCACTGATTTTTTTTTTATCCTCACTCAAGGACATTTTTCCATTTTTTGTTCAGATAGAGTGGGAGGGTGTGAGAGAGAGAGAAACATTGACGTGAAAGGGACACATCAAGTGGTTGCCACCCGCACGACCCAACCAGGGCCAGGGACAAACTGCAACCGAGGTTACGTGCCCTTAGTGGGAACTGAACCCAGGTCTCTCTGGACCACAGGCTGACGTTCTAACCACTGAGCCAAACCGGCCAAGGCTCCACTGATTTTTAGATAGAGTGGAGGGGAGGGAGAAAGAGAGAGGGAGAAACATCGATGTGAGAGAGACACATTGACTAGTTGCCTCCCATATGACCCCAACTGGGGCTGGGGATCAAACCTGCAAACCAGGTATGTGCCCTAAATCAGAAATCAAACCCATGACCCTTCAGTCCATGGGCAGATGCTCTAACCAATGAGCCAAACCAGCCAGGGCAATAAAAACATATTTTTTTCTTTACTGATTTTAGAGAGAGAGAAAGGGAGAGGAACAGAGAGATAGAAACATCGATGAGAGAGAACATCCATTAGCCGCCTCCTGCATGCCCTCTACTGGGGACTTGGACCACAACCTGGGCATGTGCCCTGGCCAGGAATCAAACTCGGCTAAAAACATATTTTTAAAAAAGAATAGCCCGGCCAGTGTGGCTCAGTGGCTGAGTGTCAACCCATGCACCAAGAGTCACTGGTTCAATGCCCGGTCAGGGCACATGCCCAGGTTGTGGGCCCAATCCCCAGTGGGGGGCATGCAAGAGGCAGCAAATCGATGTTCTCTCTCATCGATATTTCTCTGTCTCCCTCTCCCTCTCTCTCTAAAAATCAATAAAGAAAAAACAATTTAAGAAAAAAAAAGAAGAAACTGTGTTTCATGTACTCACAACTGTAAATCTATTTTTGCCTCACCCTGTTATATTAAAATAATAATATACTGCAAGTGAGCCTCAGATCCAATGCAATCCTTATCAAATCCCAGCATTTTTTCCAGAAATTGACAAGCTGATCTTAAAATTCATATGGAAATGCAGAGGACCCAATATAGCCAGAACAATACTGAAAAATAAGAATAAAGTTGGAAGACTCAGCTCTGACCGGTTTGGCTCAGAGGTAAGAGTGTTGGACTGCAGACCGAAGGGTTGCAGGTTTAATTTCCAGTAAAGGGCATGTACCTAGGTTTCAGGTTTGATACCTGGCTCCAGTCAGGGTTGTACGGGAGGCAAAGAATCAAGGTGTCTCTCTCACATGGATGTTTCTTTCTCTCCCTCTCCTTCTCTCCCTTCCACTCTATCTAAAAATCAATGGAAAAATGTCCTTGGGTGAAGATAAAAAATAAAAAAGATGGAAGACTTAAACTTTCCAATTTCAAAACTTATTGCAAAGTTACAATATTTAAGATAGTAAATAAGGACAGACACATAAATCAGTGAAAAAGAATTGAAAGTCTAGAAATAAACCATTACATTTATGGTCTACTGATTTTCACCAAGAGTGCCAAGTCAATTCAATGGGAAAAGAATAATCTTTTAATGAATGGTGTTGGGATACCTGATTATTTGCATACAAAAGAATAAGGTTGGACCCCTTCTTTACCATACACAAAAATTAACTCAAAATGAATCATAGACCTAATGTCAGAACTAGAACTATAAACTCATAGAAGACAACATAGGAGTAACTACTCATGACACCAAAAGCACAAGAAACAAAAACCAAAAAGTGGACAAAATTGGATTTCATCACAATTGAAAACTTTTTCCTCCCAGCGATTCAATGAAGTTTTTTTTTTTTTATCCTCACCCAAGGACATTTTTCCATTTTTTGTTCAGCTAGAGTGGGAGGGAGAGAGAGGAAGAGAGAGAGAAACATCGACGTGAAAGGAACACATCGAGTGGCTGCCACCCGCATGACCAACCAGGGCCAGGGACAAACTGCAACCGAGGTACATGCCCTTAGCGGGAACCAAACCCCGGTCTCTCTGGACTGCAGGCCGATGCTCTAACCACTGAGCCAAACCGGCCAGGGCTCAATGAGGTATTACTGTCCTTATTTTAAGATGAAGACAATGAGGTTATGACAGTTAGATAATTTGCCCAACACTTTTAATCACACCATGAAAAATAAAATCTAATTCCCATTTGAATTATATATCCTTGTCATCCAGCTCAACACAGTCGAACCAGATTCAAATTCCATTAAGTCTCAGCCAGCAGGTCTAGATTTAATTCATTGTTGGAGCAATTAGAGGGCATGAGGCAGTGTTCCATGCACTGTGCAGAGGTGAGGAAGACTCCCAACCACTATGGCTGTCCTGTTATCCAGGTGAGTGGGACCCCTAGAGTTGTCCTGAGTCTATAGGTGCTTTGCTGGCTCTAAGTGGACACGAGACAGGCAAGGATGCCAATGGTGCCTCAAGTTCCCTACTGCCACTTCAACCAGAAATGTTGAGGTCTTTTGCTATTTTGGGTGGGAGGGAAACAGGGACAGAAGGATGAAGAGATAGAAGGAAAAGAAGAAGAGAGGGAGGAAAGAAGAAAGAATTTGCAATTCCCCACAAAGTTAAACATCGAGTTACCATATGATCCCTCAATTCCACATCTAGGTATATACCCAAGAGAAGTGAAAACATGTCCACATTAAAACTTGGACGAGAATGTTCATAGCATTATCCATAGCAGTCAAAAAGTGAAAACAACCTAAATGTTCATCAACTGACAAACAGATCAATAAAATATGATACATAAATACAGTGGAATTTATTTGGCAATAATGTAGGAATAAAGTATTGGCACATACAACATGCATAAACCTTGAAAACATTATACTAAGTAAAAGGCCATATATTGTATGGTTCTTCTATTTACATGAAGTGCTCAGAATGGGCAAATCCATATAGACAACAGGAGCTGGGGGCAAGGAGAAATGGAGAGTGACTATTATTGGGTACTTTAAAAATTTTTTAAGTAAATGAAAAATAAAAGAAGTGAACTTGAATTTAATTTGACAGCCTAGCAGAACAAGCAGGACACATACAATTTTATCTACAAGGTACTAAGGATTACAGTGTCCAGAGAAAGCTTAAGACTATATTTTGGTTTCCATCCAATGACTTTAAATGACAAGAGCATTATATTTGTACTTTTCCATAAAAACAAAACTTTATTACAAACATTTGAATATAAATATATAATACAGTTTTAATGTTTATATAAATGTTAAATAGAATCTATGTAATATATCAAATTCAAATATATATAGCATAGATTATAAAAATATAGTCAATATACCTATTAATTCTATTTTTAGAAATATTTAACACATAAAAAAGTAAAGTTAAGCCCTGGCCAGTTTGGCTCACCGGTAGGAGTGTTGGCCGTGGACCAGAGTCGCAGATTCGATTCCGGTCAGGGGCACATACCTAAGTTGCAGTTCGGTCCCCAGCCCTGCTTAGGGTCGTGCAGGAGGCAGCCAGTTGATGTCTCTCTCTTTCTCCCTCCTACTCTCTCTGAAGAAAAATATCCTCAGGTGAGGATTAAAAAAAAAAAAGTAAAGTTAATCAAATATTTTGGCTTGCTTTTTTTTTTTTTTAAAAAGATATCTTTTTATTGATTTTTAGAGAGAAAGAAAGGGAGAGGGAGAGAGAGATAGAAACACCGATGAGAGACCACATTGATTGGCCACCACCAGCATGCCCCCTACTGGGGATCAGGCCCACAACCTGGGCACGTGCCCTGACTCCTGAATCGAACCAGCAACCTTGGTGCATAGGTCAATGCTCAACCACTAAGCCATACCGGCTAGGCTGGTTTTCTTTCTAATCCTTAGCTATTACCATGCTTCACCTAATTTAGGTTTCTTTCCAAGTTCAAGTAGAAGATAACCATTAAAATTACTCATAATAGTCCTGGCTGGTTTGGCTCAGCGGTTAGAGCATCGGCCTATGGTCCAGAGAGACCGGGGTTCAGTTCCTGCTAAGGGCACATATCTCGGTTGCGGTTTGTCCCCAGCCCTGGTTGGTCGTGCGGGTGGCAGCCACTCGATGTGTTCCTTTCACGTCGATGTTTCTCTCTCTCTCTCTCTCTCTCTCTCTCTCTCTCTCTCTCTCCCTCCCTCCCACTCTATCTGAACAAAAAATGGAAAAATGTCCTTGGGTGAGGATAAAAATGTATAAATAAATAAACAAGTACACTGAATAGCTGATTTTCCTAAAAAGACAGCTAGAATACAACCAAACAACATAATTTGCACCTTTTGTAATCACACTTTTCATTCAGTCTTCTCTCTGAAACCAACACCTCGTGCATATCACTCACCTGGTCCTGTGGCTTTTGGTCTTTGTTTAGGGGCTGCAGAGGCTTTTCGTTTCTTCCCCCAATGACATCGTCAGAGGACCATGTAGGAATTAGGTTTCCGGGTTGAGTGATAGACTTAGTGTTATCCTGCAGCCCCTCCTTCACTTGAGAAATACTGCATTTATCTTCTAGCTCATTAGAGGCATCTAAGTGTCTTGGATGATTCTCTTGAACTAACCCATCACTGAAGTCCCTTTCTGCAGGTAAGATGTCAATGTTCACTCTACTGATTGTAGCTAGTGATTCTGTGGTACTGCTCATGTCTGGTTTGCAGGTGTGGCCTTTCAGATTTGCAGGTGTCTTCAAGAGGCCAATGACTATGTGTTTCTCTTCGGATAAACCTTTGTCTTCACCCTGAGTAAAATGCTTTCAAGTTATTACAGCACTCCTCACACCATAAAAAAAATAATAATAACTCAAAAAGAAAGAAGAGATTCCTCAAAAAGTTAAACACAGAAGTACCATATGACCCAGCCATCCCACTCCTAGGTATATATCCCAAAGAACTGAAAGCAGAGACCCAAACAGGTATTTGTGCACCAATGTTTATAGCAGCATTATTCACAATGACCAAAATGTGGAAAGGATCCTAATGTACATTAGCATTTGAAAGGACAGACAAAATGTAGTATACATACAGTGGAACATTACAAAGCTATAGAAAGGAATGAAGTTCTGATATGCTACAACATGTATAGACCTTGAAACCATGCTAAGTGATATAAGCCAGACACAAACAATAAATATTGTACAGTTCTATTTATATAAGATACCTAGAACAGGCACATTTATAGAGGTTAATGGGGTCTGGAAGTAGGAAAAATGGAGAGTTATTGTTTAATGGGTACAGAGTTTTTGTTTAGAATGATGAACGGGTTTTGGAAGATAGTGGTGATGGTTTCACAACACTAAATATAATAAGGCTACTAAGTTGTACACTTAAAAATAGTTCAAAATAGCAAATTTTACATTATATATTTTACCACAATAACAAATTTTTAAAATGGACCAACAACCTAAACATGAGAACCAATATTATAAAACCCCTAGAAGAAAACATAGACATACATCTTCATGACTTTGAATTTGGCAAGTAATCTTAGATATGACTCCAAAAATACGAGCAACAAAAGAAAAAAAGATAAACTGGGTTCCATTATAATAAAAAACTTTTGTGCATAAAAGGACATTATCGCCCTGGCCGATGGGGCTCAGTCGGTTTAAGCATCATCCAATACACTAAAAGGGTGTGGGTTCACCCTGGCTGGTTTGGCTCAGGAATAGAACATCAGCCTGTGGATAATGAGTCGTAGGTTCGATGCCGACCAAGGGCACATACCTCGGCTGTGGTTCATCCCAGCCCTGGTCAGGGTCATGTGGAAGGCAAACAATTGATGTGTCCCTCTCACATAAATGTTTCTTTTTTTCTTCCTTTCTGTCCCTCTCTCTCCCTCCCACTCTATCTGAAGATAAATAAAAAAAAACATCCTCAGGTGAGGATAAAAAAAAAAAAAAGGTTGTGGGTTCGATTCCTGATCAGGGCACATACCTAGGTTGTGGGTTTGATCCCCAGTCAGGGCGTGTACAGGAGGCAACCAATCAATGCTCCTCTCTCACATCGATGTTTCCCTCTCTCTCTCTCTCTCTAAAATCAATGACAATATCCTCAGGTGGGGATTAAAAAAAAAGGGGGCCCTGGCCAGTTTTTCTCAGTGGTTAGAGCATCAGCCTGTGGTCCGGAGAGACCCGAGTTTGGTTCCTGCTAAGGGTGCATACCTCAGTTGCAGTTTGTCCTCGGCCCTGGTTGGGTTGTGTGGGTGGCAGCCACTTGATGTGTCTCTTTCACGTTAATATTTCTCTCTCTCTCTCTCTCTCTCTCTTCCTCTTTCTCCCTCCCACTCTATCTGAACAAAAAATGGAAAAATGTCCTTAAGTGAGGAAAAAAAAAGGAGCCCTGGCCAGTTTGACTCTGCTTAGAGCGTCAGCCCGCGGACCGGAGAGTCCCGAGTTCGGTTCCCACTGGTGGTATGTACCTCGGTTGCAGTTTGTCCTCGGCCCCAGTTTGAGGCATGTGGGTGGCAACCACTCGATGTGTCTCTCTCATAACAATGTTTCTCTCTCTCTTTTTCTCCCTCTCTCCCTCCCACTCTATCTGAAGATACATGCAAAAGTGTCCTCGAGTGAGGATTAAAAAAAAAACTTTTTAAAAAGGACATTAAGAAAATGAAATGGGCCCTGGCCGGTTTGGCTCAGCGGTTAGAGCATCGGCCTGCGGTCCGGAGAGACCCGGGTTCGGTTCCCGCTAAGGGCGCGTATTTCGGTTGTAGTTTGTCCCCGGCCCTGGCTGGTCGTGCGGGTGGCAGCCACTCGATGTGTCTCTTCACGTCGATGTTTCTCACTCTCTCTCCCTTCCTCTCTCTCCCTCCCACTCTGTCTGTGCAAAAAATGGAGGAATATCCTCGGGTGAGGATAAAAAAAAAGAAAATGAAATGGTAGTATATGTTTGTAAATCATAAGAGTTTAGTATCCAGAATACAGAAAGAACTCTATGAACTCAATGACTAAAAACCCAATTAAAAAATGGACAAAGAACTTAGTATTTCTCCAAAGAAGTCATCCACATGCTAACAAGCTTGTCAAAAGATGCTCCATGTCATTAGCCATTAGTGAACTGCAAATCAAAACTACAATGAGCCCGGCTGGTGTGGCTCAGTGGTTGAGCATCGACCCATGCACCAAAAGGTTGCCAGTTCGATTTCGGGTCAGGACACATGCCCAGGTTGTGGGCCCAATCCCCAGTGGGGCATGCAGGAGGCGGCCAATCGATGTTCTCTCTCATTAGTGTTTCTATCTTTCTCTCCCTCTCCCTTCCTCTCTCTCTCTCTCTCAAATCAATAAAGAAAAAAAAAAAAACCTACAATGAGATACCACCTCACATCCACTAGAATGGCTGAATGAGAAAAACAAAAGTAACAAGATTTGGCAAGGTTGCAGAGAAACGAGAACCTTGTAAAATTATGTAAAATTATTTAACCAATATGAAAAACAATGTGGTGGTTCCTCAGAAAGTTAAAGATAGGCCCGGCTGGTGTGGCTCAGTGGCTGAGTGTCGACCTGTGCACCAGGAGGTCACCGGTTCGATTCCCAGTTGGGGCACATGCCCAGGCTGTGGGCCAGGTCCCCAGTGGGCGGCATGCAGGAGGCAGCTAGTTGATGTTCTCTCTCATTGATGTTTCTATCTCTCTCCCTCTCCCTTCCTCTCTCTCTGAAATCAATAAAGAAAAAAAAAAAAAGAGAGCCCTGGCCAGTTTGGCTCAGCTGTTAAGAGTGTTGGCCCGTGGATTAGAGAGTCTCGGGTTCGGTTCCTGCTAAGGGCACACACCTCGGTTGCAGTTTGTCCCCGGACCCGGTTGGGGTCATGTGGGTGGCATTTCCAGTCACAGGTATGTACCCAAGGTTTCAGGTTCAATCCCCAGTCAGGGTACATACAGGTATCAACCAATGAATGCATAGAAAAATGAAACAACAAACTGATGTTTCTCTCTTGCGCGCGCCTCTAAAATCAATAAATAAATTGAAAAAATTCCTTACTAAGAGGAAAAAAATAACTGAAAACAGGTACTCAAACAAATAATTATACACAAATGTTCGCAGCAATAGCCAAAAAGTGAAAACCGCCCAATATCCATCAATAAATAAACAGATGAACAAATTGTGGTATATACATACGAGATATTATTCACACACAAACATAAATGACGTATTGATACATGCTATGTGGAGGAACCTCAAAAACGTTATAAGTGAAAGAAGCCAAGATATAAAAGGTCACATATTGTACGATTTCATTTATATAAAATGTCTAGAATAGGCTAATCCATGAGAGACAGAAAACACACAAGTGGTGGTTTTCAGAGGCTGGATGGGAATGAGGATGACTACTTAATCAGTATAAAGCATCCTTTGGGGTGATGTGAAAATGTTTTAGAACTAAATAGGTGTGATGGTTCCACAACACTGAATGTACTGAATGCAATTAACTGTTCACCTTAAAATGGTTAACTTTGTTATATAAATTTCACCTCAATAAAAGAAATTCTTAGAATAAAGTTATTGCAGCACTGCCTTCATGAACAGCTTGACAGCCCATGTTGGATAAAGTGGGCTAGGTGAAATCACCTTTACCAGCATTCTTTCTCTGCAATACATAATTAATTACACAACAGAAATCTTCAGTAAAGCCTAATCATTTCACATAAAATAACTTGTTTAGATAATCTATCATTTTAATACAGTTTCTAAAACATGTACCCTTTAAAAACAAACGTACCATTACATACGTCTTGGAGCCCTCAGAAGAGAGTGGTCGGGGGGGGACTACTTCATGATTTGATTCAGCCTTTCCAGAAACCACTGAAGAAATAGGCTTGATTTTAGAGTCACCATTTTTAATATTACTTTTGGAAGTTTTTCTTTATGAGAAAGAAAAGAAAAAGTTATCAATATAATGAAGATGAAAGGTTTTCTTCTTTATATTATCAATACATTGAAGAGGAAAGACATGAGAAAAATGTGTGTATGTACAACTTTCTCTTACAGAACTGCTTCATTTATAGAGAACAGTCTTCTAAAAATTAGGTGGAATTCTACAAAACACTTGGCCAGTACTCTTCAAAAATAATCAAGGTCATGAAAAACAAAGAAAGTGAAAATTGTCCCAGACCCAGCCTGACTAAGGAGACATGAGGAGTAAATGTAATATGATATCCTAGAGTGGATGCTAGAACAGAAAAATGACATTAGTGGAAAAACTGGAAAAGCCAAATAAAGTCTGGAGTTTAGTCAACAGGTACGTACTGATGTGGGGTTTTTAGTACTAACAAAGGTACCACAGTAATGGTAGGAGAAATTGGGTAGTTGGTATACAGAAAGTCTCTGTACTATCTCTGCAACTTTTCTGTAATACAAAACTATTCAAAATAAAAATCTCTGAGCCCTGGCCAGTTTGGCTCAGCAGTTAGAGCATCGGCCTGCGGTCCAGAGAGACCCGGGTTCGGTTCCCACTAAGGGCACGTACCTCGGTTGCAGTTTGTCCCCGGCCCTGGTTGGGTCAGAGCCGTGCGGGAGGCAGCCACTCGATGTGTCCCTTTCACATCGATGTCTCTCTCTCTCTCTCTCCCTCCTACTCTATCTGAACAAAAAAATGGAAAATGTCCTCAGGTGAGGATAAAAACAAACAAACAAAATAAAACAAAGTTACTTCTATTTTGCCCTGGCCGGTTTGGTTCAGCGGTTAGAGCGTCGGCCTGCGGTCCAGAGAGACCCGGGTTCGGTTCCCGCTAAGGGCATGTACCTTGGTTGCAGTTTATCCCCGGCTCTGGTTGGTCGTGCTGGTGGCAGCCACTTGATGTGTCCCTTTCACATTGATGTTTCTCTCCCCCTCTTCCTCTTTCTCCCTTCCACTCTATCTGAACAAAAAATGGAAAAAAATGTCCTCAGGTGAGGATAAAAAAAAAAAAAAAAAAAATCTCTGAGAAACTGCCCTGGCCAGGTGGTTCAGCTGGCTGAAGTGTCATCCCACGCACCAAAAGGTTGTGGGTTCAATTTCCAGTCAGGAAATTGAAAGTTTTGTGTTCAATCCCTGGTCAGGGCACATACAGGAGGTTAATGTTTCTCTCTCACATCAATGTCGATCTCTTTCTCTCTCTCTTCCTCTCTCTATCCTCAAGCAAGGATTTAAAAAAATTTTTCTGAAAAATTGCATCACGTACAGAAGTACCAGGATAATTTTCATCTTCAAGTTTCATATGTTTGGAATACTACCACAACTGCTTTGCCAAGTTTGAGAGTAAAAATGATTGGTATACTCAGCCTTGACTTGCAGAATAAATGTACATAGAAATAACATCTTTAACTGTTTTGGTGTGACATTTCTACAACGGGGCTAAATCTCTGGAAAATTCAAGGACAGCATGAAGACCAGCACTGTAGATGGAAGGCCAAAGCTCTGTTTGGTAGTAAATTAGGAACAATGTAAACAAAAAGATGGCCCTTTAGCCCCTTGGGCCTTGTTAGCATTGCCTCCCACATTTAACGTGTCATAAGGCAGAGATGTCCAGCTCTAAGTTTTAGCTTCTGGAGCAGCTGTTCAGTGAAGGTAGGACCTGCAAGTCAAAGAAAGGAATTCTTTTTTTCTTGAGAAGTTATAAGGGAAGCTTATGAAGGTCTCAGAAATCTGATCACTATATTGTAGATGTTACTATTATCTTACATAGTACATAATGTAATAGGTTTCTTAGACAATCTCTCATTTTAATAGGGTTTCTAAAACACGTCTTTTTTTCTTTTTTCTTTATTGATTTTAGAGAGAGAGGAAGAAAGAGAGATAGAAAAATAGAAACATCGATGAGAGAGAACATCAATTGGCCACCTCCTGCATGCCCTCCACTGGGGATCTGACCCACAACCTGGGCATGTGCCCTGACCAGGAATCAAACTGGTGACCTCTTGGTGCATAGGTCAATGCTCAACTACTGAGCCACACCGGCCAGGCACCACATGTCTTTTTATTTATTTTTATTATTATTTTTTTTTATCCTCACCTGAGGATATTCTTCCATGTTTTGTTCAGATAGAGCAGGAGGGAGAGAGAGGAAGAGAGAGAGAAACATCAACGTGAAAGGGACACATTGAGTGGCTGCCACCCACACGACCCAACCAGGGATGGGGACAAACTGCAACCGAGGTATATGCCCTTAGCAGGAACCGAATCTGGGTCTCTCCGGACCACAGACCGACGCTCCAGCTGCTGAGCCAAACTAGCTAGGGCACAACACATGTCTTTTTAAAAGAATCATACTCAATATGTCTTGGGACCCTCTGAGGAATGTTAATAGTTATTCTCTAAATTGTTCTCTCAATTTCTGATTTTAGCAATTAAGCAAATCTCAACACTTTTTTTTTTTAATTTAATTTCTTTTTTACTTATTTATTTATTTTATCCTCACGTGAGGACACTTCTACATTCATCTTCAGATAAAGCGAGAGGAAGAGAGAGAGAAAAACATAAGTGTGAGAGAGACACATTGAGTGGTTGCCACCCACACGACCCCAACCGGGCCTGGAAACAAACTGCAACTGAGGTACGTGCCCTTAACAGGAACTGAACCCGGGTCTCTCTGGACCGTGGGCCGATGCTCTACCCGATGAGCCAAACCAGCCAGGGCTCAACACATGTTCTAATCATGCAATTTCACTTCATGTTTAGAAGAAACTCACCATAAATTCTAGCACATCAAAATTACAGAAGCCACCCTCATTTATTCCATCTATCCAACCCAGCTACTTGCAAGGGAAGTATCTTACGCTTTTGTGGCCTCCAAAAAGAAGAAGATTTGGCGCTTTATATAAGGCTGCCTCAGGATGCTCCTCACAGAGGGTCTTTCTTCAGGCCTTTTGCTCAGCATTGTTCTTATCAGTTCTGCCAGCTCTGGGCTATAATCTTTTGGCATTGGTGGCAGCTACAAATAGAAATAATACCATAATTATGACTAATGATCTTGTGACGCAAAGTAAATGAAGGTTGAGTTTTCCAATATTTATTTTAAGTCATTATCCACATAAGCATAAAATAACGAGTACATTAGTCTACAGGAGGTATACTGATGTCCTGGTTATAATAGCAAGTTGTAAGACTGTAAAAGTATATTCTTCAAACCAGCAGTTTGAAGACTCCCCCCTTCAAATATAAGGGCATGAGACTTCCAGTCAAGATGGCAGCATAGGTAAATTCGGTACTCACATCCTCCCACAACTACATTAAAATTACAAATAAACTACAGAACAACCTACAACTAGGAAATTAAAGAAGCAGCCACATGGAGACTGGTAGGAGGAGTGGAGACATGGAACAGGCTGGTCCCATACCGATGTGTGGCAGTTTAAAATCAGGAGGGATATCTCGGCTGCAGAGGGACCTCCTGAGAAGCAATGGGTCCTAGCCTCACACCAGGCCCCCAAGCCCAGGGTTCTAGTATTAGAAGAGAAGTTCCCATAACTTCTGGCTGTAAAAACCAGTGGGGAGCCTGGCTGGTGTGGCTCAGTGGTTGAGCATCAACCTATGCACCAAGAGGTTGCTGGTTCGATTCCCGGTCATGGCACATGCCTGGGTTGTGGACCCAATCCCCAATGAGGGGCATGCAGGAGGCGGCCAATCGATGTTTTCTCTCATCGATGTTTCTATCTCTCTCTCCCTCTCCCTTTCTCTCTCTCTAAAAATCAATAAAGAAAAAAAAGAAGAAAAGAAAAACCAATGGGGATTGTAGCTGAGTGAGACAAAGGGTTTCTGGAATCCCAGGCAGTTCCTCTTAAAGGGCCTGTGCATAGACTTACTCAGACTCACTCCCTCTGAGCTCCAGCGCTGGGGCAGCATCTTGAAAGGTACCAGAGACACATGGGGGGGGGGGGACTAAATGGTCTGGCATCAGGATGAGAGCTGGGGGGTGGGGGTGGGGAGGGAGCTTTCTCCCACACAGAAGTGCTGGCAGAGGCCACTGTTCCTTTGATGAGCCCTACTCTCACTGAGCTGGGAGCACACACCACATCTGAGACTCCATCAACCTGGCTCACACTGTTTGCCCTGTCCTAGTGATTCCCTGAGGCCCTGCCTCACCCAACTTTGGGCCCACCCAAGCTGTTCCCAGTGTCTTTTCCATAAGAATGGCCTGTCTTGGCTCATGCTTCGGACTTTCCTAAAATCTCTCAAACAACATCTGGACTCAGCACACACCCCATACCTCTTGCTAAGTGGTCCCAGGCCTGGCACTAGCAGCAGCTGGCCTTGGCTCACAGCTTGGCTTTACCTGGGTACTCCAAGCCCAGCACAAGTAGCAGCATCTGAATATTGCTTTGTAGCTCATGCTGGGTGGCCCCCCGGGGCAGAACACAGGCAGGGGCAGAACACAGGCAGCGCCTGACCTTGGCCTGCACTTCCTGGGAGGCCCCAGAGCCAGCGCACCCAGTGGATACCTTCAAACTATGTCAAAGTACCACCAACCAACCAACTCCACAAGCGACACATTCAGGGGGCAGACTCAGTGGGCACCAGAGCCCTGCTGAAATAAGTCCTGCTCTGTGTGGTGGGCCCCTGAACAGCTGATCCTTCACGGTGGTCAGTGGTTGCAAAGTCAGTCCTTGCAGCTGATCAGCTGATCTTCCTGGGGATAAATCGCTCCCATTGATGTGCTAACAGCAATCAAGGCTCAACTACAACAGGAGGGCACAGCCCACATGGTAAGTGCACCTCGAGTGCCCATCTTGGGTTATAGGGGAGGCTGTGCCACTGGACACCTACTACATTAGGTCACTCCACCAAGCCTGGAAGATGTAGTAGCTCTACCTAATACATAGAAACAAACACAGGGACTCTGCCAAAATGAGACAAAGAAGCATGTCCCAAATGAAAGAACAGAACAAAACTCCAGGAAAAGAACTAAACAAAATGGAGACAAGCAATCTACTAGATGCAGAGTTCAAAACATTGATTATAAGGATGTTCAATGACCTAAGTGAGAACTTCAACAGCATAACAAAGGACAAGTCAGAAATGAAGCATACACTAACTGAAATGAACAATAATTTACAGGGAAACAACAGTAGAGGAGATGAAGCTAAGAATCCAATCAGAGATTTGGAATTAAGAAAACAAAAAACACCCAATCTGTACAGCAAAAAAAAAAAAATCCAAAAAAGTGAGGATAGTGTTAGGAACCTCTGGGACACATTCAAGCATACCAACATTTGCATCATGGGGATGCTGGAAGGAGAAGAGAGAGAGAGGAAGAAATTGAAAACCTATTTGAAAAAATAATGACAGAGAACGTCCCTAATCTGATGAAGGAAACAAACACACAAGTCCAGGAAATGCAGAGAGTCCCAAAAAAGATGAACCCTAAGAAACCCACATCGAGACACATATAATTAAAATGCAAAAGGTTAAAGACACAGAGAGATCTGAAAAGCTGCAAGAGAAAAGCAGATAGTTAACTACAAGGGAGTTCCCATAAGTCTATAAGCTGATTTCCCAACAGACACTTTGCAGAAAAGAGTGGCAAGAAATAAAGTGATGAAAAGCAAGGACTTACAACCAAGATTATTCTACCTAGCAAAGCTATTATTTAGAATCGATGGACATATAAGGAGCTTCCCAGACAATATAAAGCTAAAGGAGTTCACCACTACCAAAGCTGTATTACATGAAATGTTAAAGATCTTCTTTAAGAAGAAACCGGAGGCGGGGAGGCGGGGGGGCGGGGGGGTGGGTATAAAAAATATGAACAATACAATGGTAATAAATACATATCTATCAACAATTGAATCTAAAAAACAAAATAAATGAACACACTCAGACACAGAACATTTTGATGGTTGCCAGATGGGAAGGCACTTGGCAGAATGGGTGGAAAAGGTGAAGGGATTAAGAAGTACAAATTGGTTTCTATGTATTAGGTAGAGCTACAGAATAGTCATGAGGATGTCAAGTACAGCATAGGGAATATAGTCAATAATATTCTAATAACTATGTATGGTGTCAGATGGGTACGAGATTTATTGGGATGATCACTTAGTAAGTTATATAATATCTAATCACTGGATGTGCAACTGAAACTAATATATAATGTATGTTAATTGTAATTGAAAATTTTTTTTTTTTATCCTCACCCGAGGACATTTTTCCATTTTTTGTTCAGCTAGAGTGGGAGGGAGAGAGAGAAACATTGACGTGAAAGGGACACATCAAGTGGTTGCCACCCGCACGACCCAACCAGGGCCGGGGACAAACTGCAACCAAGGTACATGCCTCTAGCAGGAACCGAACCTGGTTCTCTCTGGACTGCAGGCCGACGCTCTAACCACTGAGCCAAACCGGCCAGAGCCTGTAATTTAAAAAATTTTAAGAAATGATTAAAAAGAAAGAAAAGAAATAAGGGCATGAGTTCCTAAAGAGTTATATACCAGGATATTCACTTCAGTATTGTACTTGCAGTAGTAAAAAGACTAGAAACTTAAATGTCCATCAATAGGGGACTTATAGAATAGACTATGGTACATTCTTTTAATAAAATACTAGGCAGCGTCTTAAAAAAATAAAAGATGTACCAAACTGGTAAGATGTCCCTCATATATTAAGTCAAAAAAGTGAATTGTCTAACAATGTGTACAGCCTGATTCCACTTCGGCTACTTTTTTAAAGTATCTGTGTGTATATGTGCATATATATACACCTAGAGTTATATCTTTATAAGACAGGAAAAAGCCAGGAAAGCCATGTACCAAATTGTGAACAATGGCTATCTACAGGGGATTATTAAAATGGATAGGAGAGGGATATTACAGTCCTTTCTTGTTTGATTCTTTAATTGTAGAAGTATAGGCACATTTTATTTATTTTTTGTATTTTTCAATATTTCTCAAATTAAAAAATTAAATGGGTCTTGGTATAATAAAATCAGTAGGTGATTTATAGCCTTAAATTTGTTGATGTGTGGATGCCTGACACTGCATAGGGCAACTAAACTCATGGAACTAACATATAAAGTTGGTCACTGGTATCTATATCATACACAATGCTTTTTGCAATTCTTATACAGTTATTAGTGATTGTGTTGATTACCAAAGGAACAACAAATTCAAACAGAGTAGATTCATTTTAAATGGGGCTCATTTAACCATAAGCTGTTTAGGAGAAGCTACTAATAGTCTCTCACGACACCTGCATGTCCCACGGCTACAGGTAATGGTTCTCAAAAAGCTAATTCTTTGGAGTCATTAAGCCACTTTTACAATTTAATGTCAATAAATGATCAATTCCTTCTCGTCCAAGTCAACCTTCCCCACTGCAGGGACCAAACATTCTTAATTATCCACCCAGCATCAATGATTACTCACTTTTATCAGTAGCTACTTACAAAGTTGCATTAAATTAACCTTGCTTCAAATGTTTAAAACAATTAGTTCCAGAATATTCTTTACCTTTCCTTCAATAATCCGATAAACTAAAGAATTCATGTCTTTTGCATTGAAAGCATGCTTCAGAGTGGCCATTTCATAAACACAGCATCCCAAGGCCCAAACGTCAGACTAGGAAAAAAAACACAAAGTAAATGTTTATATATCAGAATGCCTTATTTACACTTTTCCTCTTAAAAAAAGAAAAGACATTTTCCTTAAACCAATTCACAGAGAATTCTTTGATATAACTATTTTAATGAGCTTTGAAATTATGAATACTGTCCTACAGATGAGGTGAGCTGGTATACACAGCCCAATCCTACCTTATAGTTGTAGGGTTTGTTTGAGAACAATTCAGGGCTCATGTAGTAGGGTGTGCCAATGAGGGTGCTGGCCATATCACAGTGGTTCTCTAACACTCGGGCAATTCCTAAGTCACCCACTTTGATGATGTTTGTTCTTGTTAGGAAGACATTTTGAGTTTTCAGATCTCGATGAAGGATGTGTTTTTCATGTAAATACTGAAAAGAGAAATAAAATTTCATTAAACATAAACAGACTTATCTACTTATTTATTGCTGACTTCTTATATACCATTATTAATTGCATGAATAAAAAGCCTTAGTTATCACCCTGGCTGGTTTGGCTCAGTGGTTAGAGCGTCGACCCATGGACCAGAGAGTCCCAGGCTTGGTTCCTGCTAAGGGCATGTACCTCGGTTGCAGTTTGTCCCTGGCCCTGGTTGGGGTTGTGTGGGTGGCAACCACTCGATGTGTTTCTCTCACATCAATCTTTCTCTCTCTCTCTTCTTCCCTCTTTCCCTCCTGCTCTATCTGAAGATAAATGCAAAAATGTCCTCGGGTGAGGATAAAAGTAAATAAATAAATAAATAGCCTTAGTTATCTACATATCAAAACACTATTATATTATAGTCTCTAAATAAAAAGTATAATTTACAACTTTCCAAAGTAAAAAAATTGCCCTGGCTGGGTAGCTCAACTAGAATGTTGTCCTGATACACCAAGGTTGCAGGTTCAATCCCTGGTCAGAGCACATAAAGAATCAACCAATGAATGCATAAATATGTGGAACAACAAATCAGTGTTTCTCTCTCTCTTTCTCCCTTCCTCTCTCTCTAAAATCAATAAATAAATTTTTTAAAAATTATTTTTTTTTCATTCTCACCTGAGGACATTTTTCCATTTTTTGTTCAGATAGAGTGGAAGAGAGAAACATCGACGTAAAAGGGACACATCGAGTGGCTGCCACCCACACAACCCAACCAAGGCTGGGGACAAACTGCAACGTAGGTACATGCCCTTAGTGGGAACTGAACCCGGGTCTCTCTGGACCGTAGGCTGACCCTCTAACCGCTGAGCCAAACTGGCCAGGGCTAAAAAAATGTTTAAACATTGCCCTGGCTGGCTTGGCTCAGGGGTTGGAGCGTCAGTCCCCGGACCAATGAGTCTAGAGTTTGATTCCGGTCAACGGCACTTACCTCAATTGCAGTTCGTCCCCGGCCCTGGTTTGGTCGTGCGGGAAGCAACCAGTCAATGTGGCTCTATCACATCAGTGTTTCTCTCTCTCCCTCTCCCTCTCTCGCTCCCTCCCACTCCATCTAATAATAAATAGAAAAATATCCTCAAGTTTGGTACTAAAAAAAATTTCTTTTAAACATTAAAAATAAAAAAGGGCAGGCACAATAATGGTGACTGCATTGGCAATGACGGTGGGTGGTGGAGCAGGCAGTGCTGGGCAGAGCAAGCTAGGCAAGTCCACAATGAACACACTAGTCAAGTCCAAAGTGTGGAAGGCCACCCCACTGGGCCTGGCGCAGGGGCCCACACCCCAAATGCTGCAGCTGCACTTAGTACCCATGCTTCCATCACCAAGACCTGAAGGACGTGATCTACAAGGTCCACTATGATAACTACCGTATCTGCAGACTCAATGAAAGCCACATGCTTTCCCATGGGCCCAGCTGGGTGAATCTGGCCCTGACCCCCACATCCCCTTGGCCAACCCTGGGGCCTCGAAATTTCACTGACAGGGCCCACAACAATTCCACAAAGGAGTACTGAGCACAGGCACACCCCGGGCACCCTGGGTTCCCCCAAGTGCTCAGCAGCCCCAAACACACACTTGTTTGTGTACTACAGCATGTATTAAAAGTGGACATAGCTTAAAAAAAAGGTATAAAAAAATAAAATTCCATGCAGTAATTTGCCCAATATCCTTCACAATTGTTCATTGACCATTATACCATTTAGTGTTATATGGATCCAGTTAAAAATCATGTTTAAAAACTCCGACTGAAGGTAGAAAAAACAACTTATACACGGTCAGGTGCATAGTCCTCTCAGATTCATAAAATTTTCAGCTTAATAATATTTTCAAATATAACAAGTTCACTTTTATTTAGAGAGAGTATCCTACAATTTAAACTAAAAGGTAAATTAATTCTGGACAAATCTGCCCAGTTCCAGAGTATTTCATAAACAGTCTCACTATTGAATATGTGTATAGTAAACCATAAACATGTTTTGCATTTCCACTCACTCTGCCACAAGGCTAAAGCCACAAATCCTACCATTAAGGCATATTAATTAGCCCAACCACATTGCAGTGTGACACAGCTAATCAGTTCGTAACAAACATAGTCATTCTTTGTTCTCTGTTGACTTGGGGCCCTTAAAATACACTTTGGGTCCTGGCCAGTTGCTCAGTGGTTAGAGCGTTAGCCCGTGGACCAATGAGTTGCGGGTTCGATTCCTATCAAGGGCATATACCTCGGTTACGGTTCATCCCAGCCCTGGTCGGGGTCATGCAGGAGGCAAACAGTTGATGTGTCTCTCTCATATTGATGTCTCTCTCTCTCCCCCTCCCTCCCACTCTATCTGAAGATAAATAGAAAAATTTTCTTGGGTGAGGATTAAAACAAAACAAAACAAAACAAAATACTTTGATATAAATATTAAGTGAATAGAGAATTGGCTTCCCCTCCAATTAGACATGAAATCCATGTCTACTTCAACATGGATATCACTCATTCAGAAACATTCCAATGCTACAACATGAATGACTGAGTCCACTTCATAAATGTATGTTCCCCAAAATAAATTTTTTTCATGTACACATTTGGGGAAGAATTTTCCTAAAATCCACCTGCCATCCCCCCTGTCCCCTTGGAGCAAGTAGGATGCTGTCAGTCTGTAGAGTACCTGCAGAGCCATGGCGATCTGAACAAACCATTCCACCACCTGATTTTCAGGCAGAAGCTGCCCTTTCTGCTCCTTGAGCTTTCGGTACAGATCACCTCCTTCACAGAATCCCATGACGATGTACAGCAGACCATCCCCTCCCTCCCATGACTCCTTGTAGGTGACAATATTGGGGTGCTTCAGCTGAGACAAGAGCTGGGCTTCTTGTTCAGCAGCTCGCCGCTCTCGGCTGGAGACATTTCGTAAGTTCAGTTTTTTGATGACATACTACAAAGAAAACATGTGTTTTAAATTCACATACAGTTTTATCAGTTCAGAAGTATTTAGGGTTCTTCTGAGGGTCCTCAGAAGACTAACCTTCTGAAACCAATTCAATAACCTAGTAATTTTGTTATTCACAAAGCAAAAAATTGTGTGGGGGGAAACATTTGCCACATTTGCTATCACTAATAGTACTTTTTACAGGTCAGACTAATAATGGGGAAAGGTGCATCACAAAAAATTTCTGCAGAGAGAATAGATCCATGGGTTGCATTAAGTACTAAAAGGGATCCATAGCCCAACAAGGTTAAAAATCACTGACCCTCAACATACAAAAGCATTCCCACTTTTTAAAAAATCAATATCCTCTCATACCTAATACACTGCTCTCAATCAATCAAAAGAACATACAATTCATTATTCAGCAAACACATATATAAATGTGCTTCATAAAAATGGAAACTACTGCCTGGCTGGTTTGGTTCACTGGTCAGAGCATCAGCCCGCGAACCAGAATCACAGGTTTGATTCCACTCAAGAGCATGTACCTCAGTTGCAGTTAAATCCCTGTACCTGGTTGGAGTTGTGTGGGAGGCAACCAGTCGATGTGTCTCTCTCACATCAATATTTCTCTCTCTCTCTCCCTCCCTCCTTCCCTGCCTCCCACTCTATCTAAAAACAAAACAAACAAACAAACAAAATCAATGAAAGAATATCCTCGGGTGAGGATTAAAAAAAAAGGAAACTACTGCTCAAATGTCAAGGGCCATTATTACAGCTAGAACCCCATTCTCCACTCAAAAAAACTCATGACCCTCCGCTCCCTAAACATGTATGCCTTTGCCTACTGAATAAATCTCTTATGCCTGAGCTCTTGTTCCAGGCAGAGTGACCAGCACCCAAGATAAGAAAAAATAGGTGACAGAGCCTTATACTTAGGGGGACATCTCTAAACTTGTCTGGGGCAGTCCCATTGTGTTGGTGTAATTATTAAAGGCACCTCCGTTCAATTTCAAACTTGTCCCAGTTTGTACAATACAGTATATGGTCACCCTACTTATAAACCACATTAAAGACCTGGCTCCTCATCCTGAAGTTGGGATAAAGTGCTTTAAGCACAGCAGTGACATTAGATACAGGTTTTAGAACGATCACTAAGACTGCAATGAAAGGGACGGACTGGAGAAGAGCGAGTCATGAGGCAGGGAAGACCAGTGGGAGGCTCTGACAATAGTTTACCTAGAGATAATGATGTCCTGGATTGGCGTGGTACCAGTGGAGATGGACAAGAGCCTGCTGGCTTAGTGGACAGATGAATGGGGGTGGGGGAAGAGCGAAGCTAGCTGGTTGGTGGTGCTAGGCACTGAAATAGGAATCATGAGAGAAGGTTTGGTGGGAAGGTGATGAGTTGAGTTTTAAGGGAGTCCAGTAGTCTCCAGGTCATATATATGGGACCCATCAATCAAGGAGTAATATTTGTCAGGCGCTGTGTTAGGTCCTGGGAATGCATGATCTCACGGGATTGTTGAGCGTGGGGGAAAGTATGTAGATCAAGCACACCAACTAATACTACAAAGGAAAACTATAGGGTGTTTGTTCAGGGCGCATGTTACAGGAAGGTATGGCCTGGTCTTGGTCGTCTGGGACACTGGCCCTGAGTCAGTGCCATCTGAGCTGAGTACCCTTCGGACCACCCCAGGGCCTAACCTCTGGACAGCGCCTTAGGCGAACCCCGCGCGTCCCCGCCCCCTCATGGGCCCCAACTCCGCCGACCTGCCTGCCGTCCCGCCGGTGCCTCACGAGCGTCACCTCCCCGTAGCTGCCCCTGCCCACGACCTGCAGGTAGCAGTAGGAGGCCAGGGGCATGTTCCCGGCGCGGGGCAACAGTCGGGGTGCGGCGGCGACAGAAGGCAGGGCAGCTGGCCACAGCGAGACGCTCAGCTCATGACCGAGAAGCTGCGGTGCCCAGCCCTACGGAGACCGCCGGGCCCGGGCGCTAGCGCGAAGGCCGGGCCCACGGCGACGCCGCTGCCATAGCGATCCTCGGCGGCGCAGCTGCACGCATGCTCCGGCGGCCCGCGAGGCTCCACAGAGCGGCTCGGCCGGCTCCGCAGGACCATAGAGCCGAGGCACCAGGCGGCCAGAGCGACTCCGTCGGCCCTGCACGCACTCTCGGCCCCAGCTCCACCAGCAGGAACTTCCGGATCGGGAGCAACATTAGTCGTGGAAGCTTCCGCTTATCGGGCGCTTGTTCTAAGCGCTCTGCTAGCACTGGAAATGCGTTTTACAATTATCTATTAGCTGCCTACCCTGTGCCAGGCCCAAAAACTCCCTGCCCTTCGGGAGCTCACATTCTAATGGGGGTGGGTGGTAATGACGGACTCTATACTCTTGCAAGTAACATATTACACACACACACACACACCCCCTTTGTCACAAGTCTATTTTTGGATCCGGCAGTGCAGCTTGCTCTCTACTCATTTCAAAGTAGACTGAATATATCTGCACGCTTCACCCCTAAAAAAATCAGCTTATGTATTGAGACGTGCAAAGAAGTCCCTAAGTGCTCTATCCCCCTGCACTAAGTGACCTGACCAAACTCTGGCATGGCTTCTAACAGCTGCCAAAAGAATTTATTGTTTGCTCCAGCCAACACCTCCCTCTCTTAGAGCATTAACTTAAGAAAAGCTTGCAACTGCCATGGCCGGTTTGGCTCAACGGTTAGAGCTTTGGCCAGCGGACCAGAGATTCTGGGGTTCCTGGGGTTCGGCCCCGCTAAGGGCATGCACCTCCGTTGCAGTTTGTCTTCAACCACTGGGATTGAGTGGCTGGTAATCAGTCAATATGTCTCTCTCACATCGATGTCTTTCTCTCTTCCTTCCTCTCTCCCTCCCACTCTATCTGAAGATAAATGCAAAAATGTCCTGGGTGAGGATTTAAAAAAAAAAAAAAGCTTGCAATTTTAAAGCCTTCCTGTATCCCTTTGAGGAGATAAATATAGTATCTTCTACAACCCAGGAGTGTCTTTTTCAGGAACCTGAATTCATCTCTTTGAAATGTAAGATTTCTTCTGCCTACATCTGACAACCAATTTTTGTCCAGTTGGGGGCAATGTTGCCCTGTTGAAAATATATAATGAGAGCATACTCTTTCTTACCAGGGAGAGTTCATTCATATGCCATTGCAGTTAATCCCCAGCCTCCTCCCAGAGTCAAGTACATTAGTTCATTTAATCCTTACATCAACCCTGTGAGGCTGCTACTATCATCATCCTCACTTTACAGTTAAGGAAACTGAGTCCCTCAGAAGTTAAGGAACTCAAAACAATTTTAGAAGCCTTAGGGCTTGCTCACTCCTAGACCCCACTATAGTCATTGGCCTCATCTGTCCCAGAGAAAGCTTCCTGGAAAATGACTCAGATTCCCTTGGTGTTTTTTAGTCTTCACCCATCCCTCTTCCCCTGGGCAGTCTTTGCCTCTCTGGGGACTCTTCTTGTTTCTTGTTTTTTAAAACTTTCCTGGTTCTCCTGCTCCCCTTATACATTTCTATTCTCTTCTAACATCTCATGCTCTCTTGGGTTTTGAGATTTCCCCAGGTTCTGTGATCTGTCCTCTGCTTTTTACCTCCCTCAACTTGCTCTTTGTCAAACGTATCATTTACTCTACAGACATTTAGTATGGGCCCACATGATGCAAGGCTAGTGCCCTTCCCTGGAAGCACAAAGTGAATGAGACAGAGTCCTGCCCCTGTGGAGTTTACAGCCAGAGAGGGAGATGGCCATTAATCATTGAAGCATACTAACAAGTTATCCTTGCTAACTGAGGTCAGTGCTGTGCAGAAAGTTCACTAGCCCCACCCGAGGCATTCAGGGGAGCTTACTCCCAAGCAAGCATTGCTTGGATTTAAGTTTGAAGGAAAACTTGTTCAGGCAGAGGGAGCAGCATATGCTAAGGCCCAATGGACTTCTTTTGTGATTCCACCTCCACACCCCAGCAAGTGTGAATGGATAAACTGGTGGCTGATAAAATAATGAGTAAAAAAGCACCCACCTACATGGATCAGGAAAATGTCTCTATGGTTGAAGCTCAGAGACATAGAGGGGCCGTGGCTGGGTGATGTGGATGGGTCAGCAGGGGCCAGATCATGCAGGACCTGGATGTGTGTTAGACAAGGAAAGGCCTAGAGCAGATCAACCTTTTTAAATACTCTGATTGCCACTAGAGAATTCCACTTTGCCACGGGAGCAGAGTGGAATTGGGGAGAACAGACATCTAGGTGAGAGATGAGGGTGGTTTAGACTCATTGGTAACTGGGGATTTGGAGAGAAGTAAATGGACTAGAAAAATATTTTGAGGTTGAAGGTGGGGCTTGGCGTAGGGTGTCTAGGGGAAGGAGACATCAAGATTCCACCAAGCTTTCTGGCTTGGATTCCTGGAAGGATTGTGATGACCTTCATTGGGGTGGTCAAGATAGAAAAGACCAGGCTTGGTGATGGGTGCAGGAAGGGGAGAGAAAGGTCATTATTTTAGTTTGGACATATCAGATTGAGAGGCTCTGAGAAAATCAAGCAGGCAGTTGGCTGTGTGGGTGGAATTTGGAAAGGTCTGGTCTTATGTGCTGTCCTGTTGCACCAGCAGCACAGCCACCCTCTTGGGCCCCCAGGTTCAGTTTCCAGCAATCTCAGCTGCTTTCTGTCCACCCCTATCCTTACCAACCAGGTCTACAAGGTTAGCCAACCTTTCCTGTAACAAGAGAACAATAATAGTATCTATCTTTTGGGGGTAGTTGTGAGCAATAAATGAATCAGGACAAAAACGCTAAGAAGAGGGCCAGGCACTGGTCACTCTTGGCTCTCCCCACACCCTCTATCCTCCCCAGGCCACACAGATGTGTTACCAGCACCTTCTATGTACCAGGTTTGGTGCTAGCCTAGCCATTTCCCAACATCCCAGTCTTGATCTTGCCATATCCCTGCTCAGAATACTTTAGTATTTCCCACCCAAAGACTGGCCACTTTTAGACCCTTGCACCAGCTGGTTTCGAAGCACTTCCCACCCTTCTTTCCCACATTCTCCATCAGGTTCTGATCCCGTCAAACAAACACCTGCACTTTCCCCAAGCATGCTTCATACTTACCCACCTGCTTTTCTCTCCCTCCCCTTCCCATCTTCCCTTCCTGCGTGGCTCTATTTCCCAGGTACCTCCTCCAGGAGCCTTCTCCTAAACCCTGTGCGAGATGAGCTCCACCCCTTCAAGATTTCTACTGCCCCTTCATGCTCCTCTTTAGCTTCTGACCACTCCTTGGATTCATTGGGCTTCCTTTGACTTGTCTGACTCCTTTTCCCAAGCATCAGCTCACTGAACACAGTGAGGCACTCAAGTTTCATCGTTGTGGTGCCCCAGTGCTTGGCACTGTGCCCAACCTACCACAGGGCTCAATCCATACTGGTGCAGGAAAACAGAACTTCAAATGTAAAGTTTTGTGTTGATCCAGCACATCTTTTACAAAGGCCAGAAAACAGGCCAAAAGGTCATTCTGGCCTGGGTACAATAAACCTTTCCCAGAAACTACTCTGTGAAACAAAGTCCAGGACAAGCAAATAGAAATCAAAGAGGCCTCTGGGTCCCCTCACCATATCAGGGTCACAGCAGCCAGTACATTCCACCCAAAGCCCTGGAGAGGATTGACCAGGGGCCATGTCTGTCCAGGGTGCTGTGGTTTGTAGGAGATATAAAGAGCTTGGGCATAAAAATTAAGAAATTGCAGTTAAAAGAAGGGTCTTTGGAGTCTTTGGGGTCTTTGACTCTGTTTCTCCCTTATTCCTAATAATGCAGAGGGCATTTCTGTGATTACATGATAGGCTTGGGGTTTGGAGTCTGAAAGGTCTGGGTTTGAATTTGGATACCTACTCTGTCACTTGCTGGCCCCTTACATCAGAGCTTGGTGCTGAGTCCCAGTGCCACGCAGAAGTCTGTCACAGGCCCAGAGGCCCCCATACTAGGAACACTCAGAGACACCATGAGGATAAAAATTAGATGAGACAATAAAGGGATTAGAGCAATGCATGGCACATAACCAGACCTCCACGATGAAAGGGGGGTGTTCGTTGTCATCTCCTGTCCCGGTGGAAGAATGAGGGGGCTGCTTCTATTCTTCTTTTCAAATCTGGGCAAGGAGGTCTGGAGAGATGAGACAACTGTCCTGAAGCATGGGTCACCCCTTACGCATCCCTAGGACTGCCTAGACTGCCTCTGGCAGAAATGCGAGGGTTGGTGCCATCAGAAACGCAACAAGGGCAGATACTTTGTAAGGCACAGGCCTCCCTGGCCAAAGTATCACAGTCTGAAAAGATTGTTGATACTTAAAGAATTTTATTTTCACTTTTCTATTGATTTATTTATTTTTTACAAAGTCTTAATATTAGAGAAAGTTTCAAGTTCATTTTTTTTTTTTTTTATCCTCACCCGAGGACATTTTTCCATTTTTTGTTCAGGTAGAGTGGGAGGGAGAGAGAGAGAAACATCGACGCGAAAGGAACACATCGAGTGGCTGCCACCCGCACGACCGACCAGGGCCAGGGACAAACTGCAACCGAGGCACGCGCCCCTAGCGGGAACCGAACCCGGGTCTCTCAGGACCGCAGGCCAACGCTCTAACCGCTGAGCCAAACCGGCCAGGGCTGTTTTGTTTTTTATTAATTTATTTTTGTTACAGATGTTTCTCCCTTCCCCCCCATTGACTTCCTCCTCCCACCCCATCCCCCATTTTGATGTCTACGTCCATCGATTATGCGTACATGCGTACAAGTTCTGTGGTTTATCCCTTCCCTCCCGGTACTTAAGGAATTTTGATAGTAACACCTAACAAAGTTTAGAAATTCATTTTTAACTGTGGCTTTATTTTTTATCCTCACCCGAAGACATTTTTTCATTTTTTGTTCAGATAGAGTGGGAGGGAGAGAGAGGGAGGGAGGGAGAGAGAGAGAGAGAGAGAGAGAGAGAAAGAAAGAGAGAGAGAGAGAAACATCGATGTGAAAGGGACACATCGAGTGGCTGCCACCCGCACGACCGACCAGGGCCGGGGACAAACTGCAACCGAAGTACGCGCCCTTAGTGGGAACCGGACCCAGTTCTCTCTGGACCGCAGGCCGACGCTCTAACCACTGAGTAAACAGGCCAGGGCTAACTGTGGCTTCTTGACACATCATCGTATCACTGGTGTGCCCTGTGCCAGACCCAGGATGAGATGAGCGGCTGGGGTCCTCCCAATTCATGTTGTTGGAGTGCAGGCCTATACAGAGGGGCATGGTCTGAGTCTGGTCAGGAGTTGATACAGCTGGGAATCCTCCCAAGGAGAAAGCTTTCACTGTCAGTTTCTGATCCCCCAAATTATAATATTTGCCTTCATCTTGTCTAATGTTTAATCCATGTTTATCTAGCACTTTATTGATTGATGGTCTGAGTGAAGCGATAAGGCAGCGGAGCCTTGAGACCATGGATGGCATCATGGGGCTGCGGGTGCTGCTGTGTGTGTCCCTGGCGTCCCTCCTCACCCTGCAGGCCATGCCCGCTCAGGGTTCACCCCGAAGGCTCAAAAGCAGTGAGGTATGTGGGTAAAACCTCGGGGCAGAAACAGGCAGCTGGGCTTGGATGGGGACTGGGAAGGGGACACAAGACCCTCACTCCAGGGACTGGGGCTACCCCCACCACCTTGACCAACTCTGACTGGAAGGTGAAGCCAAGGGGCAGAGGATATAGACTGTGTCCCACTCCCATACCTTAACAAAGAGCGGTGGTCCCCTGAGCATTCGTACTCACATTGACCCTGGTTTGTTTTACAGAAGCGACAGGCTGTGGACACAGTGAGTGAGTCTCTGCAAAGGAGTTTGTGGTGGGGCCATTATTACAGCCTCATTTTCCCCATCCCCTGGGGGTGTGCCTCTCTGTTAGTGCTCTGGGTAGAGGGACTTCTGTCTCCTGGAAATGGGGACTCTTCTACCCCACCTCATCCCCAACTGCTCGGACTCAGGTAGCGAGAGAACGTGGGTCTCCCTGGGAGGTCTGTTCTGTTCTTCAGGCGGCTGTGTCAGCCAGTACGACACACGGCCTCTCATTGGCTCAGAGGCCCCCATCCCAGGCTACAGCACCCTCGTGTCTCACTCTAGACTGTCGATGGTGTGATGATCCAGAGTTTGAAAGTCAACTGCAAAGTCACCTCTCGCTTCGCCCACTATGTCATCACCAGCCAAGTGGTCAACAGAGCTGACAAAGCCAAAGAAGTAGCCTTCGATGTGGAGATCCCCAGGACAGCCTTCATCAGTGACTTTGTCATGTGCGTGCCCTGCCTGACTCCCACACCCAGAACTGTCCATTCACCAGGTCCAGCCAAAGACCATGGCTCAAAGTGTACCAGACAGTGTCCCCATCTCCTCATTTCCCAAAGGGCCACAAGCCATTTCCAGTTCTGAAGGGAGGAACAGTCCTATAGGCCTGTTCTGGGCTCCCATTGTGGACAGCAAACTGGGGCCACTGACCATGTTTTCAGTCTAAGGCCCAAAGAGCAAAAGCTGGTGTTCACGGCTTCTTTCTGGACTCTGGCTGTAGCCGCCCCCCTCACTGCCAAGGGGCCTCGAGCAACTCTGTGGGCAGAGGGAGGCCAGCAGGAGATGCCCTCCTGTGAGCACTCACCTGGACAGGGCTTCCTCAGGTCTGGACTGAAAACACCTTCAATAGGAAGGACCTGTGTGTTCAGGGAAGGGCACCTCCCCTGAGGGCTTCTTCCTCCCTGCAGCACCGCAAATGGAAAAGCATTCATCGGGAACATAAAAGATAAAGCGACAGCGTGGAAGCAGTACCGGAAGGCGGCCATCTTAGGAGAGAATGCCGGCATTGTCAGGTGAGTCCTGCCCTCCCCTCGGGGCAGACCTGAGGGCTGCAAGGTGGCCTTGGGTGGAGGGCGGCCCCAGGCTGATGGGAAGTGAGCAAACTGCCCCAACTCAAATGGCAGCGCCGGTGCCCTGGACAAGGCTGGTGTTGACTTGCCCCCTCCCAGACCAGCCTACAGGAGAAGTGGGGCCCCACCCTTGGGCCCCGACTCTGACCAGCCAGCTAAGACAATGGGGAGGGTCAAGGGAGCAGCACTAAAATAAGAAAACTTGATTTTGAGGCCCATGCTTTAGGTGACAAGCACCCTACATGTCACTTACCATTTGTCTGTGTTGTTGCCTCTGGTGGCATGTCCAGAGCTTCAGGAAGAACGATGGAGCAGTTCAGCATCCACATCACCATCGGTCCCCATAGCAAGGTCATGTTCCGGCTGACCTACGAGGAGGTGCTGAAGCGAAGGCTTTCGCAGTACGACATTGTCATCAAAGTCAAGCCCAAGCAGCTGGTGAATCATTTTGAGGTAGATTGCGGGTGACTGCAAGCTCAGGGGAATGGTCTCGGTAGCAAGGCTCCTGCCTCTCCCTCCCTGTAGCTCTAAGCATTAACTTGGCAGCCATCATGCACCATCCCAGACCTGAGCGCACAGGGAAGGGGACTGACCCTTTAGGATGGGCCCTGATGGGCTCTTCATGGGCAAGGAGCTCCCTGAACCTTCCAACCTCCTCCTCTCTGAGCCTTGGCTTGCTCATCTCTTCAATGGGGGTTCCTGTTCATCCCAGGACGGCCACAAAGATCACAAGAGATAATAAGTGACCAGGTAGTTTGTAAAGCGGAAGTCCTGGGCAGCCTAAGGGACTGTGATTTCTCTGGCACCACAGTGGTGGCTGAGTTAAGGGCAGCAGGCATGCACACCTTCATTTGGTTAATATTTCTGGAGGGCCTACAACTTGCCAGGCCCTTTGCTGACAGCTGGGTGGGCGCTGCACACAGTAGGTGGCCAGGGCACATGTTGGCTCTTGGCTGAGACTTGATGATGGCCCAAATGGGAGCCTTGGTGCAGAAATTGCTTCAATGATACAGATCGACATGGACATCTTTGAGCCCCAGGGGATCAGCAAGCTGGATGCCCAGACCTCCTTCTACCCCAAGGAACTAGGGACTCAACTCATCAAGAAGTCCTTCTCAGGCAAAAAGGTGTGTGGCATGGCTGGGGTGGTGGCAGGCCCGCTGGGACTGCTCTGCCTGGTCTCTTATGGAGTGTCCAAGCTTGGCCTGGCAAGGGCTTCAGGCTTCCACAGGGATGAGAAAGGCAGGTGTGTTCTGGTTGGTATCCCAGAGGGACTTGGCACTCCTGGTTCTCAGAGCAACTGAGCAAAAGCCTGCATGCTGAGGCTGGGGGAGGTCCCCACAGTGGCTGTACGGTTTGGGGTGAGTTACTGGCTTTCTTTTTGCCTATCTCACACCCATAGGAAAGCATTCAGGGCTCCTGAGCAAATGTCAGATGCTGATGAGGTTAGGATTCCAAGCTGCAGTGTTCTTGGAAACATAATTAAGTTTAGACACTAAACTACCAGCCACTTCCACTTGTCATTCACCGCCCACTTGCCAGAATCCCAGAAGGCCCCTGCCTGCCCCCTCCCCAGTCCTGGAGGTGTATGGCACATGGGTGAGTGATACCTAGCGAGTGTTTCCCAACCTTCCCTCAACTGGAGCTAGGAGCAAACCCGTTAGTTCTCATCAATTTTAGTGGTGACTCATAACAGTTCATTTAAAAGAAATTTTTTTTTACAGTTTTTGAGGGGTTCCTTTTAAACAAAATATGACACTCCAGAGTGTTAGCAAACATGCTTGCTTTCAGCGAGGGACCGAGGGGATGGGTCTTTGTCTTTCTATCAATCTTATCAAGTTGTTGTTGTTGTTGTTTTTTATGAGCATATCTTATTTTTATAACAAACAAAAACTAAAAATAAAAGAGTCTTAAAGAGAACGTAGAGCCCTGGCCGGTTTGGCTCAGCGGTTAGAGCGTCAGCCTGTGGTCCAGAGAGACCCAGGTTTGGTTCCCGCTAAGGGCATGTACCTCGGTTGCAGTTTGTCCCCGGCCCTGGTTGGGTCATGCGGGTGGCAACCACTCGATGTGTCCCTTTCACATCAATGTTTCTCTCTCTCTCTCTCCCTCCCACTGTATCTGAACAAAAAAAGAAAAAGAAAAAATGTCCTTGGGTGAGGGTAAAATAAATAAATAAATAAAAGAGAACGTGGAAAGTACAGAAGTAAAAAGAAGTACTGAGTAAAAACCATCCTTATTTCCCTGAGCACCACTACCAAGTCCGTCCAGAGCTCACGCCCACTCTGCACCCTTCCTTCCAGCCTCTGCTCTTTGACCGTTCAGGTGGTTCTATTTTACAGCACAGGTGCTGCAGCCTTGCTATTTTACTCCGTAGTTTGAGTGGACTCATGCTCTCATGTTCTCATACTGCTGTTATTTTGTTTTTATTTTGTACCGAAAGTGGTGATACTTATTAAAGAAAATCCCAAAGATTCAGAAGCATATAAGCAAAGGAACTACCTACAGGTGTTACTCTCAGCAGCTGGGTGAGGGTCCCCCCTGATTCATTTCTAGGCCCATGCAACACACACACACCTTATGCAAACATCCTATTTACTGTTGCACAAACCAGTAATATCTCCCACCCTTAATGGTTCCAGGGCCATGTGCTTTTCCGCCCCACTGTGGGCCAACAGAAATCCTGCCCCACATGCTCCACTACCTTGCTGAATGGGGAATTCAAGGTGACCTATGATGTCAATCGAGACAAACCCTGCGACCTCCTGGTGAGCCCGAAGCTTCTGGCCCAAGACTCAGAGGGTGGGCTGAGGGGCTTATGAGAGAGGCCTCACTCGTTCCTTTGTGTTTCAGGTCGCCAATAACTACTTTGCCCATTTCTTTGCCCCCCAAAACTTGACGAACCTGAATAAGAACCTGGTTTTTGTGATTGACATCAGCAGCTCCATGGAAGGCCAGAAAGTGAAGCAGGTGAACCGTGCCTTTAAAGTTCACCCAGCGGAAGCTTCTTCAGCCTTATCACCCACACCATGCTCATTTGGTTGCCAGAGTCTGGTTTTGAGATTTCTGCTTCCAATCAGAGGCAGGGTGACTTAAGGGGACAGTCTAATGGTTTAGGAGTTCTGGAATCAGCCACCTCCTCCCAGTACAACTGTGGGCAAGTGCGTTCACTTCTCCTCAGTGGCAAAATGGGAATAATAATGGTGCCGCCGCAGAACCACGGGCTAGATGAGCAGAGTTTTGTTTGTTTGTTTTGTTTTGTTTTAGAGATAGAGGAAAGGAGAAAGAGAGAGAGAGAAGTAGAAAGGGAGAGAGAGAGAAACATCAATTTGTTGTTCCACTTATTTATGCATTCATTGGTTGATTCTTCTGCGTGCCCTGACTGGAGATTGAACCCATAACTTTGGCGTAGCAGGATGACACACTGACCAACTGAGCTACTCAGCCAGGGAGGATGAGCAGTTTGTAGGAGCTCAGGCCCTGGGGTTCTCTTTCTGAATTCCACCCCCCTTGAACTCCTGGTACCTTTGCCTTCTCCCTCCTTGTCACCAAACCCAGGACCCTGCAGGATGCTCCTCTCCTGGCACCACCTGGCCATCCCCTCCTGCTTGTCCACCATGTACCTCTGCCCTGGGGAGCTCTGAAATGGGTATCTGGAGCTGACAGAAGCCACTATCCTGAGGCTCTGTCCCTCCGCTGACTGCCCTGTCCTTGCAGACGAAGGATGCACTCCTTAAAATCCTGGATGACATGCGGCCAGGGGACTACTTCGACCTGGTCCTCTTTGGGTCTGATGTGCAATCATGGAGGGGCTCACTGGTGCTGGCATCTGCTGCCAATCTGCAAGCAGCTAAGGACTTTGTGCGGCGCTTCTCCTTGGCCGGGTGTAAGGGCAAGGTGTCTCGGGCCACCCTGGTGTTTTCTCTGTCCCCTAAGAATGAGAGCATGCATTGGTCTGCTTTCTCTCTTCTGCAGCCACAAATCTGAATGGAGGTTTGCTCCGGGGAATTGAGATATTGAACAAAGCTCAGAGAAGTATCTCAGGACCCAGCAACTATGCCCCAATTCTTATTATGTTGACAGATGGCGAACCCACAGAAGGTAAGCACCTTGAGGGCTACCTTGGGAGGTACTAATCGCATCATTTCTAAAGGCATTTCTAAAGGCCACACTTAGAAACCCAAGCACTGGAGATACTGTTGGGTGTCAGAAAGGCTCAGGGCAAAGGCAAACACTGATCTAAAAACAGAATTCAGACCATAAAGTCTACAGGAGCTCCAAGGCATACTTCTATCCTGAGCTGGGATACTGGGGGAATTTCTGCATGACACAGCATTACACAGGGCCGCGGAGGATGGGCAGGATTCCTAGGTTGAATCTATTGAACTATATATTCAGCACCGACTATGTGCCAAGCACAGGACTAGGGACCAGGAAGAGATACCAAGAGAATAAACATGTCTCTGTTCTTGAGGATCCCAGGGTCCATGGGAGAGGCAGACTCAGGGGCAGAAATTCTGCCAAGGGCCCTGAAAGAACAAGGTGTCAGGAGGCTGTGGGACCGTAGACGAGGGGCACTTGGCCCAGAAAAGTTCCCAGAAAGCCTCCTGGAGGAGGTGACAGCTGAGCGCAGTCTGGAAGGAGGAGAGAAAAAGCAGGAAGGGCCCCCTGGCAGAGGGGACAGCCTAAGCAAAAAAAGGTGTGTGCATTGGCAGGCCTTCCCGGGAAAGCTGGCATACGCAGTATAGGTGAAAGAAGGGTGGAAAGGTCAGCAGGGCCTCGAAGGCCAGGCAAGGAGCCATGGGAGGGTTTAAAACAGAATCAGATCTGCTTGTGCTGGATCCATAGGGACTGGCAAGGAGCTGTTAGCAGTTGTTGCAGTTCCCAGGTCCGCCAGCAGGAAGCGTTGCCTCAAGATGCCTGTGGGAACTGGAGCCCGTCTAAGATAGGAGGCTTGGGTGAAGGGTGTGTGCCTCAAAGTCCCCTGGTGCTCCACATGCCTGTGAGCTGGCATCCAGTCACTGCCTGGGTATGTGGCTGCAGGGGTGACGGACCGTTCCCAAATCCTCAAGAATGTCCGCAATGCCATCGGGGGCAGGTTCCCGCTCTACAACTTGGGCTTTGGCCACGATGTGGACTTCAGCTTCCTGGAGGTCATGTCCATGGAGAACAATGGACGGGCTCAGAGAATCTATGAGGACCATGACGCCACCCAGCAGCTGCAGGTCTCCTCTTTTCCCCACCCTGTCCTGTCCCCCAGTGTACCACCAACGGCAGCCCATTGGGAGCCCTGCCTTGGCAGCCATTTGCTCATCAGCCTAGAGGAGCAGATAAGCTTTGGCAAGAGTTCAAATTAGCTGTGTGCCTCGAGCCAATTACTTAACCCTTCTGAGCCTGTGATTCCTTCTATAAAGTGTGGATCCCAACACCCCACTTTGTGAGTGGGTTTCCCATTGGGTTCCTAGGGTAACCAGTTCTGAAGCTGCACCTCCCACTCCTGCAGGGTTTCTATGACCAGGTAGCCAACCCCCTGCTGGTGGATGTGGACTTGCAATACCCCAAGGACTCCGTCTCAGCCCTGACCCAGCACAGACATAAACAGTACTACGAAGGTTCGGAGATCATGGTGGCTGGACGCATTGCTGACCACAAACTCAGCAGCTTCAAGGCTGATGTGCAGGCCCATGGGGTAAGTAGTGGGCCGTGGAGGGTGGAGAGGCCTGGCAGTCCCTAGAGGCTGCAAACTCACACTGTTCCCCACTCTTTACCCCTGCTCCCAGGGTAGTGCCCCCACCCCGAATCATGCCACACACACTCTAGGCCTGAACATTCCTCCATGAAAGTGTCCTGGGGACAGGAGGGCATGGAGCCAATGTGGCTTTGATTAGTTACAGTCCCTTGGCCCAAAATGGACCACCTGTTACTCCTCATACCATGCCCTGCAAGGCACGAGAGAGCAAGAGGCCAGCCTCTTCCTTCTCACCTCAACACTATTTTCTGAACACCCACTGTGTACCCAGCTTTATGCCAGGGTGCAGAGTGTGTGTTCCTGTGCATGTGGAGGGTCAGGATGTGCGAGACCTGGACCCTGCCCTGCAGGGTGTGAACTCAAGCCCTGCGGTGTGGTTGAGGGTGCCAAACTCAGGGCTTGAGTGAGGAGAGCTGAGCGGGACCCTGGCTCCACCCTGACCAGCTGGGTGGCCTTGAGCAAATGGGTCCAGCTCCCTGGATCTCAGTTTCCTTTCTGTACCATGAGGGTAACGTGACATTGGAGAGCTGTGTGGAGTAAATGGAATAATGCACATATAATACACTTACTCAGTGCCTGGTGCATGGGATGCCTTTAGGGAGCATTGTCCCATTATTGTAGCTGGGAAGAGAAGGCACATCTGGGTGCTGTGGCAGATCAAAGGTGCAGCCCCCTGGGGCCGTGGTGAGTGTCTGGAGGAGTAGGGCATGGTGGAAGCAGCTACATGGTGGAAGCAGCCGGGTGCTTGTTGGCATCCCTGAAAGAGAGTAATTCCATGAGATCACAGCCTGGTTCTCCTATCCCTGGGTTGCCCAGGGCCGAGGACAACTTGGCTCACAGAGGATGCTCAGCAAGCTTGCGTGGAAAGAATGGATGGATGGAAATGAAAGGGGCTGCTGAGAAGGAAGCTCAGAGACCAGAAAAAAGTGGGGCCCCTTGGAGCCTGAGCACCAGCCAGTGGTCGAGCTCCTCACAGCTCGTGGCCTGTCTCCCCGTCACAACCTTCAGGAGGGCCAAGAATTCAAGACAACCTGCCTGGTGAATGAGGAAGAGATGAAGAAACTGCTCCAAGAGCGGGGCCATATGCTGGAGAACCACGTCGAACGCCTCTGGGCCTACCTCACCATCCAGGAGCTGCTGGCCAAGCTGTATGACCCCTGTGGCTGCCTGGCAGGCACTGTCCACCCCAGAGTACCCCCCAGCCTCAGATTTACAGTCCTGCTTTGCTCACTGAGTTAACAGCAACCAGACAGTCAATAGTATGGGCAGGGCCCCCTGGGGCCACAGGACGGCCCACTGTTTGTCCCCACTGAGCTACCGTTGGGGAGGCTGCCCCTCACCATGGAGCTGCCACATCCAGGCACACTCATTTAATCTTCGCTACGTGCAGGAGAATGTCCTCATTATTCCCGTTTAACAGACGAGCAAACTGAGGCTCAGAGATGTGAGACCACTTGCCCAGTATCTCACAGCTGTTAAATTTTCAGAGTATTTCTGAGGCACATCCCCCAACCCTGTCAAATCTCCAGGCTTTCTGTGTGGAAGGTCTTTAAGTCGTGAGGTCCTTGATGACAGCCACTGACCAAGGACACTGCAGGTGCACAATACGTGTTTGGTGAATGAGAGAACAAATGAGTGAAAGGATGAGGGAGTGCAAGTCCATTGTCATCCAGGCTTCGGGGCTTGGAGCAGGTGTTTGTCTCACAGGAAGAAGATAGAGGGGAAGGAGAAGACCGACCTGTTGGCCAAAGCCCTGAAGATGTCACTGGACTATCAATTTGTGACCCCGCTAACCTCCATGACCATGGGGGGCATGACAGACCAGGACAGCCTGGAACCCGTCATTGACAAGCCACAGGAGGGTATGGTCTTTGCAGAGGGGGAGGCTGTGGGCCTTGGGGAGTCTTCTGAGGGCCCCAAACCTCCTAGACTTTAATTCTCCTCCATTTCTTCCCTTCCAGAGTCTCTGCCTTTGGGTGAGTGTTTAAGTCACGTTGGTTTTCTCAAGGGGCTCCCAGCGGCTGGGCAGTGGCACGTGCTCCAGCACTCAGGCAGGCAGCTCCCCACCCCCATCTTCCTGCCTCCAGCCCTTCATGGTCTCTTCTGCCCTGAGATGCCCTTGCCCACATCACCACAGACTAGCTGCTGCCACCTGGCATAGCCTGAGCCCTCGCTGGCCTCCTTTGGCGCCTTCGTGTGAGCAAATGTCTGTGAAGAGGCCTGGGCCCCCGGGGAGGGCTGGACCCCCCCCCCCCCCCAGGAAGAGGGCTGGTCTAGGCCTGATTGGCTCTAGGCCCAGGGTGCACTTGGATAATAAGGTGCACATGCCTTTCGTGTGGGGTGGCAAGGGTGACACTATCATTGTCTTCCACAGAGATGCTGGGACACAGAAGGAGTAAGTGGCAGCCATCTGGATGACACATACCTCTGCCTCTCCTCTGCATGTTACTGTCCCCCAGGCTGTGTCCAGTACTGAGCACAGCCCCTAGGTTTTGCCTGATGAGGAAGTGACAGCCCAGGGCTTTCTCCCTCTGCTGCAGCTCTCCTCACTGCCTCTCACTGGGACTCTCAGACAACAGCCTGACGTGGGCCTGGCCTCCCTCACCCTTTTGCCACCAGCCCTACCAGGTCCCCATGGAAGGTGATAGAATAGGTCGGCCCACTGCACTGGGCCAAACTTCTTTCCCCCCTCCCAAGAGGCAACAAGGGCTCAGTGTCCATCCCTGCTGCGGGGGCTTCAGGGACGGGAGGGCCTGGGAAAGGAGCTGGCAGCTCCAGGGAAGGCCAGCCGCCTCCCTTCTAATTGCCTTTCGCTCGCCCGTCAGCGTTCGTGCTGCCGGTTGAGCAGCCTTCTCCGACTTACGCCAGTGCCCTGCCGTTGCCAACCCAAGTAACCAGTGGTGAGTCCTTGCGAGGGTCTGAGGGACACCCCTGCCTGATTGAACCTTTGCCCCCGACTGGCTCCATCTGTCCAATGCCCAGTCTAACGGACTCCATGCTGTGTCCCCAGTGGACAGTGACCCCCACTTCATCATCCACGTGCCCCAGAAAGAGGACACCCTGTGCTTCAACATCAATGAAGAGCCTGGTGTGGTCCTGAGTCTGGTGCAGGACCCCAACACAGGTATGGTGATATCACACCCTCGGCCAGACAGGGCAGGGCCTGTCCTTCAACGTTCAGCCACAGACAGGACAATGGCCTGGGCCTCCACTTCCTACACCCTGTGCACCTGGTTGGCCTCAGCTTGCCTTTTTCTCACCCCAGCCACCTGTCTGGGCCCTGTACAAGGCCTGCTTCATGGGTGGGTGATCCGTGAAGGCGCTCAGGACTCTGTGTTTAGAAGGGCCCCAGCCTCGGTTTAATGGTCTCCTGTTGTTGTCTTGAAATTCTTAACAATTTTTAAACAAGGATCCCCTCGTTTTCATTGTGAACTGGGTCCTGCAAACTACACAGCCAGCCTGCCCTGCCTTTCTCCCAGCATCACTGAGGGGCCTCAGAATCTGTCTCCCAGCAGTGCTCCGGGGATGGGAGTGACTTCCTCTCTAGCCCTCAGCCACTTCTGTCCTCCCCGTCCAGTCATTTCATCTGCAGATGTTTGTTGAGCACGTGATAGGGGCAGTGGGAACCGAGGCAAAGTCCCTGCTGTCATGTAGTTTAGAGGGGACAAACAGGTGAGCAAATTCTTAGATGACCATTTCAGAACATGAGATTTGCGGTTAGGACAGTGAAGACGGGGAAGGGGCTCTTTGGTTGCTCGAGTCAGAGGAGGCCTCTGGGAAGAGGCCCTACAAATATGTCTACAGCACCTACTGTGACCTGCCCTTGTGTCAGGGACTGGGGTCACAGAAGGAACAGGCCAAGTCCTGCAAGACCTCTTTCGGGGCCCAGACCCAAGGGCTCCGTCCTGACTAGGTAGTGTGGTGGGAGACAAGATGAGGGAGGTAGTGTCGTGTATAGCCTGGACCAGACCTGAATGCTCCTCTCGGGAGGTAAGACCCTTAAAGAAGGCCAGCATGGATGGGGTGTGGGGGTCTCCCAGGAAGGAGGCATGAACAAAGGCAGGCTGAGTGACTGTCTATCGAGAGCTGGCCCCTCCCTGACCTGGATGGTCCCTTACCCCACTGCAGGCTTCTCAGTGAATGGGCAGCTCATTGGCAACAAGGCCAGGAGCCCTGGGCAGCAAGAGGGCACGTACTTCGGGCGGCTGGGGATTGCGAACCCTGTAACGGGCTTTCAGCTGGAAGTGACTCCTCAGAACATCACACTGAACCCTGGCTCAGGTGGGCCTGTGTTCTCCTGGAGGGACCAGGCTTCGCTGCGGCAGGATGGGTAACTGGGCCGGGAGGGGCCGGGCAGGGAGGCAGGGGTAGGTGTGGTGGGGACCAAGGCAGAAGCCCCAGAGCTAGCTCTGCTGTCTGAGCTTGTCCCCTGAGCTATATCAGTGAATGACGTTCATAGTGCTTTCGTGTGGGCTGTGCAGACATGTAGGACCCTCTGGACCATTCCATTTCCCTCGATTTCTGGACACGTATTCTGGACCAGCTGCCTGGATGCTCCCATGGCACCCTTGCCCTGCAGTCCATCCCATCTTCGCAAAGCTGGACACCTCTTCCCAGAAGCCCTCCTACTCTCTTCCTCTGCTGAACTCTAGTTCTCTGGCCTTGTCTTTCAGTATTTGTCTTAGTATGCCTTATCTCATGTTTGTTCCTTCATTCACACCTTCATTCATTCAACAAACGCCTCTGAGCACCAGAACCCAAATGCTGAGCATCAGAGCTATAGGATGAGGTGATAAGTGGGAATCAAAGAACACAGACTCTGATATTAGACAGTCTGGAGTCCAAGTCCTGGCTCTGCTGCTTATAGCTGTGTGACCTTGGGCAAGTTACTTAACCTCTTTGAGCCTCGGTCCTCATAGGATCAGAGTGAGAACTGAATGATGCAGTTTACTTGGAAGGCTTGGCATAGGTCCTAGCACATTGCAAGGGCCCCACATATAATAGCAACATGTGGGAAGAAGCATAGAGCAGTGGGTCATAAGAGCTGGGTCCCAGAGGACAAGGGTGGCTAAATGGAGAGGGGTACAGAGCAGCCACACATGTTGCCATGGCTACCTGCCCCTGCAGGGTGGTGGTGACCATCAACAGGAAGAGGAACCTGGTGGTGTCTGTGGAGGATGGAGGCACCTTTGAGGTCGTCCTGCACCGAGTATGGAAGGGGAGTGCCATCCAACATGACTTCCTGGGCTTCTACGTGCTGGATAGTCACCGGATGTCAGCACGGACACATGGGCTGCTGGGTACGCCTGACACGGCAGGCAGAGCTGTGGGTGGGGCATTGAAGCCAGTGGACTAGTCAGCTCTGCAGCTGGGCATCAGGACAGGCTCACCTCCAACATGACCTCCAAGGCTCAGAGATCCAAAGAGGGCTTGTCCTGGTGAGGGTCTTGTGTCTCAAAAAGGCTGCGATCAAACACACAGTGAAACTAACATGTAAATACGCCTGGGAGCAAATGGAGAGAGGCCCGGTTAGCAAACAGAAAGGTCCAGTAGGCTCCCAGAGACCTCCTGGGTGGGATGGGTCATCAGTCACACTGCTGCTCCTTGTGGCCTTCCGGCAGACCCTGTTCTTTGTGGGCACCTACCCACCAAACCTCTCTCCTAGCCAGATTCATTTGAAATTGGTCCAGAAAGACAGGAGGTATAACCACCTGACAGTAAATCTGCTTCTCTATAGCAGGTGAATTAAATGAGTGGCTTTGATGCCAAAATTTATCAGAAACAGGCAAGCCCTTGAAAAAATTGAAGCAACTCTTTAAATCTCCAGTGAGCACCTACTAAATGCAAGGCATGAGCAAAGAAGGCTCCCTGCACTAACTGCTTCCCCCAATGTGCCTTTCCAGGACAGTTCTTTCACCCCTTTGATTATAAAGTGTCCGACCTCCACCCAGGCTCCAATGCCACAAAGACAGATGCCACAATGGTGGTGAAGAACCAACAGTTTACAGTCACCAGGTAGGTGGGCTGTTCTTTTAGCATCTCTGCCCTTGATGTTGCCCATCAGTGGTCCAGGCCTTCCTCCTGACGTCACATGGGTGGGGTGGGGTTTCTGGGAGGTGTAGCCCTGATAGGTCCAAAAGGTGATCCCAGCTTCCTTGTCTCTTCTCAGGGGCTTGCAAAAAGACTACAGCAAGGACCCCCGGCATGGGGCTGAGGTGACCTGCTGGTTCGTCCACAACAATGGGGCCGGACTGATCGATGGTGTTCACACTGACTATATCGTTCCTGACATCTTCTGAGCCCTCTAGCCAGCACGCCTGTCCTGCTGCCCAGGCCACAGCTCCCCGTCCAAGGGGTCCCATGCGTCAGAGCACCCATGACTTCCATTAAAGATAAACTATGTCCCTCCCAGACTGGCTGCTCTTTGGAAGGGAGAATGGCAGGGAGGCAAGTCAAGATACTGCCTCTCAGAAGTCTTCTGGGGTCACAGCAGACCTGGAGGCCCAGAGGAAGCCCACATCAATTCGCCTACACCCCACCCTGTTCTCTGCCATTGCCTGCCCCATGTCTTCTGAATGGCCTGAGAGTATTCCCCCACACAGCTCCTCCCACAGGTTCAGGGACCAAATGGCACTCTGGCAGCATGTACAGGAATGACCAGCAACGGACACAGCTGGCTCAGTGCTTCCTGTAGCAGGCACTGTTCTAAGGGTCTTAGTTGAGTTAACTTAGTGCATACTCCCAGCAGCGCTAGGGGAGACTTTTTTTTTATCCTCACCCGAGGACATTTTTTGCATTTATCTTGAGGGAGAGAGGGAGGGAAGGAGAGAGAGAGAGAGAGAGAGAGAGAGAAACATCGACGTGACAGAGACACATCAAGTGATTGCCACCCACACGACCCCAACCAGGGCTGGGGACAAACTGCAACCGAGATATGTGCCCTTAGAAGAAACTGAACCCGGGACTCTTTGGTCCACGGGCTGACGCTCTAACCACTGAGCCAAACCGGCCAGGGCTAGGGGAGACTTTTATCAGGCCCATTTACAGTTAAGGAAACTGGGGTTAGGTAATTTCTCCAAAATCACTCATCTTCTAAGTGGCAGAGCTGGGATTTGAACCCGTGCTGTCTGGTGTCAGCATCTGAGTGCTTAACTACCCCCATATCAATACTCCAGTCAAGCATCGACCTGCGGTCCAGAGAGACCCGGGTTCGGTTCCCGCTAAGGGCATGTACCTCGGTTGCAGTTTGTCCCCGGCCCTGGTTGGTCGTGCGGGTGGCAGCCACTCGATGTGTCCCTTTCACGTGTGTTCCTTTCACGTCACGCGCGCTCTCTCTCTCTCTCTTTCTTTCTTCCTCTCTCTCCCTCCCACTCTATCTGAATAAAAAAATGGAAAAATGTCCTCGGGTGAGGATTAAAAAATAAAAAAACTCCAGTCAGGCTGGGTGACTGGGAGCCAAATCCTCATGGGATTTGATTACAGATATTCCAAAGTATCACTTAAAATGAATGTATGAGCCCTGGCCGGTTTGGTTCAGCGGTTAGAGCGTCGAGCGTCGGCCCACGGACCAATGAGTCACGGGTTCAATTCCAGTCAAGGGTTTGTACCTTGGTTCATCTCTGGCCCTGGTCAGGTCGCGCAGGAGGCAACCAGTTGATGTGGCTCTATCACATGGATGTTTCTCTCTGTCTGTCTCTCTCCCTCCCTCCCACTCTATCTGATAATAAATAGAAAAGTATCCTCGGGTGAGGAATACAAAAATGAATGTATGAAAGAAATGTGAACTATATATGGTCCTGAAGAAGTGCTACCAGTACCTGAGGCTGCACCCCCTGGGGTCAGGGCCTCAGGAGGCAGTTCCGGCCCCCACCCTCAGCTCGATTTCCCAGTGAGGGGTTTACAGCCTCTGACAGTGAGATAGTATTTCCCAAAGGCAGAGACAGCCACTGCTCAGAAGCTGTGATTTCAAGGGCCAGGAACAGCAGCCCTCTGACTCCCCATACTGACCCCTGGAATATTCCACCAAGGTTCCTTCCTTTCCGTGGCTTTGCCTTGGGCCCAGTTAAAGTGCAATACCAAAGGGTGCAGGGAGGTGAAGCTACATTTCGCGGAGCTGCTAGCCCTTCAGGTGAAAACTGATGAGCCTCCACTCACTCCTTCCCAAAGTGTTTGTGCTTTTTTTCTTTTCCTGCTGGCTTCTGTTCAGTCCCCACTCCAAATGAGGCCCATGCGGGCCCAGATCAATGACATAAATGCTGAGTCCCACAGCTGCCCCCGGCCCAGGGAGCACGGAGCCCTCAGTGGCTTTCTCTCCCCATCCTTCCCTTCCTTCCACTCTCTCTAAAAATAAATGGAAAAATATCCTTGGGTGAGGATCAACAACAACAACAAAAAAAAAAAAAAGAGAGAGAGAGAGAGAGAGAAGAGGTTGAGGGCAGTCGAGTCACTGGCCAGGCCCTGGGAACTAAGGGGTGAATATGACATGGCCTGGCCCTCCAGGAGCCCAGAGTCTAGAGGCGGTAGTCCGTCCTAAACATGCGCACCTCAACACAGGGTGACGCTGGAGCAAGGCTGCCGTGGTCAGCCAGCAGATGGAAGAGGATGGCTCTGGAAGAGGGCACTGGCACCGGCAGAGAAGAGAGATGCAATGTGCAGACAAGGGAGGGCATGCCAGTGGGCGGAGAGAAAGTTCAGAGAAGCAAGTTAGAGCCAGGTCACAGAGAGAGCTGGACCACAGGACTTGGAGTTCGTCCTTTCTCTGGGGCCATGAGAACCATAGAAGGATAATGAGCGAGGGCTTCGGCCGTGGAGAGCGGACCCTTGGGGTGGTGGATCTGGTTCTGTGCCCTGGCCGCCTGGAGAAGGGGGGGCTGCAATCCAGAGGCCGTGTCGGTAAGAGGCAGCGATGCTGAGAGACGCTGTTTGTTTTAAATGTGACTCCAGCCCTGGCTGGTTTGGCTCAGCTGTTAGAGTGTCAGCCCCCTGACCAAAAGGGCACAGGTTTGATCCCCAGTCAAGGACACATATCTGGGTTGCAGGTTTGTTCCCAGCCCCTGTCAGGATCATGCAGGAGGCAATCAATCAATGTGTCTCTCTTACATGATGTTTTTCTCTCTCTCTCTCTCCCTCCCTTCCACCTATCTAAAAATGAATGAAAAAATATCCTCCAGTGAGGATTAACAATCAATCAATCAATCAATCAATCAATAAATAAGACTCCACACCTTGTCACCATTTACCCGCCCAGGAAGTCCTAGGGCTCAACACACAGCTTCTGCTTGCCCCAGGGCCTCCATGTCCCCCAGCCACTGGGAGTAAAGTCCCAACGCTGTTGACAATACCCACGGGGCTCCAGGCGGTCACTCCACCCACACCCCAACTTCCTGGAGAGCTCCGCCTCCTGCTCCCCCCGCCCTGTGCTGTAGGTCACTGACCCTCCTGGTCAGCTGGCTCTTATAAAGACTGCAGGCCAGGCCCGTGTGCTCAGCAATGGCGTCTGCTCACTGGTCCTGCCTCATCTTGGCCCTGCTCTCCGGCCTCTCACAGCAGCTTGAGGTAAATCTGTACCCTCCTTACCACCTGGGTCCATCACATGGGCAAAGGTACCAGCCTGGGTGGTCACCTCTGGGTGAGGAGGTAGAAGGCTGGGCAGTGACCTGCAGGGGACAGGGCTAGGTGTTGGGTGAACTGGGCTCCAAACTTGCTGTTTAAATCTGGAATTCTGGGAAAAAGGCTCTTAATCTCCCTGGGCCTGTTTCCCAATCTGTCAAATGGGTGATGCACCACGAACTGCTTACCTCACTGAGGAGCTATAAAGGTCCGCCTCTGAGGAGAGGGCAGAGGCCTCGAGGAAGGGCTGAGCTGAGACCTGTGGTGTGCAGTGGTGGCAGGGTGCTGGGAGCGGAGGCCTCACGGACCGAGGGTGCAGGGAAGGCAGGGGGAGTCGGGGTATGCGGAGCAGGGGAAGAGCCCCAGGTTTGGTTCTCCCTGCCTCGCTCCCCTAAGTAGCCTGGAGACCTACCCTCTCCCGAGCTCAGTTTCCCCATCTAGTTAGAGCCCCTCCTACTCTGACATGTGGCTCCAGGTGGGTCCTATGTCCAGAGGCCCTTCAAGCTGGGTGTGTGGGGGGGTCACCACTCAATTCTGACCTCAGCCAAGGGACCGCCCCCAATCACAGTGGCCTTGGCCCGACCCCTGTGTTTGTCTTCGCTTTTTCGGAAACAGAGCTTCCTGGAAGAGGTGAGGATTTGCATCAGGGACGGGGCGGGGTGAGGTAGGGCAGAATGGAGCTGGTTGCCCAACAGTTGAAGAGGCTAGACCCTAACAGCAGGTCCCACACAGCTGACAAACAGCTCACAACCCCCTGCCCTGGCAGGCCCCCTGTGACTCAAGACCCCCAGGAAGGAGTGCCACAGAACCATGCCCCTTTGGCCCTCACTGGATGCAGCCCAGGACGGCCATTCCACCATAAACACTTTCCAAGCCCTTACAAGACTGGGCTGGGGACACACAATGAAGGGCCCGGTCACACCCTCACGGAGCATCTTTACACCCATGTTTAGCCCAGACGCCTCCCTCCAGCCTCCCTCAGTCCACACCTCCCCCACCCAAAGAGGATATTGGAGGCACGAAGACACACCTCACACACTCCTCTCGGCTCTGGAAATAGGAGACAAGCGCCTGTTTGGGAGACAGAATCACACAATTACCAAAGGAACATCGGAGGGGCGAGTGTGATCTTTCTAATTTTTTTTTTCCTTTATTGATTTTAAAGAGAGAGGAAGGGAGAGGGAGAAATAGAGATAGAACCATAGATGAGAGAGAACATTGATTGGCCGCCTCTTGCATGCCCCCCACTGGGGATCGGGCCCACAACCTGGGCATGTGCCCTGAACGGGAATCGAACCCGCAACCTCTTGGTGCTTGGGTCGACACTCAACCACTGAGCCACACCCGCCAGACTGATCTAAATGGAAGTGTAAAAGGTAAACAGGAAGAGCTAGGACAAGTCTCTGACCCCACGGGGTCAGAGGTGCAGAGACCTAGCTTGGCTGGAGCACCTTGAGTGGAAGAGGCAGGACCTACCCAGAGGACCTCAGAACGATGGGGAACACTGTCCTGAGGGCAATGGGGAACGTGGGAGGGTTTTAAGTGGGAGGGGAACAGGGTCAGATTTGTGGGGGTTTTTAACAAGATTTCACTGGCTACAAGCTGCATGGAAACATACAGCGGTTCTCAACCTGTGGGTCGCGACCCCTTTGGGGGTGGAATGACCCTTTCACAGGGGTCACCTAAGACCTTCGGAAAACATATTTCTGATGGTCTTAAGAACCGAGACACCGCTCCTCCGTCTGTCTCCAGGCGGGTCCGCCCACATGCAGATACGCCCACATACAACATGAGGAACTGTATTAAAGGGTCAGGCATTAGGAAGGTTGAGAGCCACTGGTGTACAGGGTTAAAGAGACAGAGCAGGGCCCCTCCTCCTTCCCCGCTTTGCTCCCTCCCACCTCCCCTCTCTTCTTGGCACAGTGTGAAGTTTCTTTTTGTGGTGCAAAACTCCCCTCCCTAAGTGACTTCTTGCTGCTGAGCAACAAGGTAGGCTGAGCAAAGGAACTTGTGGGGCCCAGTGAATAGGGCGAAACAAAAGCTCAATCAGACAAAGCCTCTGCCCTCCATCTACGAAGTCCCTGATCTTTAAGGGGACAGAAGTGCTCAGAAAGGCCAGCGCATGCCGGAAGGCATCAGGACTGCCCAGACGCCCATCATCAGAGCCATGGTGGCCAAGTGAACATGGGGATGGAGGAGGCCACCCAGGCTTCTAACATGGGTAACTGGGACAGTCAAGGGTTAACTTACCAGGCAGGGCCTTTGGAATCTGTAAAGGGAGCTTGGAAGAGGACTGGCCAGGTTGAAGACCTGGTTTCCCGGTGGCCCAGGTTGGCAGGTCACCACTGATCACCATCCCCCCTCCCACAGAAGGTTCATGACATTGAGGTCTACAGTACCAAGATCAGCTGCAAGGTGACCTCCCGCTTCGCTCACAATGTCGTCACCACGAAGGCCGTCAACCAGGCAAATGCTTCCAAGGAAGTTTCCTTCGACGTGGAGCTACCCAAGACAGCTTTCATCACTAACTTCACCCTGTGGGTGTCCCCATGGCTGCTGGCTTTGGGCTCTGGAGGGGAGTCTGGCCCAGCATGAGCCCCCAATTCTTTCCCTGCAGGACCATTGATGGTGTTACCTACCCTGGGAATGTCAAGGAGAAGGAAGTCGCTAAGAAGCAGTATGAAAAGGCTGTGTCCCAGGGCAAGACAGCTGGTTTGGTCAAGTAAGTATGGACCCCCACGCCTTGGGGAAAATGTCTGGTCTGCAAGGGATGTAAACAACAAAAGCAGTAGGTATTATTATTGTTGCAAAATGTGTCCACAATTCTCATAACATTATCCCATTTTGAAGTTGAGGCAACCAAGGCTTGGAGTGGGTAGGTGTCTTCCCCAAGAGGCTGGGACTTGAACCCCAGGCTCAGAAGGGTGGGTGGTAGTGTCTGGGGGAAGCCATTGTCTTGCATCCACATTCAGGGCCTCTGGGCGGAAGCTGGAGAAATTCACGGTGTCAGTCAATGTGGCTGCAGGCAGCAAAGTGACGTTTGAGCTAACCTACGAGGAGCTGCTGAAGAGGCACAAGGGCAAGTATGAGATGTATCTTAAGGTGCAGCCCAAACAACTGGTCAAGGACTTTGAGGTAAGCAAGCACCCCTGAAGGCCCTGCTGAAACTGTGGGGGACAGGATGCGGGTTGGGGAAGGGCCCCTGAGACAAAGCTTGGAGCAAGGTCAAGAACACAGAAGTCCAGTCCTCTCCACTTGGCTGAAGAAGCTTCGGGGAATTACAATGGTTCTGGCCACAGCAACTGGGCCAAGGGTAGGAGGCTGGGCTGAACCTACTCAGATCCTTGGGTGCTGGGCCCTTGGGGGCAACATCACAAAGTGTCTCTGCATAGCTAGTAACTGGTTATGTGGGTACTTTACCTACATTAGATCTGACACCCGAGGAAAATGATTTAGTGGTGGAAATCGGATACCATTTGGCAGGCACTGGGAGAGCTTTGGGGTCAGAGTACCATTGATGGGCCCTTTGGGTCATTTTCTTGGTGGGAGACACCAGGCGTGGCTGTCACAGAGCTGTCCTAGAAACTGGTCCCTGCACCATCACTGACCCTGCATCTCCTTTCCCCTGGCTCTGTCCTGGAGGTTGGCCTCTGCATGGTCACTGAGTAACATCTTCTTACCTTTCGACTTTTCAGATAGAGGCAGACATCTTCGAGCCCCAGGGCATTAGCATGCTGAATGCTGAGGCCTCGTTCATCACCAATGATGTCCTGGGCAGTGCCCTCACCAAGTCCTTCTCAGGGAAAAAGGTGGTACAGATGCCTCTCAGGCCTGGGGGCAGGGGCAGGACCACAGACCAGTCTGAGCCTTAGGGTTTGGCTGATGCTAGTGAGTGTGTGTCTGTCTGCAGCCGTCACTGTCTCCCTGGCCACCTGGGCCAGGAGTGAGGATGCTGGAGGCAGGGGGGTGCTTGTTGATAATGACCTTCCAGAGGATCTGATATGCCCCAGCAGCCCTTCCCCAACCCCTATCCTGACCTCCCCTCCCCAGTTTCAGCAGGGCCTGTAGGGGTGCTTGATTACCTCAAAGTGCTTGACCAGTTGCTTGGGCTGGAACTGGTGGTGGGGATAACCATTTATAAAGCCCTGTCTCGTTCTACCTTGGGAGGTAGGCAGGGCAGCTTACTGCCCATTTTACAGATAAGGAAACTGAGGCCAGAGGGAGTCATTTAGATTTACTGACTCCACAATGAGGGGTGGAAGATGAAAAAGAACGTTAGTGTTGGTGCTGGTGGTTGACTCTGATCCCCAAGGCCCCTAGCTATTCCAGGGCGGGTTCGTAGATGTCTACGTGTATAGTAACCTGTCATTCAGGACTTCTGGGGCGGCCTAGGAAACACACACTCCGAGGGCTGCTGGCTTCGGCAGGGCAGTGTCCCTGCCCAGGCTCTCCCCCACTTCCCTGCTCTGCTTCCTTCCCCCACCCTCTCCTCTTGGCACCGACACATACCACCCAACATGAAGTTCCTTTTCATGGTACAAAGCTCCCCTCCCTAAATGGCTTCTCAGTGCTGAACGCCAAGTAGGCTGAGCTAAGGAACTCAGCTGAACAAGGGAAGACAAGGGCTGAATCAGACAAGGCCGCCGCCCCCCAAGGTGCCCCGATCTCCAGGAGGAGAGAGGTGCTTAGAAAGGCCAGTGGCAGGATGGTGGCAGGACTGTCCAGGTGCCCACCTCCGGGCTTCTCCCTGTGAGGGCTGTGCCTTGCCCCCCAAGGTGCCCCTGGGCTAAGGTCTGCCATGAGCAGGCCCTGGCCAAGCTGAGCAAGGCACTCCATCTCCCTCCCTCAGGGTCATGTGTCCTTCAAGCCCAACTTGGATCAACAGCGTTCATGCCCAGTCTGTACAGACTCCCTCCTTGACGGAGATTTCATCATCACCTACGATGTGAACAGAGTGTCTCCAGCTAACGTGCAGGTACCTCCCTACTGGCTTCACCTGGCTGGTGGTGGGGTGAGGGCTGGTGGGGGAGGGGTTGCAGCTGCATCTGGGGCCATCACTTCGCATCCTCAGTCCAAAGCTGAACTTCCTGCAGGGCATGGGGGTGGCAAGCAGCCCAGAGCCTGTGTGGCACACTCAGGAGAGTGGGAACGAACATCTTCTTGGCCCGCTAAATATCTGCTTCTATTTACAAGAGTAGCCAATGTGTGGTTGCTAAAGGGACATGAGCCTACAGTCTCTCCCCCCTTTCAGGTAGTCAATGGCTACTTTGTGCACTTCTTTGCACCTGAAGGCCTGCCCATGGTGCCTAAGAACGTGGTCTTCGTGATTGACGTCAGTGGCTCCATGAGTGGCCGGAAACTGCAGCAGGTAATCTTCTCTCTGCAAGTGGAGGTGAGAGGTAGGGGGAAGGTTTTTTTTTAAATCCTCACTGAACCCTGGCCGGTTTGGCTCAGCGGTTAGAGCATTGGCCTGTGGACCGGAGAGTCCTGGGTTTGGTTCCCGCTAAGGGCACGTACCTCGGTTGTGGTTTGTCCCCGGCTCCGGTTGGGGTCGTGTGAGTGACAATCACTCGATGGGTCTCTCTCACGTCAATGTTTCCTTTTCTTCTTCCTTCTCTCACTCCCGCTCTTTCTGAAGATAAATGCAAAAGTGTCCTTGGGTGAGGATAAAAAAATAAAAAATAAATCCTCACCGAGGATATGTTTATAGATTTTTAGAGTGAGAGGAAGGGGCAGAGAGAGAAACCTCGATTGGTAGCCTCCCAGGGATCAGACACACAACCAAGTACGTGCTCTGACTGGGAATTGAACCCACAACTTTTTTGGTGTATGGGCCCATCCTCCAACCAACTGAGCCACCTGGCTGGGGCGAGATTTTTTTTCAGTGGACAAAGCAGATATTTCCAGTGAAAGAGGAGGAAAGAGGACAGGATAAAAAGGCACCAGGTGCCTGCCCCCTCTGCTGCAGCCAGCCAGAGCCTCGCCAACAGCCGCCTGCCTGCAGCTCGCTCTCCCAGCTTCTCGTCTGCTCCTCCTTCTCTTTCCCAGACGAAGGATGCCCTCCTCAAAATACTGGAGGATATAAAGGAGACCGACTACCTGAATTTCATCCTGTTCAGTGGAGGTGTGACCACTTGGAAAGATAATTTGGTCCAAGCCACTCCTGAGAACATCGAGGAGGCCAGGACGTTTGTGAGGGGCATTGAAGCTGCCGGAAGTAAGGACAGAGGGGGGTGCGACGCTCCTACCACTTGTCTCTCTGCCTGAGCGGCCTGTTTTCCTTCTTGGGGCACAGACTTTGCTGGCCCAGCCCTGGCAGACCCTCCCTGAGGGTAGAGGTGGGAGTGGGATGGGGGTTCTCAGGCTTGATCTCAAATTGTCTTCTCTGCGATCTAAGAGAACCCATTCTGTCTGTTCCTAACCCTTGATCCTGGTGCTCCACAAATCCCAGCAAGATACAGCCAGAGAACCTTTATCACTTGCTGTTTCTTATGGAAAATCACAAGTGATGTCTTTATTGCTCCCCTCTCCTCCCAGTGAGAGGCTGGGGGTCCATCTGACTGTTTTCTAAATTGTTTTTATAATCACCACGTGCTTCTACCCCTATAGCAGCCCTTAGAGGCTGGTTTTATTCCCATTTGAAAGAGCAAATCATTCATTCTTCATACACTAGTCCGTATTTACTGAGTACCAACACATACTGGCAGACAGGGTCCTTGGACACATGAGCAGGGCCTAATGTCCCAAACCCCTTCACCCTGGCCCCATGGACCCCTTCCTATGATGCTCTCTGTGTGCCAGTGACCAACATCAACGACGGGCTGCTGAGAGGCATCAGCATGCTGAACAAGGCCCGGGAGGAGAACACAGTCCCGGAGAGGAGCACCTCCATTGTCATCATGCTGACCGACGGGGACGCCAACACCGGTGAGGCGGGAGGCCGTGGCTCCGAACCAGAACCACAGTGCCTGGTTGCTGCGAGACCTTGGGCAGCTCTCCCCAGGTTCCCCCAGAGGCCAGGGCTCCCCACCCTCGGCCCTAATAAGGGCTCATGGCCATGATGCTACCAGCTCTGCACACACAGGGGTCATATCTCTTCAGACAGAGCTGGTCCAGACAGTTGTCGGGGCCGTGGCTAGAGTGTGACCACCCTTTTATGCTGCAGGTGAAAGCAATCCCTCAAAAATTCAGGAGAATGTGCGGAATGCCATTAACGGCAAGTTCCCCTTATATAACCTGGGCTTTGGCAAGTATCTGAACCATAACTTCCTGGAAAGCATGGCCCTGGAGAACAACGGCTTTGCCCGGCGCATTTATGAGGATTCCGATGCCAACTTGCAGTTGCAGGTATGCCTTGTCTTGCACCCCTCCAGGAATGAAGAGCGCACTCCTTCCTCGGGAAGCTGTCCCGCCATGTGATAGATACTTTTAATCATTAGAAAGAACTTCCTCCTAAGTTGAAATTCACCTTTGTTTACCTCTTACTGATCAGTAATGGTTTTGGTTTTGCCATTGGGCTACACGGAACAGAACTACTCCCTCCATAGGATTGCCAGATCAAATATAGGACTTCAGTTAAATATGAATTTCTGATTTAAAAAATTAGTGATTTTTCAGAAAGAATATATGTACCCCCATGTTTGTAGCAGCACTATTTACAATAGCTAAGATCTGGAAACAGCCCAAGTGTCCATCAGTAGACGAATGGATAAAAAAGCAGTGGTACATATACACAATGGAGTACTACGCAGCTGTAAGAAACAAAGATCTCTTATCCTTTGAGACGACATGGAGGGACCTGGAAAGTATCATCCTAAGTGAAACAAGCCAAACAGAGAAAGACAAGTTTCATATGATCTCACTTATTTGTGGAATATAATGAACATAACAGTCTGAGGAATGGGGTAGTCCCAGAGACGTGGAAGTGGGGTACAGACTGACAATCCCCTAAAGAGGGGGTGGTGGGGGAGAGATAAACCACAGAACTTATATGCATGTGTGCATGAACAGTGGACATGGACAACAAACTGGGGACAGGGCAGGGAGGGAGGGGGAGGGGGGAATCAGTGGGGGAAAAAGGAGAAACATCTGTAACAAAAATTAATTAATTAAAAAATTAATAAATAAATAATTAGTGATTTTTTAGTGTAAGTCTGCCCTAAAGACCGCATAGGACACTGTATTAGTTTCCTGGGGCTGCCATAACAAAGTGCCACACACAGAGTGGCTCAAACCCCAGAAGGTCACTCTCTCTCAGCTCTGGAGGCCAGAGTCTAAGATCGAGGTGTTAGGGGTGGTTTGTGTGAGGGCTCTGCAGCGAGGGTCTCCCAGGTCTCTCCTTAGCTTGTAGATGGCCATCTTCTCCCTGTCTCTTCACATCGTCTTCCCTGTGGATCTGTCTCTGGGTCCAAATTTCCCCTTTTCCTAAGGACATCAGTCATATTGGATTGAGGTCCACCCCAAAGAGCTCATTTTAACTTGGTCATCTCTGTAAAGACTGTATCACCACATAAGGTCACATCTTGAGGTACTGGGGATAAGGACTCTAACCTATGTATTTTGGGGGTACACAATTCATCCTATAACAGACATACTTATAACAAAAAATCAACTTCTTTTTTACATGACATTTAGATTTGACTGCATGCCCTGTACCTTCATTTGCCAAATCTGACACCCCCATCCTTCCTGGTACAGGTGACCTCATCTCCACACGGCAGCAGACCCCCATGCCTTCACCTGCACCTGCTCCCACCCCATATCACTTTCTCTCGTCAGCCTCTCCTCCTGTCCTTCTCTCCTTCTTAGTTTCATTCCAACAAACATTTCTTGAGTGCTTTCTATGTGCAAGAACTCCGTCCTCACCTTTTGTATGATTTCCAGTCTCTGCTGGGGGCAGGAGGGGCTCCCGCACACTGAGGGGCACAATCAGGGCCACGTAGAAGTGGAGGCCAGGCCAGGCCTGCCCCCGCCTGTGGGACTCCACAGACTTTGGAGGTGTCGGCGAGAGCCCTCCCACACTGTCCTCTCCATGCCCTGGTGGCCTGAGGTGACCAGGTCTGCTCTCTGGACTGCAGGGCTTCTACGAGGAGGTGGCTTACCCGCTGCTGACGGATGTGGAGGTGGAGTACCCTCAGAACGCTATCCTGGACCTCACCAAGAACACTTACCAGCACTTCTATGACGGCTCTGAGATCGTGGTGGCTGGGCGCCTGGTGGACGAGGACATGAACAACTTTAAGGCGGATGTGAAGGGCCACGGGGTGAGCTGGGCTGAGGCCTAGATAGGGGCTGGGGATGGGGCATCAAGCACCCACGGAGCCTGGGCCTCCCCGCTGACGGCCCAGCGGTGGCAGCCCCTGCACCAGGCCCACGTGGCTCCAGGCCTCCATTCCTTAAGCCTCTCACTGTCTCCCACCCCTGCCCTAGGCTATCAATGACCTGACCTTCACAGAGGAGGTGGACATGAAGGAGATGGAGAAGGCCCTGCAGGAGCAGGACTACATTTTTGGGAACTACATCGAGCGGCTCTGGGCCTACCTTACCATTGAGCAGCTGCTGGACAAACGGTGACCCTGGCCCATCCCTTACATATCTAGGCCCCTCCCTGGGCCCCTGGGCCTGCCCCTGGGCTGGCTCCGCTCTGGGGGTGCCCAGGAGGAAGACTGGGCCCCACCCCGGGAAGTGCACCCCATGCACATTCCCAGCTGCCTTGTCCTCTTTTCCGCTCAGCCCTTGAAATGGTGCCCAGGGCAGAGCCCAGCCTGACATCTGGGGGCAGTGATGGAGAGGCTGAGAATGGGATCGGGCACAGTCCCCAGAGGGCAGGGCCCGGCCTGTCTGAGAGGGCCTTGCCAGCCTTCTTTGAAGTGGGACCAGCCTGTAAAGCCCCTGGGGCAGGGTCTGGCACCTGCTGAGCACTCATCATGAGAGGCTGTTACTGTGGCCATTTCAAGCCCCTTGTATTTTATAGGTGGGGAAACTGAGGCCCCCTTAGGGAGGAAGCACAGCCTGTCTGTCCCAGGGAGCTGGCGAACCAATTTTTTTCTGAGCGCTAGTGGTAAAAGGGGGTCCCGGGCTGCCTCTGGGGCTCCCGGCCTGGTGCTGGGAGTCAGAACAGGGGAAGGCCGGCAGGGAGCTGAACTCTAGGTCGAACCTCTCGCCACACCCCTCCCTGCAGCAAGAACGCCCGTGGAGACGAGAAGGAGAACCTCACAGCCCAGGCTCTGGACCTGTCTCTCAAGTACCACTTTGTGACTCCTCTGACCTCCATGGTGGTGACCAAGCCTGAGGATTTTGAGAACCAGATGGACATTGCCGACAAGCCTGGGGAAGGTGGGCACGGAGAGTGAAGGCGGGGACTTGGGTGCCCTGAAGAGGAGTGGGCCAGGGAGACCAGGCCCCCTGCAGAGGAGCTGGTCCAGCAGGCGCTGAAGGAAAAGTGGCCGAGGGCTGGGGAGGGGGCTGTGGAGGGAGCGAAGCCGTCAGCAAGGACAATGGGGTATGAGGTGAATAGGAGCCGCTGAAAGGGGTGCGTACCCTGCCCGGGGTCATTTCCGGGAAAGGGACTTAGGCTGCAACATGGAAGGGCTCAGTTAGACAAGAAGAAGCACTCCCAGCCTTAAGGTTAGGCCTGGAGCATGTGCCTGGGGATTGTGAGAGGAAAAGGCCCTGCGAGCTGAGGCTGGGACCAGGCCTGCTCCCCTACTGCAAGAGGGGAGTCCTGAGTATCCCCACACAACTGGGCGCAGGGCGTAGGGGTGTTGGCTTTGGGAGGCATGGGAGGCAAAGAGCTGGTCCGGACCAGGCCAGGAGCCCCTGGTTCCAGGGGACACCCAGTGGAAACAGCTGCCTGCTGGCCCACAGCCGGGGGCTGGTTGGACAGGCAGCAAGTTGGTCACGTTGGCCTGGACCCCAGGAGTCTGTGGCTTCTAACACATTCCTCCTCGTCTTCTCTCACAGGGTCTATGGATACAGGTGAGCTTCAGCGAGCAGCTGGGTGGTGTCCCAAGGAGGCCTTTCCAAGCATGCTGGCGATGCCCAGCCTAGGAAGGAGCCCTCAGGACACCTGGGCTCAGGTCCAGCTCTGCCGCAACTCATGAGCAACCTTGAGCCGGGCTCTGCCCCTCTCTGAGCCAGTTGATTGGGGGGTGGCTTCCTCTGCCCAAGGAGGGACAATCAGTATGAGACTATTATGTGACCTGCAAAATGAGCAGTGTCCCACATCAGACACTCACACTTGATTCAACCCACAGCAACCCTCAGAGGGAGTCCTCTTACGGTTCCCATTTTACTATGAGGAAACTGAGGCACAGAGGTTAAGTCTGTCTGCTCAAGGACTCCGTCACCAGGTGGCTGAGCCAGGGCTTTGGCCCAGGCAGCCTGGTTGCAGTGCCTGAGCTGGAATTCACAGCACCCTGCACCTTCGCATCATAAAATTAGCCTCATCCCCCACAAGCCCAGCACCACCAGGCTGAGCACCCCCTGCCCTTCCTGTCTGCCTTGCCTGCACCACTACATGTTGTTCTATCTGCCAGCACATTGGGACTGGCCACCACTGTCCTCTCAGAACAGCCCTGCCAAATGTATAGTCACTAGTGTGTATATGCACAGTAAGAGTGTGTATGTGTGTGTGTGTTACTACCAAGGACAACAGACAGCTGTGAGCCTCATCCCACCCCCAACGGGGGGTTGGCGCGGGAGCTCAAGGGCAGAGGACAGTATCTGCTGTTTGCATTACTCAGGACAGAGAAGCGGACCATAGACGGGCTTGCATTTTAGTCCTATCAAAGTGCCATGCCCCTGGCCTTAAAATTACAGCCACATTACCACTAGTTCTAGAAGTTCCCTGGGCGTGCCCCCATTTCTACAGCCTATGCCTAAGGGTCACATCCCTGCCCTCTAACTTCAGTGCTGGGGTTTCAGTGGGCACTGCTGGCCCCAAGACAGGAGGAGGCATGGGGGTTGGGGAGAGGAAACCCTGGACCCTGCTCACGACTGCCCGTTTTTTCTGCCCTGCTTCTTCTCAGTGATCCCCTCCATGGCTTACCTGAGTGAGTATACACCCCGCTGCAGCCCCCCCTTCGGCAGGAGCCTAGCCCTGGGCATCCCCACTGGAATCTTCCTCAATCGGCTCCCTGGGACAGGCAGATGGTTGGATCCTGAGGAGGTGGGGGTGGGTGGGTGGGTGTTGAGGGCATTAGGACGCAGGAAGGGGAGGGGCATGAATCAAACTCGGGTGGGTTTCCAGGCCTGCTTGTTTATTTGAGCCCTCTCTCCCTTTGTGTCCACAGCGGGCAGCTACCACCCTCCTGCTGCACCCTCCTACTATGGTGAGTGCCCCAGCTCCTCCTGGGGAAGGCCCAGGGCCCAGCACCTCCTGCCAGTCTAGGTGTCCATCCCACAGGGGCCAAAGGGTGAGGGGAGGCCACTGGAACAATGAGAGGCCCCAGGATCCAGACACTTCTCTGATGTGCCCTCAGTGGATGGGGACCCCCACTTCATCATCCAAGTCCCAGAGAAAGACGATGCCATCTGCTTCAACATTGACGAAGAGCCAGGCACCGTGCTGCGCCTCATTCAGGACCCCGTCACAGGTGTGGCTGCAGGCCGGGGTGGGGCGGGGGCTCTTCCTGGGAAGGCCTGGAGATCCCCAGGGTAGGCACGTGGACCAGGTCCTCACTCTTCCCATAATGCACCCATCTTTGTATGCAGATCACATGCGGGAGGGGGCTGTCCAGGACCATAGGCTAGCCAAGGCCCCCAGGGGCCAGTATGCTGGGGAGATGATTAGAGTTAAGGGTGGCCTGGCCCCGAGGGCAGGACCCAGCTTATATCTGGGGAGTAGTTTTTCTCTGAACATACTCCCTGGCCCAGGCAAGGGGCAGATCTACAATGTCGTCCCTCCGCCACCAGCATGACCCAAGAGGGTCTAGGAACAGATTGGGTTGGCTCTGAAGTTCTGATCTCTCCTTGGGACCCCTGCCTTTCATCAAGCCTGGCTGAGGGGAATACTCACCCTTAACGGCCAGCTGACCAGATCTCACTGGTCTCTTACTGCCCATGCCTCTGCAGGCTTCACAGTTAATGGGCAGATCATTGGTGACAAGAAAGGCAACTCTAACCCTGAGACCAGAAAGACTTACTTTGGCAAACTGGGCATTGCCAACGCTCAGATGGACTTCCGGATGGAAGTGACTCCAGAGAGCATCACCCTGTGGAATGGGGCTGCACAGAGCACTTTCAGCTGGATGGACACAGTCACGGTCACACAGGATGGGTAAGGCCCCTCTACTGGGCCTCTGAGGGGCACTGTTGTCCGATGATCTAAGGAGGCCGGAAGGATGTGCAGAAATCCCAGGACAGAAGATCCATAAGGGGTCAGCGGGGAGACTGGTGGCCTCAGAGTTCAGCCCCTGCCCCAGGGGAGAGTGGTCATGGTAGACCCCAGCCAACCCCTAGGACCCCTGTCAGAGCCAGAATTGGTAGCTGGACAGTTCACAGGGCTGACCTTGAGGGAAGGGCTGATGGACGAAAGCATTAGGTGGACGTGCGCTCTGGTAATAACAATAAACTATGTGCATCTTCCCTGGCTGAACTTCTTAGTTGCCAAACTCCTCAGCCTCTCCCATGTCTTTCAATTACCCAGAGACTGGTGAGCAGGGCAAGAGTATTACTCCTACTGAGGCTCAGAGAGGGGGCAGAACCTGCCCAAGGTCACACAGGAAGCCAGTGGCTGAGCTGGGACTTGATGCCAGGCCTCCAGATTCCCAGGACAGCCCCTTTCCTGCTGGCAGAGGAAGGATGCACTCAGTGGAGGGCAGAGCTGGCATGCATGAGGTGTCTTTTCTTCAACACCCCTGAGACAGTTTCTGGAGTCTGTGCTTTCGAGCGCCATGCACAGGGAGGGCCCTGCCACGATGTCCTTGATTCAGATGCCTGGTGTCATGGCCACTGTGCCCCTTGCTGCCCTCCTCCTCTCTCCTAGGCTATCGGTGATGATCAACAGGAAGAAGAACATGGTGGTCTCCTTTGGCGATGGGGTTACCTTTGTGGTGGTTCTGCACCAGGTGTGGAAGAAGCATCCTGTCCACCTTGACTTCCTGGGCTTCTATGTGGTGGACAGTCACCGGATGTCAGCACAGACACATGGGCTGCTGGGTATGGACTGTTCAAGCTTCAGGCTGTTTCCAGGGCAGAGCGAAAAGCCATGGGAAAGGCCGTCCTGGCCGCCAGACCCAGCACACAACTCCCCTTTCAGCCTTTCCCTTAACCCCACGGCAGTGGCCGTGCTACCTGCGGTGACGGCAGAGGCTGACAGTGTGAATGTTTTATCCCCAGGACAATTCTTCCACCCCTTTGATTTTAAAGTGTCTGACATCCGCCCAGGCTCTGACCCCACAAAGCCACATGCCACAATGGTGGTGAAGAACCATCGGCTGACAGTCACCAGGTGAGGGGACTCATCTGACACCTTCACCCTGTCCAGTAACAAGCCAGGAGGAAAGAGCCCTTTCCGCCCACACACGAGCCCAGCAGGCTCTTGTCTCTGGTGGGGTACCCTCATTTCCCTCTGGGTCTTAGCCCCCTCTAGGCCCCTCTGAATCAGGAGGTCAAACTTAGCCCCCTAGAAGGAGTCATTATACAACCTCGTCCTTGACAAAGCATTCTGGGCTCCTAGAATTGGCAACATCACACCCTTTTCCAACCTTGGGTCCATGAGCGAAGCAGCCATCTTGCCTACCCTTTGTATCACAGCATCTCTCTCCCTTCTCCAGGGGCTCCCAGAAAGACTACAGGAAGGATATCAATAATGGCATGAAGGTGACCTGCTGGTTTGTCCACAACAATGGCCAAGGACTGATTGATGGGGTCCACAGGGACTACATTGTCTCCAGCCTGTTCTGAGATGGCCCTCCTTGCCTGGCATCTGGAACAGGGGCCCGCAGACAGGCCCAAGGGAGGGCGGTGACAATAAAGGCCACGGTGGAACCAGACCGCTGCCAGCCTCTGCATGGCTCCGAGCCCTGCTCTGGGGAGCACCAGCCAGGACCTGAGGCAGCTCAAAGGAGGGACTGGCTGCTAGGAAGGCAATTCCTGGGCCTCCCCAGCAATGTGGCTGAAAGACAGGGCTGGTTGGGGTAGCACTGTGGGGAGTCAAATGTATGATGGTTGGAGAAGGAAACAAATCAAGAATTGACCCTGGAGCAGAGTCTCTGAGAAGTTGGGGAGGGCTGAGTGCATTTCAGAGTCCAGAAGGGTCCTAAGAAAAGTCGGGGGTCCTGGCTCAGGAGCTCCTTTCAGGACCTTCAGGCCTGGATCCTTCTATGACTCAGAAGCAGAGAGTGTCCCAGGGCAGGCACAGCCTGCAGGTCCATACACCCACCCGCCCACTATCCGTCCAGCTACCAACCACCCATCCCTTCATCAGATAAACCCAACATTCTGGGCTAGGATCTGGGGGCATACAGCTTAGTGTTTGCACGAGTGCCTCAAGTTTGCCTTCAGCTGGGATGGGAATCCCTGGGATCCTCCAATCACACCCCAGGTAATCACCTGCTACACCCTCACAAGTCCTGGGTGGGGTGAGGGTTCCGACTGGTTCATGGACTAGGGTCTCTGAGAGCCTCTCCCACTGGGACAATTGCAACAGTCCCTCCCTGGGTCTCCCTGCTTCCAGTGAGAGCTTTCTACAGAGCAGAACCAACCACTGCTCCCTGCCTTAAGCCCTGCCAATGACATCGCCCACCCACTGCTCTTGGGACAGACAGAAGTCCTTCCTATGACTTCTCAGCTCTATCAACTCCTATACCAGGCGCGTCCCTTTACTTTCTGGGCTCCAGACACATCGACTGCTTCCAGTTCTGCAAACAGTCCCTCCTGCCCCCAGATCCTTTGCCTCTGCTGCTCTCTCTCCTGAGGGGCTAGGGGCACGCTGGGTAGAGGGCGTCTCATCGAAGGAAACAATGGGCAGCTTGGCTCAATGGCACAGCAAGGAGGCTGGAGTCCGACTGGGAGGCATCGTGAATGCAGTGGGGGCTGGGATGGGATCTGGACATGGGTCATGAGGTTTTCCCACCTCCCACTTCAGGGGCCCCTCTGGATGTCCTAGGGACACCAGCCTGGGATCCCGGAGAGGGTACTGAGGGGCAGTCCAGGAGGAAACATTGATCATCAGAGGAGCCCACCCCTCCCCAGGAGAGGCCACTTGTGGACTGGAGCTGTTGCTCCTCTAGGGAGAGGGCCACGAGACAGCTCCAGAGGAAATGTGGCAGATGTCCAGGCTGGGCTGGCAAAAGGGCCGAGGCCTGGGAAGGGACAACCTAACACAGGCAAGCCCTGCCACCCGTTCTGTCCCAGGTTGGCTGAGGAGCCATGTCATCCTGAGGTCAGTTTTCACATCTGTGAAATGGGGAGAAAGACCCCGCCACATGGAGGGTGAGAAGAAGCATCATTACATGGCTTCTGGTCCTCCTGCCTTTGTTCTGCCGCTCAGCTAGCAGCCTTGCCCAGCGGCTTGGCAGAAAGGCGGAGGAGGCCCCACCCCAAACCTGCCCCTTCCCCTCCCTCAGCAGTCAGGCCTTCGGTGCAGGCCAGCTCCAGGCAGACTCCGTCTCTCCCCAGTCCCACGTCACTCTGGCTGTGCCAGCCCCTGGCTACACCTCTGAACCTCCCTGGCTTTCAGGACAGAAGTCACGCTCCATGGCAAGGGGTGCCAGCCAGTGCTGGCCGGGCCCTGCTGCGCCCCCGCTCCAGCATTCCCTTCCTCCCCCTCCCATGGCACTGCTCTCCTTCGCTGACCCTGAACTCAGTGCCCAGTGTCCTGGCTCTGGCCTGTGTCCTTGTCATCCTTTACTGGGCTGATTTCTCTTTATTCTTCAAAACTCAACTTCAACCATGCCACTTCCAGGAAGCCTTCCCTGATCTCCCCCAGGTAGAACAAGATGACTCCCTCTGGGCTCCTAGTAGCACCTGGTCATTCTCTGGGTGGCAGCTGTCACACTAGGCACTGTGTCTATCATGGTGCCCACTGTACCCACAGCACTCTGCCCACGGCCTGGCCCGAGTAAGTGCTAGAAAGCACTCGGTGAACAAAACAATGAAGGGCATGCACTTACTACCAATTGTTCACAGAGGACACCTGCCCTGCTGACTGGGCCAGAAAGTCACCCAGGACCCCTTGGCTGTTGTACAAATCCCATGGGCCAGCCCAGGAGGTGGTGTCCTAGAGGGGTGAGCTCGGTGGGCATGCCCTCATCGTGGTATGTATGCCAGAGCTGGCCCCACAGCAAGTCTGACAGAGCCCCCAAGTCTCACAGCTCAGCCTGAGACCCCCGCCAGCCAGCGCGGCAGATGGAGTCCTGTGCGCTTGGCAGTCCCTCCTCCGGCCGCTCTGACCATCCCAGAAAGACTCCCTCAGTCAACACCCTGCAGAGCTCAAGAGCTGGGAAGAGGATGTTTTTCCCGATGGTCTGGTGTGCTTCCCCTTAGCAAGCACATGAGCTCGTGTTCCGCTTTCCTCTGGTTGCCAGGAAGCTCGAGCAAAGCCGCGCGGCGCAGCTTCTCTGCCCGGGCACTGGTCGAACTCTCCTCCTGCTGGGCTCCTATTCTCAAGGATTTGGCTTTATTCTCTTTACGCTTTTTACTTGTAAGACAAAGGACTTGTCATTTTTTAAAGAACTAAGTGGGGTAATTATAAATGGGTTTTGTTTTTAAAATTATTTTATTAAAAATTTTTTTAAACTTCACCCAAGGATATGTTTTTTATTGATTTTTTTTTAGAGAGGGAGGGAGGAAGGGAGAGAGAGAGAAACATCAATGTGAGAGAGAAGCATCAATCGGTTTCTTCCTGCACACGCTCCAACCAAGGCTCGAGTGTGCAACCTCTTGGTGTATGGACTGACGCTCCAACTAACTGAGCCACCTGGCCAGGGCGACACATGGTTTTCAAATATGCTTTGCCTGTGCAGGAAATGGGTGGAATCTTTGGGGTGCCTAAACCCTGGGGCATGGATAGGAGAGGACTTCGAGTGGGGGGCCTGGGTCATCCCTATGGGACTGGAGGCTCTTGGGAACAGAGCTTCCCCCTGGGATGGGGCTGCACCTCTCTGTCTGCAGTGCTAGCTTCTTTACAGGGCCGTGAGCACAGGCCTAGTCCTGAGCACAGGTGTGACCATCAAACTGTGCCATAAAAGTCCCCTTGGAAGGGGCCCAACAGTGTGCTGAGAACTTCTACCCAGTTCACTCTTTTTCTTGAGGGGGAGGGGCGGGTGTCAAAACTAGTTTTCATGGACCAAGACGGAACCTCTGCTCCCAGAAACTGTTTCCCTGCCCTAGGCCCCCGGCTGGGGCCTGGAGTGGCTTTTACATGGCCGGTTTAATCTCTCTAACCTTAGTTTCCCACCTTGTGAAATGTAGGGACTGGACGGGCCGCAGGCCTTCGAGGGGCTGACGATGGAACAGTCTCATGTGACAAGATGCTAAGTGAGCAGGACGGGTTCTGCAGCCCTGGGATTCGGCTGGATGGAACCAGAGACGCCCACTCCCTGGGCTTACACCACCTTCCTTTATTTGTAACAAGTGGAACGCCCTCCCCGGCACAGTGCAGGCCCCGCGTGTGGCCCTCTGGTCACAGGATGGCAGCCATCTGCACACCGCGGGGTGGCATGGGGGTGGTGGGTATCACTCCTCCCATCAGGACTAGAGCTCCACACACCAGCAGGGAATCTCTGTTCCTGGGTACCCCTGTTGATAATCCAGCTTGAGCTCTCTGGGATGGATAGACAGACAAATAGGTGGTTAGCAAATCTCAGGTGTGGTGGGAAGACAGGCAGAGAGCTGGGGACAGGAATGTGGAGAGTGGAGTTTTGGGACCCCTTAGAAGTCCCTCCAGCATAGGCTGACAAGGCCCAGTCGCCCAAGGGGATCCAGTTGTGTGGTGTACAGGGTCCAGGACTCAGAACGCAGGGAGCTTCCTACTGTCCCCAAGTCACCCTAGTGATCTCTGGCTGCTGTGTTTTCTGTGGGGCTGAGTTGATCAACTTTTGTGGACTCCCACTGAGAGCTGGGCCAGACATGTCTAAGGTACCAGACTTTCACCTGACTATCTCTAGATCCCGGGCGGGCCAGGGGAGTGGAGGCCCCCAGGGACCAGCTCTCAGCCTCCTAGTCCCACCCCTGGCCTGTTTTCGCTGTTACCTGGTGGCGGGATGGTCCTGCCCCTGAACCCTCAGTGTTCGCTTGCTGTCATCTGCGGCTGAGGGTTCCCAGAGCACATCCTGGTAAAACTGGCCTGAGAGACAAAGGGTTGGTCATGAGGGGTACAGACATGGGGACTGGGAGATACACAGAGGTGGGGTACTGCCTGTTTGCAGGCAGAGGTGGTTTCTGAGGATGCCCTGAGCCAGGGCCATGGGCAGCGTACCAAGGGTCCCGTTAACGTGGCTGGAGAAGCGGTTAGTGTCCTGCAGAAGCAGTCGAATGCCCTGCCTAGGGCCATTCCAGGACAGCAGGCCGATGGTCACTTTGTCTGGGCTGCTGAGCAGCAGGAGCCCCTCCTTGTCCATGGTCATCTTGAGGCTGTGGGAAACCCAGCCTCCTGAGAGCAAGGCAGGCACAGAGCCACCCCCAGGGGACCTTGGCCGTTGGGGTGGGAGTGGGCGGGGGCTGCCCTTGTCCTGGGGAATGCCTGCTGTGGCCTGGGGGGGAAGTCCGTTCCATTCTGAGCTTCAGTTCCTCACCAGTAAACAAAGTTAATTTAATAATACCTGGTGATCCCAGCATTTATAAAGCAAAATAACAGCTCCTTTCCTTACTTAGATTAGCTTTCTCATGGATCCGTTTCCCACGATCTGACACACTTGCTCTGTCCTTTTGTGTTTATAGACACTTTCTTCTGGCCATCGGGGTTTAATTGTCTGGTTAATCCAGGGGGCAAATCTCTTCTCATTCTCTCCCCTTCTTTTTTACTTAAAATAATCTTTGAAATTCTTACCATTTTAGTTTGCATAGGAATGTTAGGCTCCTTGATACGTGCTGAATAGGACCCTGCTGTTACCGGGAGGTTCTGCTGAATGGACTAAATTCACACGTGGTCGGATTTTCTTCCTGCAGCTCTCTAGTTCCTGAAAGTGTGTGGACCCTGGCACTACGATTGATAGGAATTCTTGATTCCATCTTCTGGTGTGTATGTCCAAAGCAGAGAAATGCCTTGTGTATATATCAGATACGAGGAAACTTTAAGATTTTTTCTGAAATGGGGAGGTTTTCGGGTGAGACCCTCAGATTTGCTAGGCGCTCACTCATTGGTCCAGAGGAAGCCAGCCTCTGCTGAGGGGCTCGGTTGGGGGCAGGGATAAGGCTGTTTGTACTCAGCACAGGCTGGGGGCTCGGAGGGGTGTGCTCCAGGGCCTCGGCCCCCCGCGCCAGGCCCCTCCTGACTTCCAGAGCCAGAGAGCTCTCTGCAAGGCTCGACGGGAGGCAGCCCACCGGCGGTCACCATCCCCTCCATTACCTACCAGCTGCCTGGTGGTTGAGGCCGAGAGGAACATGTCTCTGCTCATCAGGGCTTCAAGAGTAGCTTTGGCCGGTTTGGCTCAGCGGTTAGAGCATCGGCCCATGTACCAAAGGGTCTCGGGTTCAATTCCCAGTCAAGGGCACGTACCTGGATTGCAGGTTCGATTCCCAGCCCTGGTTGGGGTTGTGCTGGAGGCAACTAATCAATGTGTCTCTCTCCCTCTCTTTCTCTCTTCCTCCTTCCCTCCCTTCCACTCTATCTAAAAATCAATAGAAAAATATCCCTGGGCAAGGATTAACAAACAAACAAAAAAACCAGTAGGCTAAGAATAACATTTATAACCTCCCCTCCTCCCCTTGTTGGACGGTGTCTTCCACCTTCTCATCATTTCATCATTATCTCACCACTAGGCCGCCGCCCTCCAGCATGGCCCCTCTAATGAGCAGGGTGCTCCTCGGCCACACCCTCTCTCTGGGACCCCCAGCCTCTAACTCAGGCAGGCTTAGGGTGATTCTCGCCAGTTATGAGTGAGGAAACTGAGGCTAGGAGGGTCCTAGCAGCCCGCCAAGGGTTACACGGGATTAGCAGCAGAGCTAGCTCCAAGCCACATTGCTCCCTGCGCAGGAGAGTGACATGGGTTAGCTGTGAGCACAGCCAGGTCCCTAGGACAACCCTTGGTGCCCCCAGAACAGAAGGGGTGCAGGGCCCTGCCCAACGGGTGATGCACTGCAGAGGTGCATGCCCAGCCCAACCACTGCATCCGCAAGCCCATGGCCTCAGACCACCTGTCAGCACTGCCACCAGCTAACAGAGATGGCCACTGCTGGTGCCCACCCTGAGGCTTACCCGGGCATCACCGAGAACAGCGTTTCCTTCCACTTGTACTCAGAGTTTCTTTGGTTCCGAGTCACTACCACGTGCTCAGGAGACGCGTAGACCTGCAGCTGGGGCTGCTTGAAGGTCACCTTGATCCATGAGAACTGGGCCTTCTTCATCTCATACTGGCCCGTCACCTCGAGCCCTGGGAGAGCCGGGAGCACAGAGGTCAGTTACGGCCCCAGCTGGGCTCTGGCCTGAACGTGAGGTCCTCCCTGGTTCTGTCCCACAGTACTGTCCTTCAGCTCCCCTCCTCAGTGCCTTTACCCAGCATGCCCTCGCACCGCAACCTCGTGTCCACAGTCTCTTCTCAGTCCCTGGATTCATTTGACTTTGGGAGGGCCTCAAACCCTCAGTGATGGACACCTTCAAATAGATGAGCCCTCTGAGAAGGGAGGTCCTGCCTAAGTCCGTTACCATTGACAAAGCCCCTGTAGTGTGCCTGGCCCTGAGCTAGGTGCCATGGCCAACAGTGAGCTGGAAAATCAGCGGTCCCCACCCTCAGGGAGCACACAGATGCAGCCTGGCGTACGGAAGTGGGAGACCGTGCGTGTGAGCATCCCTGGGTGCTGGGCATCCCCACGTCTCACTTGACACCTCAGCTCAACCAGTACAAGCCTCTGGGGGCCGGGGAGCAGGCCTAGTCAGCATGCCTCACTCCTCCACACTCTCGACAGTCCTACTACTATCTTTCAGGGCTCGGAGCTTCTTCCAGCCTCTTCCTCTTCCTAGTGAACCCCCACTTGTCTGCCAAGGCCCCGTCTCTCCTGTGTGACCCTGTGTTGCCTCCCCTGACCCTCAAATAGCCCCAGCCTCCTCCCCTGGGCTTGTCTCTGCCACTCTGGGCACTGACTGCGGGTCCATCTCTCCACCCCTGAAGTATGGCCATGACGGAGGGAAAGATCACATCTGGTCACCCTGAAGTGCCAGGCCACTCAGACCTGCATATGTGGTGACTTGTGGAAGGTCTGTGGGCCGGTGCTCAGGGGCATGACCATGCCATGACCCAGGACAGACCCACACAGGTTAGGTGTGCCTCTATGGAGAGGTGTTCCAGTGTCATCAGCAGGGTGGTAAGCTGGGGTTGAGTGGGGTGTCTGGGATTCTCTGGATGGCTAACTGGTTAGGGTCTCACCTTGCTCAGGGTCTGAGAGCAGGTTCATTGGCTCCTGAGAGTGCTTGATGTCCACACAGAGCTGGTCCACGCTCTGCCCAGGCAGGGGCAGGATGACGGCAGGAGCCTGGATGGGGGCTGGGACAGCAGATGCAGTTCCTGGGGCTGGTAGAGCAGGCTGAGGGGCAGGGATGGGGAGGGGGATTGTGGGTGGCTAGCAACTTACCTGCTGGTGGGGTTGTTGGGCTTGTTTCTGAAAGAAGAAAAAGTCTGGGTTTAGGCATCCCCTTCCTGGGAGTTGGGGGTAGGAAGAGTTGAAGGATGGAGGAGGGGATGGGTGTGGCCAGGTTTCCTTCTCCACTTCAACACTGAAGAACCCGTGTAACAGGTTCACAGAGATCCCCAGAGCTCTCCCATCCCAGGGTCTTCCTGCTGCAGGGCCATGGTCTGGGGGCTACTTTGGATCAGATCTACTTCATGAAACACTGTCTTGGGAGTGGAGGAGGCAGACACTAATACAGCATCAGCCAGGAACAGAAAGGAGAAGGCAGGCAGATTCAGAGCAGCCAGCATGCACCCGCCACCCACCAAGCTCCAGCCCTGTGCCCCTTGGCCCACACCCAGCAACCTAGGAGAGCCTCTGCAAAGGGTTCCCCACAGAAGAGCACGCTAGTAGGGGAAGTCCCGAGGAGATAGGTCCAGCTGGGCTTTGCGGCTGTGTCTGAGTCCAGATTTGGAGATTAGATACAGCTCAGGGGACCACTGACGGCTTTGGGAATGGAGGAAGCCTTTCCTTTCTAGAAGGTTCCATCCTGAGCCAGCCTCCAGAGTGTCATGAATCCAATTCAGTGAAAATAAAGGACACACTACTTAATGTCCTGCCCACAGCAACTCCCTGGTCTGTGCGGCCCTGTGCGTGGTGCTTTCTCCCACCCAATTCTGCAGGCAGGTTTACCGACCACCTTGAGGGAACGAGGCGCTCCGAGGTCAGGCAGTGGCTTACCTAACACGTCCATGCTCTCTGCGCTATAGACATTGACCAAGGAATCGTAAAACGGACGCTGATAAACAACAGATGCTTGTAGTCCCGATTTCATTGGGTAGCTGGACGACACCCCGAAAGGTCCTGCTTTAGAAAAGTTGATACCTGCAGTCTTCGCTCAAGTAGTGTTACGGGTCCCCACTGCCAGGACCTGGGCCCATCCCCGGAGAGGGGTGGAGAGAAGGCAGACGGCTCTCTTCCCTACACCCACCACCTGAGAGCCTCTCCTCCCACAGCCAGGAGACAGTCAAAGCTGAAAAAATGGACCCTTCTTGGACCCTTCCCCGCTGGGATATCAGCCACCCCGAGGTGGTGCTCCTCAAACTACCTTGTCTTCTGAAGCCACTTCTGCCATGCATATATGTGTCTGCAGAGCTGCCTCCTAGTCAGACACACTACATTGCAGTCCCAGCCCTGGCACCGGCGCGGTGAGCCCAGTAAGCCACAGTCTGTGGCCAGGGCCAAGGTGCTGTCAATCTCCCCTTCCCCCTTGTCCTCCTTCCCTACCTGGTAGTACGGGTCCTCTGTATCCCAAGCCTTTATTTCTGATGAGTTGGTGACCTGGAAATCAGAGACCTGGGTGTGCATGTAGCTGGGGGGGATTGTGCCCTAGCACCCAGGACAGCCAATATGGGAATGAACAGGTGACTAGCGGCACCGCTGTGCTTGGACAGGCAGTGTCCCCTCCTGGCAGCAGAGCTGGGCTAGAGAGGCCCTGGCCAGCAACCGTGTGGGACTGGTGTCCTAGGTCCTGTATCAGACAACTGTCACCAAGACCAGCCTTCGAGGTTATTAGGCCCTTACGTGAGTAAAATCTCCTGTGTTCATTTTCATTTTCTGAAAAAAACAAAAAGATAAAGGAAGAGAGAGAGTGAGAGAGATACTGAGGTGGTTTTGACAAATTTGAAGTGGTTATTTAACCCTGCTTCCAACCCCAGCACTACATAGATGCAGTGCACTTGGAAGGGTTGGGGGACCTGGACCCAGTTTCCTCATCAATGAAATGGACTGGGGGTCCTGGGGGTCCTGGGAGTCTGTGTGGTAGGGACAGGGTCTTGGTCAGCATGTGGGGGTGAGGCTGGGGAGGACACTGGGTCAAAACCCTGTTGCCACAGAGGCTAGGAGCCCACTCTGACACTCACCATCTTCCACGGGCTTCTCGGCAACCTGAGACTGTTCCTGGCCTTCAGGTTTGGTGACCACCATGGACGTGAGGGGGGTGACAAAGCTGTAGTTGAGCGACAAGCCCAGGGCTTGGGTCTCGAGGGCCTGCTTCTCAGCATCTGACGCAGAAACCCTGCCGGTGGAGAGCGTGGGAGGCTCAGCAGGTCTGCGGGTGCCCGTCCCCTTCTCCCTCCCTTCCAGACCTCGGCGGGGGGAACGGTTCCTGCCGGGAGAGTCTGAGCTCACACACACCATGCCCCCCTCCACGCCTAGGTGCCCCGTGCCAGCTGTGCTACCCCACTCGTGAAGAGCTCGGGGAGGCCCGGAGACCCGGTGTGGCTGCCCAGTGGGTCCTCAGGGGGGTGGCCACCCACATTTTCTCCAGCAGTTGCTGGATGGTCAGGTACGCCCAGAGCCTCTCCATGAAGCCGTGGAAGATGTACTTGGGGCTTCGGAACTCCTCCTCCTGCTCTGCCACCTTGGACTCCATTTGGAAGGTGAGGTTCTGCCTGGGCTGGAAAGAGGGGCTTGGCCAGGACGGGCGCAGTGAGGGCCCGACGCCCACACCTGGCCTGGCATTTCCGGGCACTTCCATGAGAAACCTGGTTGGGGCTGGGGCAGGTCCCGTGCACTGGCTGAAGGACCACATTTCCTTTGAGTAGAGTGGGGAACAGGGAGGGAGTTGAGGGGTATGAGGGGCTCAGCCTCACAGTCCCCAAGGATAAGGGGGTGGAGAGAAGAGGCAGAAACTCTCACGTAAGCATGGAAGGTGCAGAGCCGGAGGCTCAGGTCAAGTGGGAGGAAGGAAAACGAGGATGGGATCTGGGCCCCAGGCCGGCGCGAAAACAGCAGCAAATGCAGGTTAGAGCGGAAAGGGCCCCAGACATCCCCCCCCCCCAAGGGAACTGGGGGAGGGAGAAGCACCTTCCCCGGCAGTCAGTGGCAGAGTTGGAAAGAGAATTCAGGTGTCACGGCCCTGATAGGCTTTGGGGCCCCATCCCAATAAGCTGTCCCTTTGACCAAGCTGGTACCCTCGGCTGGGACTGGGCACTGTCCAGTGGTGACAGGGAGGGGTGTGCCCAAGTTCCAGGTGGACTGCTGCTTCTTTCCCCAGGGTGCGGCCTCCTTGTCTCGGGCTGCCTGGCCAGCAGCCTGGGGAATGGGGTCTGGGGGCAGAGCAGCTCCATCCCTCTCTCGTCACAGCTTCCACGGCAGCCGAGAACCTTTGCAGCGTGGACCAGATCCCATCCCTGCTGCTGGAAACATGCTCCTCTGTCTCTCACCAGAGCGGGGCCTCCCAAACCTTTGTCACCCGCAGGCCACCTGCACAGATGTCGTCCTATCCACACGCACAGCTAGTTAATTGATGGTTTTCCTTAAATGAACGTTAAATAGACCAACACTCTTCACTTTGGCCTTGTCCCAAGCTATGATACCAGTGAAATCCTAGGTCTGGGTTTGAGGTCTATTTCTCAGAAGACACATTGTGATAAACATGACTACTGAGATACAGACAAGTTGTGACTCCCACTTCGGGAGCTCCTGGCCTCCAGGACAACCCCAGCAGCTAACATGTGTGAGATGCTCACCTTGGCCAGAAGCTAAGCCCACAGCGTCATACAAGGTGGATAAGGTGACCACTTCTCCTTTTCACACGAGGAAACTGAGGCCCAGGGAGATTAGATGACTCCCCAGGCTTCACCCCCGGGAAGTGGCAGAGAGGGGTTTGAAGCCAGGCTTCTGGTCACCCTACATGTACTGCTTATTATGACACACGGCCCTGGGCCCACCATGCCCTCCTGCGTTGTCCACCTGCTGTTCTCCCCACACATCCTGCCTGCCGGCCATGCAAGCCTGAAACTCCTCCATCCCTTCGCCATCTGGCTCCTGCCACCTCCTACTCATCCCATCTCAGCGGAGCCTCCTCCAGGAAGCCTCTGGTCCCCAGGCCCGGTCGGGGCTCCGTGCCACTCCTCTGAGTCCCCGGCTCATCCTCGCAGGGACACCCTAGCCTGCAAGTCCTTGTTGTGCGACGATTTACTTGCGGTCTCTCCCTTGAGGGCAGTGTCCTTGATTTGGGTCTAGAGAAGGATCTGGCTCAGAGTAGGTGCTCAGTTTCTCTCTGTGGAACGAGAGGGTCCCCTGCGGCACAGAGGCAGGGAGGACTGGGCAAGGACAGGGCCCCCTGTGGAAAGCCGGGCTCTTGACTGAGCTGTGGTGGGCCCAGGGCAAGTTGGACCTTCGCCTGCTCGTCTGTGAGGTGGGAGCAGCCCTGCCTGCCCGCTGCAGGCTCAGCTGGCTGGTGTGAGGACTGGGGGGACGCCAGCACCCGCTGCCCTCGGGCACAGCAGCGCAGACTGACTGCGGAGGGCCCACCACGGGCAGGCAAGCACAGGCGCTCTCAGGAGAATCGCGGCATGATCTCATTGAAGATCCACCACTGGCTCGTGCACAGTGGCAGCGACCACTCTGAAACTTGCTCAAGGTCAGTCGACGAGTCTGACAGGGCTGGGGTTGAACCCAGCCCCTCTGAACGCCTGCTCCAGCCTCCCTTGCCCTCCGGATGACTGGCCACACTCACCAGCTGCCCACGGACTTTGGCGAAGAGCACATCGGGGCTCTGGCCCTGGAGCTTCCCAGCCACCACCATCTCGGAGCCCTTGAAGAACAGCCGGAAGTTGTCCTGCGTGACCTCCACGGCGTTGCTCGGGTACTCGAAGCTCACCGCTGTGAGCAGTGGGTTGGCCACTTCCTGGAAGAAGTCCTGCAGGGAAGGGGGTGTCAGGAGGGCCGGGCAGGGTCTGCCCTCCTGGCTGAGCCATCGCTGCCTCACGCAGCCCCCAGGGGCAGGCGGGCACCTGCAGCTGCAGGGCAGAGTCCGAGTCCTCGTAGATGCGCCGAGCCAGGCCGCCGTTTTCCAGAGCCATCTTCTCCAGGAAGGCGAAGCTGACGTCGAAGCCGAAGCCCAGGCAGAAGAGGCTGTACTGGCCGTCTATGGCATTCTTCACGTTCTTCTGGATCTCCGTGGGGTTGGTCTCGCCTGGACCCAGCGGTTGGGGACAGGGGTGAGAAAACAGAGCCAGAGAGGCCTCAGGGACCTCCTCCCTTTCCCAGGTCCCACAGCAAGCCAGGGTGGAGCCCGGGCCGCTCCCTCTGGGCAGTGTGCCCCGGAGCTGTTGGCAGTGCCCTCACCAGCGGTGGGGTCGCCATCAGTGAGAAGGATGATGAGAGAGACGCTCTCTGAGGACAGCAGCTCCTCCCGGGTGGCTTTCTTCAGCAGCTCCACGGCCATCAGCATCGCATCGTTTATGTTGGTCGCTGAGGGGCACACACTCTTAGGATGGCTCCCAGCAAGGGCTCAGTGCCCGGACCCCCCGCCCTGCAGGGCTGCGTGGCGCTCACATCCGCTGGCTTGGATGCTGGCAGTGTAGCTCTTGGCCTCCTTCACGTTCTCAGCTGAAGCTGGCACCAGCAAAGGCTTCCACTGGGTCGCTTGCCCGCTGAAGCTAATGAGGTTGAACTGGTCTGTGGGCTTGAGGTCCTCTAGGATCTTGATTAGGGCTTCCCGGGTCTGGTCAGGGGAAGGGGAGGCAAAGTAGGTGACTCAGTGGGGCCCCTTGGGTGTTCATGTGCCTTTGGGCTGCACCTCCAGGCCCGCACCTGGAGTGGGGACATGGTGAATGCTCTAGGGGTAGGACCAGCCCCAAGTTCTGACCAATCTCTACACCCTGGGATCCCTCCACCCAGGAAGATGGAGAAGGGAGGGTCTGCCTGCTGGACCAGAGCTGATGCTGTGAGGCATCGGAGAGTTTTCAGGGCCCACCCTGGCCTAGGGGACCCACCTGCTGCATTTTCTTGCCACTCATGGAGCCACTCTTGTCGATGACAAAGATCACATTCTTGGGTATCGTGGACAGGCCCTCGGGGGCAAAGTAGTGCACAAAGTAGCCATTCTCGATCTGTGACCAGAGTGTGATCCACCCAGGTGATGAGAGCTGCAGGCCTGCCCTGCCCTGCCGCCACCCTTCCTCCTCACCCCAATCCTCAGGTCCTCATGCTCTCTTCATGTAAGCCCCTCCGTTGCTGTCCCATTGTTAACCTCCCGAAACCCTCACTATCTTTTAGGACTCAGTCCAGCCACTCTCTTGCTGAAGCCATCCTGCTCAGGCATGGCTCGCTAGAACTTTACCTCCTATTTGTTTGAATATTTGAGGCAGTTTATACTAAATGGTTCAGAAATAATAAACCTGAGATCCATCGAAAGAATGAAGACTCTAAAAGCAAGGTCCATCGGAAGAGTAAAGGAGAAGCACAGCGCTGCCAGAACATCTGTGAAAGGAGCTATTGCAGTTGAGCATAAAACTGATCTGTGAGCCTCCTGGCATCCCAGGCAAGAAGGGAAACCCTGCAGGGCAGTTCTTTAGCAGAGACAAAATGTTTTGCCTCTGACAGGGAATTCTTTCAGGGACAGCATAACTAAGCTGCTGTTTTCTGTCTGTGTTGCCTTTGGTGTGCATCGAAAAGCAGCAGCGGTTTTTTGCCTTTTCTTCTAGAACACCCAGGCTGAGGCTCTTGAGGATGGACTTCCTGGTTACTCTGCTCTCCCCGGGAGCCCATGCACCTGAATGGAGCCTCCAGAGAGGGTCCGGTTCACATCATAGCGGACGATGAAGTTGCCATCCACAACTGTGTCCTGTTGCTCCGGAGACTTCTGTTGCTGGGAGAGTGTCGGCTTGAACTGTATGTGAGCCTGGAGAAACGACTGGGCTGAAGTTGGGAGGAACAGCGAGGCTGTGACAACACCCCGCTCACCCCATCTGACGTGAGAATTCCAGGACGCAGCTCTGGGTCAAACCCAGGGAACTTTCTCTCAGGCTGGGCTGTCAGACAGCCTCAGTACAGTGGGTGGGTTGTGAGATTGGAGCCCTTGCTCTTGGAGCTGTGCAAGCTGGGCTCAGGATGGGTACGATCCAGCTACCTCCTCCTTTCCCCCTGGTCCTGGGACCCTCACATCACTGTCCTCTGCAAGTCCGTCTCCCCCGATCTCAGGGTTCAACAAGCACCCGCCATTCTCCTCTAGGCCTTGCCCTCGCGTCTGCCACGTGTCAGCATGGCACAGAGACCTCAGCAGTCTATCCAGCTTAGAGATTCTGGTCAACTGTCCCACTCTCTGGAAATCCAGGCTCGTAGAGCTGGCCTGAAGATGGTCCCTTGGTACCCTCACCCGCCGACTGGCAGGCCCACCTTGGTCTGGTTCACGGAGGTGGTGAGGGCCTCTTCAAGTTCATTGGTCATGAAGGTGCTCTCTGTCTCCAGAAAGCGGATGCCTTGAGGCTCAAAGATGTGAATGTCCATCTGGAGGCAAGAAGTGGGTCACAGGGTTAGCCAGGAGCCAGGGATGGGCCTCACAAGAGGCAAAGGGAGGAGGGGCCGCCTTCAGCAATGCAGGGGTCATCCAGGAGGCCTCCTGGGAGGAGGCAGCACCAGATACCTGCAGGTGCTTGACCAGCTGCTGGGGCCGGACTTTCAGCAGCAGCTCGTACATCCCCAGTTGCCGCTTGAGCAATTCCTCATATACCAGCTGGAAGGTGACCTTGGCAGAGGGAGCCACGCTGACCGATACCTGGAACTGTTCCATCTTTCTCCCAGTGGCCCTGGGGAAGGAGCACCAGGTAGGGTGTGGACACCGGACGTGAGAACAGAACTAAAGGCAGGGGCAGCTTCTGTCCCACCCCCTGCGCGGTCCCCCTCACCCCCTTGGGCTCACTTGACAAGGCCAGCGCTCTCTCCTCTGGCCACGGCTGCACTGTACTGTTCCTGGGCTGCTTCCTTCTGCTTGATGTTCCCTGGATAGGTCACGCCGTCGATGATCCTGGAGCAGGAGGGCAGGTGTTGTCAAGAGGCTGGTGGGTGCAGCCCACTCCAATCACACCTCCTCCAGGAAGCCTCTCTGGGACTGGATGTGCCTCTTGATAGAGGGACTCTTACCTTTACCGGACCTCATCCCTGTTGACTATGCTCCTACTGTGTACAAGACTCTGTGCAGGACCCTGGTAAGGGCAGGGGAACTCTGCAAGGTATGCCAGGCCGCCTACGCGAGGCACGCGCAGTGTGAGAGAACATTCGTTCACTGAAGACGGAGGGAGGCTGCAGAGGCAGGGCGGAGCTACGTCCTGGCTTCTCTTCTCCCTTCCACTCTGGCCCCACATTCCAACTGCCCCCTCCAAGTCATAGACTGTTTCCAGAGGAACTGGGCAACCACTAGCGAGAGCCTTCTGAGCTGCCTTTGCACCCAGCCTCGTGTCCAGCTGGGCGGACTGAGGAGGGAGGTACCCACCTCCCAGGCCGGTGGGAGACTGAAAGGCTCTGAACCCTGCGCCCATGAGCACAGGGCAGGGTGCTCTGCAGACAGGGCGGCCTCTGGGGAAGTAGGTTTGGACAACTGCTGGATGGGACTCCCAGGGGAGTAGACGATCCTAGCGGCTGTTCTTGGGGACTGAGAACTGCCTGGGCTGGTCCTCTGGAAGGAAACGGCTGTCCTAGGACGCCCTCATGGGGTGGGTAGAGCTGTGGCAGGCAACGAGCCTGCCCCCCCCCTCCCCGGGGGGTGGGTGTCTGCAAGGGTGGGAGGGGCAGCCAGGACCCAGTGTTCCTCCTTCCTACCATCCTGACCTTCTGGTCATAATTTAACCCTGGGCCAGGGATGGGCTAGTACGTGGGTTTCAGGGTTTCTCCTCCCAGAGGCTTAGTTGGGATCCCTGCCAGGTCGGGGAGCAGGACACCCTGTCCCCACATTTCCTTATCTCATGCAGCAACAGGATCTGGGCCCAGAAAGGGGTACAAGTCCTGGGCTCTCAGCAGATGATGGGGCTTGGCGCCTCCCAGCCTGGGGGCCGTGGCACCCAGGTGGGGGCCGGCGCAGCGAGTTGAGAAGCACAGGCCCTGGCTCTGAGGGGCGGGGAGGAGCCCCACAGGGATCCAGCCCACTGCAGTTTTTAGAGGTCCCAGGGCACACGGGGGACCCTGCCTAAGACACGTTCACTTTCTGCTTCACCCATCACCCTCCATGAGTTCCGGCCTCTCCTGGCCTGTCCTCACGGCCTCTCCTGTGGGAAAGGACAGATAGAGTTCTCCCGAGTTCAGCAAACATTGCAAAACTGAGTCAAGAAGGCGGGGAGGACAGCAGAAGACAAGGTGAGGATCGTCAGCTTGCCTAGTCCACAGGAGCCCCAGGGGCCTCCCAATGCAGCCTCTGACCCACGGAAGACATGCCCTTTCTGCAGTATCCCAGTGAGGGTGAGGGGACTAGCCTGGCTTGGAACTTCCGGTGACAAGGAGGTCCCCCACCTCAAGGTGTCACTCCATTGTGGGGCAGCCCAGGGGTTAGAAAGTTTTCTGTATCCAGAGCTGGAATCTGCCTTTTGGTGACTCGCTCCTGCCTGGGTCTGGCCTCAGGATGCTCCAAGTCTGTGCTCCTCAAGGGTAAAGACACAAAAATGCTGTCGTTCTCCACCTGACACCAGGGCCTGACAGAGGGATGGATGGGGAAGGGAGGGATGGAGGGATGAATGGAGGGATGGAAGGAGGGAGGGATGGCAGGAGAGATAAATGAAGGGATGGCTGAAGAGAGGGAGGGATGAAGAGAGGGATGGAGAGGTGGATGGAGGGCTGGGTGGAGGGAAGAATAGATGGAGGGACAGATGGAATACATGGATGGAAGGATGAATGGATAGAGGGATGGATGGAGGGATGGAGAGAAGGGAGTGGGGGATGAGGGAAGGTAGAAACCTCTCTGAGAATGCACAAGTTCCTGGGTCGTCTCTGGTTCCCTGTGCTGCCTACAGGTGGAGCGTACACACCTCACACCAGGAAGAGGTGGGGTGGCAGTGCTGGGTTGGGGAGGGACAAGGCGCGGGCAGGAAGGCACCTACATAGAGTAGTTGGTGATGAAGGCTTTCTTGGGCAGCTCTATCTGGAAGGTGGCCTCCTGTGCAGCATCGGCTTTGTTGACCACCCGGCTGGTGATGACCGTGTGGGCGAACCGGGATGAGACCTTGGAGTCCACAGTGAGGCTGTAGATGTCGATGCCATCCTGCACCAGGGAAGGGGGAAGGGTGGGGTTGTGTCAGCGCCAGCCCAGCTTGGGGCAACACTCTTGAAGAGCGGGCCCGACCTAGGTCCCGAACCAAGCCCTGGCCACCAACCCCGACCGAGCGCTGGTCAGGCCTCAGGCTGAGCCTTGTGAGGTCTTTCACGTGTGAGCCTTTCTCTCGGGTAAGAGGCAGCCCTGTGCTCTGTTCCCCATCCGTGTGCCACAGGCAGGGGCTCAGGGACAGTCTGGCAACACGTGGAGGGAAGGGGTAGAGCCTGAGCCCCGTGTGTCTGGGAGGGGCTCTCACTTATCCCGGCCCTGGCGAGATCAGGAAGCTTGAGGCCTTAGCTCCAGCCATAAAAGGCAGTGACCAGGTCCTTCAATTTCTGGTGACCTTGGCCTCCACGGAAACTGAGGAAAACGGTTCCTTCCGCCTCCCACAGGGGCCTAAGGGCGCTGGGAGAACCTGCGGTAAGGAGGGCCTAGTCTCTGAGAGCTGGGAATCGGCTTCCTGATCCCCCCTCCCTGCAGCCGTGGACCCCACCCCCAGCTGCCCGCCCTGCAGCGTAGGCCCTGGCCCTGACTGGAGAGAGGGTCAGTCCCCTCAGGTCACTGACCCAGGCACATGCTCTTCGACCCAGGTCTAAGGTTCACATGTGCACAGAAGAGGAGCCTCACACACCCTCTGCCTGCCTGCACACGACACCTGTGCACTCACCAACTCTGTTCACCTGCACACGCAGCTGGCAGAGGTGGGTGCCGGCCGAGCGGCGTGTGCACACACAGGGCTGTCTGCTGACTTCCTGGTGCTGCACGTTTCCTCTCCACAACAACCCTCCCACTTGGTTCTGTTACTACCCCGTTTCACAGACAGGACAGCGAGACGGAGGAAGTGTCACTTCCTTGAGGCCTCCCAGCCAGGGAGAGGTAGAGCTGGCTCGGGAAGCCCACTCCCACCCTCCCCACCCACCGCCGGCCCCCAGGACAACTTGCTAACCTGCAGTCCTCACCTGGAACGTGGGAATAGGCTCACCCCTTCGAGCAAATGGGAGTGTCCACCAAGCCCTCGGGGCAGTGCCTGGCGCATGGTCAGCACCATTTCTGTGCATACGCCCGGTCTGTGCTCCCTAGTACTTACACGCGCACACACAGGCTCTCCTCCACTTCACTCACCACCAGCTCCCACCACTCACACTCTGGTGCGCACACAGGTGTCTGCGGCACCGGCTACCTTTTGGGCACAGGTGGTCTGGAGGACAGCCAGCAGCGAGAGGAGGGCCAGCCGGATGCCGCAGGCACGGGCAGGGGCTGGGGTCTTCATTTGGGCTCCAGTGCCTGGCAGGCTGCTTCTGAATTTGAGAGAAAGTGGGGAATGAATTAGTAACTCGCCGGCTGCTCCGCCCCTGTGGGGGCGGGTTCTGGGAAATTGGGATCTACAAGCCAAAACCTGCAGTGGCCTCAGATAAACAGGCGAACTGCGAATGTCCTGTGGACCTTGGCTGGGGACAGAAACATGTACAGTAAGTCCTCAGTGTCATCAGGATGGGTTCTTGGAAACTGCACCATTCAGTGATACGGGGTATGTTTGGCTCGAGACTAAGTGATATCAATGAGTTTGGCTCTTGTGGCACAGTTCTGGTCACAGAAACGTCACCACACTTCTAAATAAAAACCCAAAGCACTTGTACTATCAAACATGGAAACAAATGTGAGCTATACGTATATTTAAGAGAGATTGATGAGGACATAGACAACAGTGCTGGGGACGGGGCAAGGGAGGAGGATGTCAATGGGGGAAAAAAGAAGCATCTGTAACAAAAATAAATAAATTAAAAATTAAAAAAAAATAAAGCTTTAGGAAGAAGAAGAAAAAGACTGATCAAGATAAGATCATGCTTTTCCAACTCGCTTGTTACGGTTCAGGGCTTCAGGTGCCAAGCCTTCCCCAGAGGCTCAGGAATAAGGTGGGACCCGGCTGGGACAAGACCCCTTCCACTGAAGGTCGCACACCACTGGGCTGGGACACGGTGGACAAGCCAGCCCCCTCCTGTGCACATCTTCGGATGCGGGAGGAGACTGGAGGACATGGAGGAAACCCACACAGACATGGGGAGGACGTGCAAACTCCATAGTGGCCCAGCCAGGAGTAGCTTTTTTTCCCTCATCAACATTATAACCAAAAGAGACTGAATACGACGACATTCTTCAAGGACCTGCTGTACCGAGGAAAGGCAGGCTCAGGTGGGAGCCGGGTACTGGCATCCTTCTGCAAGGTCTAGAACCTCCCCAGGTCACCGCCATCCTTCACACCAGTCGGCCCACCAAGCTCTTGGAGCGGGGGGACACAGCGGTGAACCAGCCACTCGCCATAAGCCCAGCCTGGGGCACACCAAGGGATGCTGGGAAGAGGAGCTCGCGAGCCTGGTTGCTGAGTGGCAGTGGGGCCCCAAGGCCCTGAGCACCTCTTGGGGTGTCTGAGTGGGGCAAGATCTGCCTGGGCCAAGGGAGGATGGATCCACCTTATTTTGGGGTGAGAAAGGCTGGGACCAGGAGACCCCTTCTCTCTCCTGGGGCCCCAGGTTGCTGCTCAGGCTGCATTCATCTAGCCAGGGCTCTCGGTTCACCTCCAGTGAGACCCCCGACACGAGCCCTCACTTGGGCAGTTCAAACCGAGAGCCGTCAAGATGCCCACACCTCGTAGCCCAGCAGCCTTTCTCTGGGGAGTTTACTGAACGAGTGAACAGAAGAGAAAGGACAGAGCTCCCAAAGGGGGCCATTCAGTGTGCTGGCGTGTGCACGCGGGTGGCCCACGTGGAGGTCAGCCCTGCCAAGGGAGTCCACGCATCATGGAGTGAGAGAAAAAGGGTAGGTCACCGATCCGTCTGCACACCAACGTAGTGCCCTTGTCCTGAGTCCAGACCCATGGGAGGATGGGCCCAGGACCTGGGGTAGCATTACTGACGACTTTGTTCGGTTTTCCTTTAATAAAGTTGAAATGCTTTTAAAATAAATAGCAATAAAGTGACTAGGGGGTCTAGACGCAGCTGGTGCTTGTGTCCCTGGTGGCGCTGGGAAAGCCCAGCTCCCAGGCCAGTGGCCACCGATGGTGATACTTCAGAAACGTGTGGCCAGGTGCCAAAGCCTGGGGCGGGTAAGGACTCCGTGACACTAGCTCTGGGAGGAGGGGCAGTTATCTTGGGACCCTGGGCAGTGACTGGCTTGCGGAGGGCTGCCCCGGTCAAAGGCAGCAGCACCTGGGCCTGGGGGATGGACGTCACGGACTGTCAGCTGCTGCTGCAGTACCAGTTCCCCTTCCTTCTCGTGACTCCAGCCAGAAGCCTCACCTCTGTGCATAGCTCACACACGCTTGTCCGTTGGCTCTGATGTGATTGGGACTACACAGGGGGACATACCCCTTCTGCAATTTGGGGGAACAGCCACCCCAAGGAGCCCAGTGAGCAGGCTCGGCCCTGTCCCCACAGAAGGTCTGCTCCCTTGGGGCAGAAAGCACAGGCCCAGCCTGGAACAGCTATATAAGGAGGCCAGGCTGGCCCGGAACGTGGGAAAGGCTCTGAGCAGCCAGCTCCACCTGCCCAGGGGACAGGCTGGGCCCCCCCGCAGGCACAGCCCCGAGCCAGGCACTGCGAGCCCAGGCCCTGCCAGGCAGCCCTGGGCTGTCCCTGGTCTTGCTGCAACAGCTGGACAGGCCCCTGTTGTCCCCGAATCTGAGCTCCGTGCACAAAGGGGACGCGGGGCCTGAAGGGGAAAGGGTGGCAGAGTCCGGAACAGGGCAGGCCCAGGGCTCAGGCGGGGATGGAAGTGGTAGGGGAGTTTGGGAGAAGGGAGCAGCTCGGCGCAGACTGCCACTGGCCACAGGAGCCTTGTCTTTGAGGGACGCAAGATGGCAAGGAGGCTGTACAGGGGTACGGGGGAGGGGGCCTGTGAGGTCCCTGGCTCCTGCAGAGAAACATCTCAATGGCTTCTGCAGAAGGCGGGGATGGGGGGAAGGGTCTGGAGGGGTCACGCCATGGCCCCACCTGCTTCTGAGTGATCTCACTGTGGCCTGTTTTAGGCAATAGGCTCCGTCAACTCTCGTCATATATAAGGGAACCTGAGCCTCAGAAGTGCCGGTGGTCTGAAGCCACACAGATCAGCACCAGATCTCCACATCCAAGGCTCTTTCCAGTACGTAGCAGTGGCCACGACAGCACATTCTCCTCAAGGACCCTCTCAAAAGACATGAAGGGGACAGAACATGCCCCACACCCCATCCTGCCGCCCCCTCCCCTGCACTTAGGGGCCATGGCCAGTTCCAACCAATATCCTCCAAATGCTGGGGCCACTTGGGCATCCTCTTTATTGGTGTTTCCCAGGTGCTGGTGCAGAGTCCTGGGCTGCGGGGCCAGGGCTAAGGGGGAGGTGGCAGCCCCAGAGGCAGGGGAACAGGGGAGTTCTGGCATCAGTGTCCTGGGAAGACCCGTGTCTAGGTGTTGGCAGAGTCCAGGGCGTGGTGTGCACTTCTCAGCCGAAGACACTCTTGGCAGGTCCAGCTTTGGGCTTCTCAAAGACGGTCTCAGTGCCAGTCCGGGCGCGGCTGAACACGGACGGGGCGGCGCTGCCAGCTTGTTCTGCAGGGAGGGTGGGAGGTGTGCTCAGGGCCAGCCCTGCCTCCGGGAGGGAAGGCTTCTTCTGTGAGGAGCCCGCGCACAGCTCTGGACTCTTAGAAAGGACCCATGAGACCTCCACCCATGCCCTCCTACGGACACACATCTGCACCCCACCCCAGCACCCTGAGATCACTCACCACACTCCCGCATGACCTGGTAGGTCTTGGACTTGATGGCCTGGTTCTTGGCCAGGTTCCCTCGGGCCCCCTTCAGGTCCTCCTCCTTCACAGGGGGGCGCTTCTTCTTGGTGGGCGCTTCCTCACTGCCAGCCTGAGACACCAGAGCGTCTTACACCCGGAGGCCTCGGGCTAAGACCCCGCTCCCACCTCGGCCCTGCTGGAGACCCCTCTTCCCTGCGCACTGAATTCAAGCCAACTCAAGGCCTCACTCTTCCGGGAAGTCTTCCTGACTATTCATCACCCTCTGACCCCAACCCGTCTGTCCTTCCCGCGGCCTGGGAGCTGTGGGGCTGTGGCTGCGGGGGCCTCACTGCCCCTGGCCGAGCTCAGGCTGGGGCTCCGGGCCACGGGGAAAGCGACAGGCTTCGAGGCTATATCACGAGCTTTGGTGGACACCAAAGCCTGCTCTCGGGTGGTGGCAGGGGGTCCCTTGGGCGTTGCCCCTCTTCTCCCAAACTGTCAGTGTTTACCTGGTGTACTCTGGAGTGGGAATGGGGTAGGGAAGTCAGAGACTCATGAAGCCACAGTCCAAAGTCAGCATCCATGCACGGAGCAGGCAGAAAGGACAACCCTCCCCTCAGCAGGCTGGTCTGTCTGTCCCTCCAAAGCTGGGGATACCCAGACTCAGTGCCTACTCTCCCCCTCAACCCCAGGTGCCTGGGAGTCTGAGGCCTTCCTTCTTCCCAAGCCCTAGGGGCAGGTGAAGACTCCCTGGTACCTGAGCCGGGCCGGGCTCCTGGGCAACAGGCTACACCCTGCACAAGAACATCCTGCTGGAGACACCTGGGCAGAGCTGCACACCCACAGGTCCTGCCTCACATGTGTACAAACACACGTACACACACAGACACAGCTACAAATGTGCACAAACTCCAAGTCATACAAGCTGCTTCCTCACACACAAAAGCACACTCCCCCCCCCCCCCCACCAACAAACCATGGAAACCACTAAACTCAAGCTGAACAGGGTCCCGTGGATAAGCTGGGCGGAGGGCTCTCCTCCCCGAGCCCTGGCCTCCCAGGGGCTGCAGAGCTTCCTGTGTTTACGCCTGGAGCTCAGCTTAAGACATAGCTACCAGAGATGACGGTGTCCAGCTGCCCCCCACCCCCGCACTAATAGGCCCATGCTGGGCCCTCCTACCTGGGACATGGTGGGTGCCGACGACAGCTGCTCCGAAGGCGCCTCTGGTGGGCAGCAGCTGGGGGAGAGATCTGAGCAGTGCCCAGCCCTCTTGAGCTTATATAGTCTGCTTGCCTGTCCTGGGCAGTCACTCCTCCTGCTCCGACTGGTTCCCCGATGATTCAGGTCCACACAGCCACTGGCTTCAGAGTTTATTCTCGGAGATGAGAGGGGATGGCTGAGCACTTGTGCCCAGGGGCTGCAGCCCTGGTGACACAGGCGCTGGGGAGCTTGCACCCTCAGGGGCAGCTGCTCTGCTTCCAAGCAGGAGGAGCTAGGGCTGGCAGGGACTTGTGTTTATGAACGTAGTGCTGGAATGTGTGGCAGTCGGATCTGTCCATCTGTGACAGTCCATCCCAGCGTGGGGGTGTCCGAGGAAGGGAGGGTCCTGAGCCAGCTGGACCACTGTGAGCTTGTTTTTCTCCCTACCCCTTCCCTGGATTCCAGAGGAGAGACGTTCCATCCCTGCGCAGCAGCAGGGTGGGAACTCCATGCCTGCCTCTCGGGAGCCTTGTTCTCTGCGAGCTCCCTGGGCCCTCACGGCGGACTCTGAGCACAGGGCACCCCTGGTTCACAGGTGGAGACTGTGGCCAAGGGAAGCCCGGAGAGCTCTCCATCTGTGGTTTTGCTGACACCCCTGTGCTTTGTCTGGCTCCCAGAGCACACTTAGCAAAGGGACAAAGAAGGCAGAGGGTCAAGCGTCCAGAAGGACCAGGAGGAAACTTGTGGGGAGGGCGAGCTGATGGCAGGAAACAGCACCAAGCCTCTGAGAACAGGCCACTGAAGGGCACTGGCCTGAGGACACGCAGGGCGCCGAAGAGGGTGGGAGAGAGTGACGCCCACTGCAGGTACTGAGCCATGGAGTGAGGGACAGGCCCAAGGGCTCCCTTGAAGGTCACTCAGTTCTCCGCTGCCAGCTCTTAATACCCCCACCCTTGAAGGGAAGACCCCAGCGGGACTCTAAGCCTGGTGGGTATGGGCAGTAACGTGAGATTATTTTTATCCCCGAAGGCTCCACGCTGACAGGGCCCACTAGGCTCTGACATTTGGTTATTCTAAATGCTGCCCACGGCTGTCATCCCTCAAACCCCACCCAGCTCCCTTCCTGCCTGGTACTGACCCCAGGAGGCAACTGCAAAGACTGCCAGGCTCCATCCGAGACAAGTGCTGACATGAGGAATGCCTGGCACAGCCATGGGCACCAAACCGACTCCAGACCGTGGCCAAGAGCACCGAGTGCAGGGCTGGCCTGTGAGGGCCCAGCTCCCGGTAAGGGCATCAGCATTGCCCCACAGCTGACCCTGCCCCACAGCTGGCCCTGCCCCACCCCACAGCTGGCCCTGCCCCACCCCACAGCTGACCCTGCCCCACCCTACAGCTGACCCTGCCCCACCCCACAGCTGGCCCTGCCGCACCCCACAGCTGGCCCCGCCCCACAGCTGGCCCCGCCCCACAGCTGGCCCCACCCCACCCCACAGCTGGCCCTGCCCCACCCCACAGCTGGCCCCGCCTCACAGCTGGCTCTGTCCCACAGCTGGCCCTGCCCCACCCCACAGCTGGCCCCACCCCACAGCTGGCCTTGCCCCACAGCTGGCTCTGCCCAGGGAGGAATCTGCCTTCTAGCCCTGTGGCCTCAGGGACAAGGGTTGGGATGTCCACGCCTCATGCCATCTCCCAGCACCCTTACTCCTAGGGGAGCTTTCACTCACATCAGCAGGGAAGTGGAAATGGCAAGAGCACGTCTGTGTTTTTCTCAGCAGACTTTGGTTCCCACATCTGCTCTGAGGCGATGTGAGGTCGTTTGCATTCTGTTTCTTAGGGAGAACCTTCCAACCCACTGGGGAAATTTTCTTGACCCCACTAAGCTGTTTCAACTCCAGAGAGCACACACCAACAACCACAAAAGTGATGGTTTCTTTTTTTTACAAAACTGTAATAAGATGTCAAACTTTATTGTAAACCATTTTACAATGTAAGTACATCATCGTCTTCCCTTTCATTTCAAAAATGTGTCTTTGTGAATCATAACACCACCGATTAAATACCCCCACTAGGCAGACAGTGGAAGTAGGCCATGGTTCGCTCACATAGGTCTGACTTTTAATAAACTTCAGGAAAAGAGAAATCAAATTAAACTACCCCACCCACCCAGGAGCTCAAGGTGCTGACCACAGCTGGACCAGAGTCCCCCAACGAGAACAAAGCCCTTCAGACCCAGTGTTTCACGGGGTAAAACACAGAGCGCTCCCCTCCCAGCTGGACGTGTGCAAGACTTCCAAAAGCCAGCCCTACACCCTACAAGGTGGTTGCTCGGGCTGGTGGGAGGTGCCCAGTGCCACGTAGTTGGCCTGGCTGCAAACAGGTCAGGGGATTGCAGTCTGCAGAGCAGAGTGGGCTGTTGTCCTGGGTCACCGTGAGAGGGACTTTGGCAGCAGCCTGCAGGCCTATCCTACCTATGGAAAGATGCAACTTGGCTTTGAGCCTTTATATACTTTCCCTGCAGAGGCATGACAGGTCAACGTCAACCAAGGACGCTCTGTTGCCAGGAAGGGGTGCAAGTGAAAGCTTGAGGCAGGAAGCCACCAGTGTGCCCGAGGGCTACCTGACGGGCCACAGACCTTCACCTCGCAGGTCTTCGGGCTGAGCGGACCACGAAGCCACAGCTACCAGGATCTCACCAGCACCCCTCCTCACCACTGTCCACACCCCACTGACAGCAAGAGGAAACAGGGGCCACAATAACCTCTTCCACTCAGATACGACAGGTCCACCTCGCCAGGCTACTTCCATTAGCTACAAGAAACTTGTTCATGGCCCTAACTTACAAGTTCCCACCACGGGTGGCTTGGCCAATGTCCAGATATTGACAAGTAAGATGGACAGCGAACACTATCCCATCGATGTCCTGTGGTCTCTCAAGCACAGTGATGCTTGTCATGTGGCTCAATGAGAGCTGTACCTCGTAAGGCACCTTGGAGCAGGTAGTGAGGAATTCACCCAGGGAGGGAGGACAGCTCGGGGGGAAGTCCTGGCAGACCCTCTGTATCTGCTCTCTGGGCAGCTCCACAGAAAAGGCCCCCGTGACCAGGACGCACTCCCAGGGAACACAGACTGTGTGTACCATGCACATGGGTGCACACACGCTCAGCAGGAGAGTAAGGTCAAACACATGAGGCCGCACTGCCCAAGCCCACATAGCACGAGCCCTCTGATCAGACACCATCCCCTAGTTGGCCAGCTACACAGCTGCCGCTCTGAGACTAAAGCCCTCACTGAAAACCAGGGTGTAGGGAGAAACCACCATTCACTCACAGCCTCTGTGTCCCCACACCCACTGCCCAGCAGGGCTGGATGAGCCTTGAGAAGGGCAGTCACCCGTCTGTACTGTCTCCATCTGCCAGAGTGCGGCCCTTCCACCCCATCTCCAGTGTGGAAGCGTGAGGAGCTCAAGACTGAAAACGAAGGCTGGATTCTGAGCTCAGGAAGGTACAGGAAACAGCTGTGGGCACAGGCTGTTCAAATTAAAATGGAATAGGAGTGAAAGTAAGGCGAGTCAGCGATGCCAGGGGACTGCTGTCTGCTGAACATCAGTCCTGGTCTCCCCAAACGCCGATGCTAGTGGGGGGACACCCACTAACAAAGCCAGGGGATGGGAGGGGGTGAAGGGCATAAAATGAGAGCGGCAGTGATGTGAGAAAGAAAATGGATTCCAACCTCACACGAGGCACCACCCCGCCTCGCCCCTTCTGTCCAGCTAAGATGTCCACACAGCAGTCACCTCCTGCTGCAGGCACAGGTCCCGGCTCCCTCAATCTCCCCCCACTGGCTTGTGGGCGCCCAGAGAAAACGGGTGGAGACAGAGGGACAGGCCCAGGTGCCTGGTTTAACAGCCTGGCTCACAGACCCCATCTCCATGTCCATGTAGATCTGAAGAGAAGGCTGTGGGTGGTGGGGCCTCCCTGCACCTGTCTCCCTTCCAGCTCACACCTTAGCAGCACGGTACGTTCCTCAACTCCCACGGCTGCCTCTGGCTGTGGCAACACCCTGCGCTGCTCCACGCTGCTGCTTCCGCCGCAGGGAAGTGCCGGCAGCCCTGTCCACTGGGCACCTCTACTGGCAGAGCCACAGGGCCTGCGCCCAGGCGGAGTGGGGCCGCTCCCAAGCACCTCGTTCTGCCTGCGAACGCAGCCCTCCACCGCCCTGGAGCACATGGAACACAGGCTTTTGGTCAGGCAGGCGTTCTCCAGACTCCTGTGCAAAACAAACGCATGAGCTAACGGGCCGAGGGCAGCCTGACCTGGAGCTGGGCCCAGAGGCGAGTCCTGAAGGCTGTGCCAGGGGGAGGCTGAGGCGTTTTAAGCTGTAGATTTGGGGGCTCTGAAGAGAGGCAAGGGACAGACAGGTGTGTCCTTGTAGTCCCAATTTCTCTAGACACAAAGATCTCTTAGCCTCTTTTCTTTGTCACATTTGACTAAGACCTCTGCCCTGCCAGCAGAGGTGCCCAGGAGCCACTGGGCCCGGCGGGCGCACGGCCCTGGATCCACTCTTGGCCAGCTGCCTCCTCCCGCGGCCCGGCTTCTACAGAACCACTGGGCTTGCTGGCTTCCTGCTGGGCTCATACCCAGCTTATCACAGAGTACCGAAAGTATTCCAAATAAAACCCTCGACGCTCCCTCCCACCAGGCCACAGCCCACGAAAGGCAAACAAACCCACTTCTTTGGGGATTAAAAAGAGTTTTTAAATACAATAGTATGAAAATATAACTTAAAAATACAAAAGTCAACAGCATACGGAAGACTTAAAAATCTATGTTTTGCCCATTAGTCCCATAGGAAATAAACACATACTCAAAAAACAGTAACACTGTGACAGCTCATAAAACCAGCTCTAGAAATCAATAGTTATAAAAGCCATTTCGAGTAAGAAAGCATTGTGGTTCCAACTTCGTCAATGAGTGACTTTTAGCCCAAAACACGTCACATCTTCACCCCCAAGCCTTGGGGAGAGGCTCTACCCACAGCCTGCGTGTGCGTGGGTCTTCTCCTCAATGCCACCCAGCCAGACACAGGACAGGGCTTCTAGGTCCCTCTCACAACATCGTCGGGACGACAACACACGAAGAAAACGCCTTGCTTGCATATTTGGTCAGTGTTTGTAGTGCAACTGAGTGGGGACCTCCAACTGCCACGGCCCCCGGGCGCTGGCTCCTCCTCCCTCTCAGTCAGTCTGGGAGTGGGCAGAGACAGCGACAGGATGGAGGTAGAAAGGGGTGGGGGGAGGAATGACACTGCAGAGCCACGTCTGCAGCCCGGCGGCAGGCTGGGCCCCCAAACCTGACCCCGGCACAGGAATGTGTCATACGGGCAGCCCGAAGCGATGCTTCTTTTTCTTCGCAGGCTTCAGGGGGGTCAGTCTGTGGAGGTCCTCCTCCCTGTCGGACTCCTCCATCTCGTTGTCGGCTGAGATCAGGATCTGAGGCAGCAGAGAGGCATGGATGTGAGGCACTGTCAGCGGCGCCTCTTCCTCCACCCTCCCTGGACCCAGGTCGAGGGGAGGGGCAGCCCCTCCAGGCGGCTTCAGTCTTGTGCTTCTTTGGAAGAACGATAGGGAGGCCCCCTTTACAAAATGAGATGAGCTGGCCCACTGCAGACCCCACCCATGGGCTACTAAAACCAGTGCTGAGCTGACATGCCCTGCCCTCCGAGTGCTCCCCACTTCCCCACCCCGCCTCCAGCTGGGACCAAACCCCAGTCAGCGCAAACTCCCAGGGACCTGCAGCCCAAGGTCATCCTGGCAAAACAGCCCAATCTTGACACATGGAATCCTGGGCCCTTGGAGCTGCCTCAGACACAGCACATGCAAAGGGGAAAAGCCCCTCAAAAGGAAAACGTCTGTGGGGCACACACAATGCAGGGGGTTTCAGAGCTGCTGCTTTAACCAGCTCTGTAACTTGAGGACAAACAGGAGCTCTCTGCTTCTGTGAGCCCCTGGAATGACTCGGCCTTGCAGCCAGGGCACCGGGGGCCCATACGCATTCACTGAGCACCGGGGAAGGAGGGACAGCCCAAGGGGCACCTGTGCCGGGGGAACTCATTTCACTCCAGGTCGGGGCAGTCTCACTACCTCTCCTGGGCCACACCAAGCACTCGCCCCACCCTACCCCCGCATAAGCACACCCCAGTTTCTCAGCCTGGATCAGACCTTTGCCTCCAGCTTACTTCTGTCCCTTTGTCCTGCCCCCCGGAACGCATGCTGCTCTGGCCGTGAGGACTCTTACATCACCTGAAGGCCAAACCTCATGACCACGGGTGCTCATGAGCAGCTGCTTCTGCCTGTGTCCCTGTTCCTCACCTAATGTTCCCAAAGTTCACAACCTGACTGGCCCCGGGCCAGATTCTAGGGCTCGCCCTCTCTCCTGCATCTATTCAGATTTCAAAACTCCCCCAGGTGCCCAGGGTCCTGCTAGTGCCTCGATGTCAGAACTCAGAGCAGAGCACGGTTGAGGAGCTGTGAAGACCCCGCCTTCTCCTCACCCCCAAGTGAAGGCCTCTCGGGAAGACACTGTCTCGGCCATTTCTGAGCCCTCACAGCACCCTGGCAGTGCACAGGGGGAGCTGGATGAGGGCCTCCGGCAGCCCCACCTCGCCGGCAGCACAGGCGGGTGACGAGAGGGCTGGACACACTACTGGCACCTGCTCCTGTTTATTCCAGGAGTCTCCCTCAAGTCCAAGTACATTAGGAAACTTAACTTCCTGCTGTCCCACAGGAAGGCCCATGCGACAGGAGGACGGGTCCCAGCTGGATGGGAACGGTCAGCTTCTCCCTCCCCCTGGCTGGCATGAGCAGAGGATCCTCTGGTCAGCAGCACCAGGGCTGGCCTACCTCAGACTCTGACTCCTCGTGGGACGCGGCCCTGCGGTAGCGGACCTTGCTCCCATTCCTCGAGTCCTGGTTGGCTCCCCTTTCTTCCAGTTTAGCTTTCGTCCTCCCCTTTCTCATAAGGAAATTGTCCACTACCCAAAACATCAAAGCCTGTGGGGAGGAAAGAGCAGATCACGCCAGGATAAGCGACTTGTGAACGCAGGGCCGGCAGCCCCACATCCCCCTTCCCACCCCGCTCCAGACTACGTCCTGAACTAGGGGAAGAACAAGCTATCCAATCCCCCTGCTACCTCCCACGGGTTTAAAAAGAGATTCCTAATTTCTACTTCTTTTGTTTTCTTATCCTAGAAAATCCTGCCCTACTTATCCCAAGGGGGTGTGGTGGTAACTGAGGAGACAGCCTGCCTCGGGCCTTGCCCGCCAGTAGTGGGGCCTCTACCCTGGGCCCCAGGTCTCCAGATCCTGGGCCGGCTGGCCAGCCCACTGTGCCACGTCTGTCACCCCAGGCTCTTCTATGGCTTCTCACTATATCTCCTCACTTCTAGCCAGTGTGCTCGTGGCCGAGAACAGATGTCGGGTGAATTCCTAACGAGTTTGATCTAGAAGTCACCTTACACAAGGGGTGGGACCCCTCGGCAGGAGGTCGCCTGGCAGGGAGGTCAAGACAAAGTTCCCAGGGCCCTCCAGCTGGCACAGAGGCCCTGGGCAGGGAGCTGCCTGCTGAGGAGCAATCCTGCCCCTGCCAGGCCTGGGGTGGGAAGTCACAAAGCTCACAGAGGGACCCGAGAGTGGTGAGATGTTTTCTCGGTCACATCAGAACTCTGAGCAGGAACACTGGAAGGCAGGGAGCAAACCGGGCAAAACGCAACATGGCACTGACATTGACAAAGAAGGGGACGATCAGCATGACGATGGCCAGTTTCAGGTCTGGGTTCTCGATGGGATTCAGCAGGGACACCTGTGAGAGAAGCAGACTCAGTGAGGTGGGGGAAGGCCACAGAACGTGCTTGGAAGGAGGGGCGGAGGGAAAATCACCCACGAGGCCCCGAGAGGGGGACTGCGCTTAGACATTCACCCCAGCACCTCACACCCAGGGCTGCACAGTCCCCGGATTTGACTGCTAATGAGGGACCCTCCTGGAGACCCCAGAACAGTTAGTGCTCCCTGTGGTGTGGATGTGGGAGCGAGGCCATCAGATACTGGCAGGGGGTGCCAGACAGAAACCCTGCATCCAAACACCTCCTGGAGGACAGCCCTAAAAAGCCTTTATTTTCTTAAAAATAAAACTAAGCCACAAATAAAACCAAAGGATGGACAAGCTACTTGTTTCCAAAGGCTCTTTGGCTGGTTTCATGTGGGCACATGGCGGAAGTGGGCAGTGGAGGCTTATCTGCTCAGTGCTGTGGCCAGAGGGCAGAGGGCAGGGTCAAGGGAACCTGGGGAACAATGTGTGACCAGCTAGCTGCTGCTCATGGCATCTAACGGCTCAGTTAAATCATTGGCCAAGAGAGGTGCACGTGAAGATATTTGCGAATATAAAGAACACCTCTGACATTTACTGTTGCAAGGCCTGAAGACTAATATTGGACAGGCCTGTATTTTCAATGGATTGATCTATTCCACTGGATTAATCTGGAGCAGCATTTGTGTAAGTGAAGTGGACAATGCTATGTGAAAAACTGACTAGTTACTGCTCTTGATAGGGAGCCAATAGCTGCCATATCAGATCAAATCCAGGGTGTATTCGTGGGATTAAAAAAAAAAAAAGAAACTACAAATTTGGAGTTGGGGGGTGGCAGGGGCAGGAAGTACTGTCTTAGCATCTCAAGGAGCTAAAGAGATAAGAGGCAAACCTTCTTCCACTGAAGTATTAGGAGGATGATGAAGACAACAGATTTTTCAAAAACCATGATCACGATGTAAAGAGCGCACTGTCCGACCCAGGCTCCGCACTGCAGAGGGTCTCCTGTGGGGAGAACGGGGGCTCAGTCACATGGCTCAGGCAGGGGGCTGGGGCTGGGCGAGGCCCTGCCCCTCCCCACAGCTCCCATGAGCCCCACACCAGAACCCCCACTCTAAAGCTACTTAATGAGCCCCAAAGCACCAAGAATCACCTTGGCCCAGACAGACAAATGTGGGTGTTTTAAACAAAGCCGGAGAATTCCTAATTTGGAGATACCAGAGTGACTTTTCTTTCAAGAGATTCTAAGATATAATGAAAAAGCACTGAAGTTAGCCAGTGCCTATTGCTGGAGCTCAGAGCCGGTGCTGTCCGTCGCTGGCAGCAGAAGCTGTGTTAAGCAAGACTGCTATTATTACCCACTGTTGATTTTTCCACTGACGGCGGTGCTGTCCACCCCCCCCCCCACCAGCGGCCCATGTTTTTGAATTACGAAGGCAGCAAACACCCTCTTTGTTTGTCTCCCGTCCGTCCCCACAGCCCTAAGTACAGAAATCTGACTCTGGAGGAATCCAGATTTTGTCTGGGATGGGGCACTCCAAAACTCCTTGGACTGGGGACAAGGAAGAAAAGTCCTTGAAGTCAGGACTAAGGGGCTTTGCCTTGGGGTTGACTAAGGTCCACCTGTGGTCTGTCCCATCAGTCACTATGCTTGAGAAATGAAGGAATCCACTAGTCCGCTCTGGGGGACACTCAGGCCCTGAAGTGCCTCCAGAAAGTTTCAAAAAAGGCTGATGAAGGGAGGAGGACAGCCCTTCCAGGGACAGAGCTACATCCTCAGTGACAGGCAAACCCCTCGGGATGGGCCTCTGGGGAGCAGCATACCCCCCCCCCCCCAGTGGGAGACCCAGGGGAGAGGGCGGGGTAGGGAGAGGCTGCTGGGACTGTCTGCCCACAGCTGGCCAGAAGAGGGGCTGAAGAGTAACATTTCAGGGCAGCAAAGGCCACAATCCAGCCTGAGAAAATAATTTGGCCCAGAGAGAAACCTCCAGCTTCATTTGACTCCACGGTGTTCGTAGTAACCCCTGTCCGGACACCAGCGCCAGAGGCCGCAGCCCTGCCCGAGCCTGCTCACGGCACGGGTGGGTGCACAGGGAATGCCTTCCCGCAGTGTAATGGACACACCACCAGGCCATTCCCTTTTCTGGAAAACCTCAGGGGAAGTGCAGAAAGCGTGCAGGAGACAGCACTGCCTCTTCTGAGGTCATCCCATTTATTTTCGCTTCTGGATGAGGATGCTTTTGAGCCAAGAGGTCATTTCAGAAGCACAATCTCTCCTAGCTAGATCTTCAGTGGAGTTTTATAATCCTTTCAGCCAACTACCTGACCTGACTGAGAAAAGTTCTCCGAAACAATAGATCAAAATATTCGTTAAAAACTGTTAAGACGGGACACCGAGATAGAATGCACTGGTAGGGAATGTCTCTGAATTGGGACTAGCATGTTTAAAAGTCAACAGAACAAGTGGCGACACTTAACATCAAAAGAAAACCTACTTGCTCAGAGTGCGTTTACTCCGTCTGCTCTTCAGTGTTAAGTGACTGACAAAAGGGAATGTTTTCCTCCCATCTGCCTCCTGCCCCTCACACTGCTCTGAGTTCCAGGGCCACAACTTAGCTGCAGCTGCCTCTTCTTCATTTAGATGCTTTAATAAGGAAGTTTAAAAAAAGGTGGCGAAAAAGGAAAAAATCGAGTGTAACCCACTCTCACGCCATTTCCTCCTGTGCACCCGGATCCCACGCGGCAACAGCTGGAGTAAGCGCACCTGCTGGTTTCTCTGTCTCATTAGAGTCTTACGTTCCCTGTGGCCTCATCTTTTAAGGACAGACAAGCCGGGCATTCTTGCTGTGTCATGCTTTTTACCACACCGGACACCCTCAGGTACATGGTGCTTTGTTTTGTTGTATGTCCTCAGGATAAACCACAGCGAAGGGGCCAAAAGGAGGGAACATGTCTGTATCTAGAGAGGCTTTGGAAGATGTGAGGGCAGGGATGGGCGGCAAGCCCACAAACCACTGGTGCCCATGGGACACAGACCTTGTTTTCAGGGCTTCTGCATGGGGAAGAGCAGCCCGGTCACCAAACTGCAGACGCCACGCATCGCCCGGATCCTGTCTCGCCCCTCAGGGCTGTGTGGCATTCCCCAAGTCCCATGTTCACCTTCTTCTAGGGACCATGGAAGCACCTAGAAAACAAGCCCCTCTTCTTCATTTACCTGAGAAGAGAGCTACGGGGCCTCCAGGGAACTAGGGCCTCGAGCAGGCGGCCGGTTAACAGGTGTGGCAGGTGGAATAATGGCTCCACAGAGGTGGCCACGTATTAGCCCCCAGAACCTGTGACCATGTTGGGTAACGAGGCAGAAGGGAATTAAGGTTGCGAGTCTGCTAAGACAGTCTCCTGGAATATCCGGGGGACCCAGTGTCATCACGAGGTGGTGGTGGAAGGTCAGAGCGACCGGATGTGAGAGGAACTCACCCTGCTGTTGCTGGTCTGAAGACAGGGAAGGGGCCACCAGCCAAGGACTAGGGAGGCTGGCAGGCTGGGGAAGGCAAGGGCAAGGTTCTGCCCTTCGAGACGCCAGAAGGAGCCAGTCCTGCTAACACCGTAGGTTCAGTCCATGAGACCCATGTGGGACTTCTAAATTACAGGACTGTCAAAATGAATTTGTGCTGTTTTAAGCTACCAATTTTGGGATAATTTGTTATAGGAGCAACAGAAACAAAAGAAATCACTAGAAACAGAAATCAGGTGACTGAGACCATACACTATCCTTCCTCGGCCTTGAGAAAGGGCAGCTCCCTCTGGAGACAGCCTGGTCTGAAGACTCAGGTTCCCAAAGCCGATGGCCCGAGGGCAGGGACCAAGGTGGGCCAGACAGGTAAGAGGAGGCCCGCACGGGAATGGGAAATTCAACCAACCACTGCCTTCTTTCTTCCAATCTGCTCTTGGGGACGCGGCGGAAACATGCTGGGAGCAGGTGGTGCCATGATGCCTGGTGTGTTAGGACTAGACCTATCTCCACCCCCAGGTGACTGAGGGGCATGCAGCCGGCTATGGGTGGACGTCCCGCGGGAACTGGTGAGCTACAGTTGAGCTGAGAGCCCTGTCTTCCAGAAGGGATCTTAACAGCAAGCAGCAGTTGTGAGCACTGTTCTTGGAGGTTATGGGAGAATTAGGAATGCAGGGTGGCAGCCGCATGCACCTCCTCCCCTCCCCACCCGCCTGCTGGGGAGCTTCCGGCGTCACTCCGCCCCTCCAGGTGCCTATCCTGGAATGAGGACAATGCTCCTTTGGCCCATGTTTGCTGCGGTCTGCTCTGTCCTCCGAGCTGAGGAGGGATGACCTGGAGCTCCTCGGAAGCTTTCCCTGGAGCCACAGGAGCACACGTGTCTCGGACACTATCTGAGGTCAGTGACTCATCCGGCATCCGGTAACGAGGCTAAGAAAACCCTCCCCTGAGCTCATCTCCCCTCAATGGAGACAGACAATTACTAAGATTTCTAGAAATACCCTAGCCACTCGCAGCCAGCTCCCCAGATCGGCTCCCTGTTGAAATGTCAGTCCCTAGTGAGTGTTGAGCCCTCGGGCCGGGAAAGGCGAAGGGGGATCCAGAATCCCACCCGCATTCCCGCCCTCCTCGCCCACGTGCACCTTTCATGGCAAAGGCTCCCCTCTGCTGCTCCCACTGAGAAGAGGAGCGCCTTCCCCCACAGCAGGGCCAGCTGTGAAGGGGGGAGCTGCTGTCCCCCTCCCCTGGGTCCCGCATCGCAGGCTGCAGCCAGCCGGGAGAAGGCCTCACCGGCAGCCTGCCGAGGCCACAGCTGGCCGCTTTTTCCGAGTACAGAGTAGAAGGTACCGCACTTGTGCTCAGAACTGGCACGGAGGCAGTTCCTACCCAAGATGGGTCCTATGGGTCCGACAAGATGCAAGGGGGTCAAAGCTGGGCCAGTACCCGTAAGTTGCTTGTTTCAAGTCGTGTCTCTGTGAGGATGGAACTGGTGTCCTTGGTGACTATACGTGTCAGGTGCAGGGTGGGGGGCCAGCCCACAGTTAGGAGGTAGCAACGCGACTTGGTCCCAGGGGGACGAACCCCCCAATCCTGACTTTTGAACCCCAGTCATAAAATGGCCCAATGAGAGGAGAAGCACAGACATGCAGCAGAAAGAAGGACCCCTCCTCCTGAGCACCTCTCAAACCAAGAGCCACTCCTACCTCTCTGATGAGGTGCAGCTTGGCAGAGAGGTGGCCTGCAGGCGGGGCTGCCAGTGCCCTCTGGTGGAAGCGCAAAGGTGGTCTCCCTCCCTGCAGCCAGGGTGAGAGTCTCCTGCTCCCGAGGCAGAGCCGAAGCAGTGAAGTGAACACCGCTTCAGACCTCGGGCGCTTCGATACTGGGCAGAGGGTGGCACTCAAGCCCAAGAAAAGCCCCTCCACCACAGAGAAGAGAGCCACCCACGCTGAACCTCCTCCGAACCCACTGGCCTGGAGGGCTGGATGAGGCAAGGAGCAGAAAGCCCTGCAGGAGTCCCCTGCACGCCCGCCCAGTGTGCATAGTACGTTACCATATTCGCCAAAACGCAGGGACTCCCACTGCTGCCACTCCACCAGCACGCTGACGGCACGCACGCCCACGTAGATGAGCAGCATGCCCACGGTGGCATCCAGGAGGAAGTTGATGAGGTACCTGTGAGGAGAGGACACAGTGGCACAGTCAGCGAGCAAGAGCCCCGAGTTGGCCCTGTGTGCTTTCCGGGGCCAACGACAGGGCGGGTGACCCAGCACTCTGGCCTTGTGCTGGAGGCCGGAGAGCCTTCGATAGCCGTGCAGAGCCCCAGTGAAGCACCCACGTGGTATGCGACACTCTTCAGGGACCGGACAGCTTGAGGGAGGGGTGGAGGAGAGACAAGAAACTTGAAGACCGGAAGTGCTCCTGCCGGACTCCACAGAAGACAGAGGGCCTGGAAGCAGCCAAGGGACTCAAGGGGAAGACAGAACTTCACTTGACTGTTCACTCCCTGTGTCCAGCCCAGCCATGGCCCGAGTCAGTGCCGCTGTACCGCACAGCTCAGGGAACGTCTCCGGTTCCCTAGACCGAACAGGCAGGGCCCCTGCCTGCCACGGAGACAAGTGTGCATCGGTGTTTCTGAAGAGAGAGCTTCACTTCCGCTGAAAGAGGCTGGAAGATGAAGGACGGGAGAGGAGAGGCAGGAGAGCATGCCCGCCTTGGCCACACGTTCTCGCTCTCATAAGGCCTGTTTCCACCTGGCTTACACCTCGTTCCTCACCAAGGACAGGTCCCTGGCCCACTGGCCCTCTCTCCAGGGCCCCGTACCAAGATCTCGCTGGGCACCACTGACCACAGGCCCCAGCTCTCCAGACTGCAGGGGACAAACAATCACTGGGTGGGGCTCTAGCCCTCTCAGGTGCCACATGGAGACCCCCACCCCCCGCCCCAAGCTCCACACACCACAGACCACTTGGGCTCGTGCTTCTGAGTCAGAGGCTTGAGGCATTTTATGCAGACTCAGCCCCACCCCAAGGCCCTTCGACAACAGGCACAGCCCTCCGAGACCAGAGGGGCACACTCTGCGCTGTGTGATCAGGGCCCTGGAGTGGTGAGAAGACTTGGGGGGGGGGGGCAGCATTTCTCCCTCCGGCCCTTCCTCTTTACAATCACAAGGGGTCACTCTCAGACCAGAGATGAAAGGAACAGCCTGCGGCTTCCAAGACAAGTTCTCCAAGTTCACAGCTGAGCTCTGGCCCCAGGCGATGATGCTCCTAGCAGCTCACATCTAACTGGTTTCAAGTGGTGCCCCCATCTGAGACCCACCCTGAACACTGCAAGAACACTGAACACACACAGGCCTACTACCGCCATTTATTGTGCTTCACAGACGTGCATTTTGTTGTTGTTGTTGTGTCATACTACTTTATTTAGGGGCGGGTTCCAGTGTCAGTCTTCAACAGATTTTATGTATCTCTCATATGCTTCTTCACTCATTAGTTCATCTAGTTCTGAAGGGTTACTCAACGTCATCTTGATCAGCCAACCATCTTCATTACAAGATCTGTTGACAAGTCCTGGATTTTCTGCAAGAGCTTCATTAATTTCAGTTACTTCTCCTGACAGAGGAGAATACAGTTCACCAGCAGCTTCCACACTTTCCAAAGCACCAAACTCATCTTGTTTGTTCAGTTTCGTCCCAATTTCAGGCAGACTACAGTAAACAACATCTCCCAGAGCTTCCTGTGCAAAATTGCTGATTCTCACTGTTCCAGTACCATTTTCTGTTGTTATCCATTCATGTTTTTCTGTGAATTTACACACCGAGAGCAGGAAAAATATGGAACACTTCATGAATTTGTGTGTCATCCTTGCACAGGGGCCATGCTAATCTTCTCTGTATCGTTTCAATTTTAGTATATGTGCTGCCGAAGCGAGCACCAGACGTGCATTTTTTACAAACTGAAGGCAAGACCCTCCATCAGCAAAAGTACCACCTGTTTTATTGTGATACTCGCTTGGCTGTGGGCGTCTGGAACCGAACCTGAATGCCTGAGGTCTGCCGGTACATGCGTTAGCTCACTCATCCTTCCCCAGCATGTGTTCAAGCCTACAGTGTGCCTTGGGATGAAGACAGAAAGCTCTATTCTCTGAACCCAACACAGATGGGGCGCCGTGGCAGACAGCACAGCATCGTGTGGGCCCAGAAGCCAGACTGCCTGGGTTCAAAGCCCAGCTCCATCACTCGTTTTTTTAATCATCACCGGAGGACACTTTTGCATTCATTTTCAGATAGAGCGAGAGGAAGAGAGGGAGAAAGAGAAAGAGAGAAACATTAATGTGAGAGAGACACATCGACTGGCTGCCACTCACACGACCTCCACTGGGGCCGGGGACAAACCGTAACCAAGGTACATGCCCTTAGTGGGAACCGAACCCAGGTCTCTCTGGACCGTGGGCCGATGCTTTAACCGCTGAGACAAACCGGCCAGGGCCAAGCTGTGAGCTACATCTCTCTGTGCCTTAGTTCCCCAACTGTAGACGGGAGAATCCAAGTATCGATATTGCAGGGCAGTTGAAAAGCAAGAGTTAATATATGTTGACAATACCTGCCACATTGTAAGTAAGCATGACACAGATGTGTTCTTAGAATCATAGCCCCTCAGAGTCACTGAACCCTGGATGTCGAAAGAGCTTAACTCCCACTCAAAGTAGCATCCCCAGCACAGAGCTGAAACTAGCTCCCTGTCTAGGTCTGCAGACTCCCAAGATGCCCCAGGTCTAGCCAAATCCTCATCCCATCTGTACAAAGTCACAGGGCAAAGCAATGGTGGGCCTGGAGTAAATCCCAGGGCAGTACCTGCTCCTCCGAGGCCAGGACCTCTCCCTCCCAGAGCAATGCCTGCTCTGCCTACTTGGCTCCCACCTAGCAGCCCCTCGACTGACTGCCAGAGTTCTCTGTCTTTCCGAAGTGTTTTTTTTTATCCTCACCCGAGGACATTTTTCAATATTTTGTTCAGATAGAGTGGGAAGGAGAGAAAGAGAGAGAGAAACATCAACGTGAAAGGGACACATCAAGTGGTTGGGCCGGGAACAACTGCATCCGAGGTATGCGCCCTTAATGGGAACCGAACCCGGGTCTCTCTGGACCGCAGGCCGACGCTCTAACCGCTGAGCCAGACTGGCCAGGGCTGTCTTTCCGAAGTTTTAACGACAATATCCTTCAACTGAGCTAACATCTCACTGGCAAGTGCCCCACGGCTCCGAGTGGCACTACACTCCCCATCTGATGAGACCCTTGGGGGTCCTGGGGATCTGGCAGGACACACGGGACAGAGGAGGAAGCTGAGGTTCCAAGAAGCTGCCTTTACACAGTCTGGCCTCTCAGTCAAGTGATCTCTTCACCATCCCAGGCTCTATCCTGGGCCTTTCCTCCTCCAGGCCGAGCACGCAAAATCTGTCAGCAGCCCCTGCTCCATCCTGGCTGTGGTTCAGTTTGTCCGCATCCTGCTTAAAGCATCTTCTTTTTGCTGATGCAAGGGAGAGTGACGGGGCCATGGCTGCACCAGGAGTTAGGTTTTCTCGTCCAGTGCCTCTGGGGCACAGAGGTGGCTCTCAGACTATCTCCACCAATGACATCGAGATGATTCACCAGACGATGACATAAGCTCACTGTTGGGCTCAAGGATCAGTAGGACAAGGCCCTTTCCTAACCATGTACCTGCAGGACGATCACCCGTCCAGTCCCGCTGCTTTGGGACTACACCCAAACATCCAAACAGATCACAACCTTATCCAGGTCTTACTTAAAGACTCTGGGGAGAGAGACCTCACAACTTCTTTCTTAAATCTGGGCCTAGGCTAAATCTCAACACTGCACACGATCACCAAAAAAAGAGAGAAGCTTAAAAGATTCTCCCAGTCTAAATGATCTTAAATACACAAGAAACCTCTTGGCAAGGGGCTCACCAGGCCTCCACCCCACTCTCCGAGACAGGGCAGGGCTGGCGGGCAGGCCAGGCAGAGGGCGGCTGACTAACAGAGGCAGGAGACCGCTGGCAGGGGTGAGAGCCACCAGGAGTAGCCCACCATGGCTGAAGCACCACGTCTGAGCCAGGAAAGCAGCAGATGGAGGCAGGTGAGCCTCCTTTCCCACCTCACCTGCTAAGTGAGCACCATTCAGGTGCTGTCGGCAAGGAGGACAGCAAGTCATGGCCCACGTGGGGTTTCAGGCAAATTGCTCTGGGGGCTGTGTGGAAGGCACACTGCACTGACAAGGTGGAACAACCACAGTCTTCGGGTCAAGAGGTCAAGGATGGTCAACAATGGCTTTGACCCTGAGTGGCTGACACCACAGAGAAGCCCTGTGTGTCCTGTTCCAGCACAGAGACACTCCTTCAGGGCATTATGCTGCCCAGCCAGTGGCTGCTTAGAAGCTGGGAGACATAAGGTACTAGAAAGCCAAGAAACAGAACTCAGATGGATTGGCATAAAGCCAGTGCACAGGGCAACTGTCACCAGGCAAAGCCCTAACAGCCAACAGCTGTGTGTCTGAGCTCACAGGCAGCACGCACAGAACGATCTCTCCGAGGAGCCCAGAGGACAAAGGCAAGCTGCCCTGCCCCGAGCTGGAGGAAACACGACTGGCAGCAGAGAGCAAGGCCAGCAGACATTCCCAGTGATGGGGCAGCTGATGTCTGTGCCCAAACAGGAACCACTCACAGTGAACAAGGGTCCTCTTCGGTGAGATCTGCCAGGTACACGTTGGCAAAGTGGATGAACAGCATTCCTATGGCTTGCTTGGAAGTGTCTAGAAACCTGTACAAAATAAAATCAGTGCTGTGACCACACCAACAGCAGGGTAATGTTCAATCTGGGGGAAATGCTAAGTCTAAAGTAGGAAAAATGACACTGGGAGACCCTAACTTCTAATTACCAGTCACCTCTTCCTGGGGCGTCATACTAACTCAGGCATGGCGTTTCAGCCGCCTTTCAAAACCTTCAATAACATTGCACTGAAATCCCTAAAAGGCTACTGATTAATAACATTCAGGGTAGGCGACAGGGTTTACAGTTGTTCACATGGAAAACAATACAATGATTAAAATGATACAAGAATAAACTGTTTCTCGTACTCACAATTGTAACCTATTTTTGACCCACCCTATATATTTAAACACATTAAATACATATCTAAAATATGTTTTACTTTTTTTTTTTAAAAATGTTTCTTGATTTTTTTTTGAGAGAGAGAAACATCTATGTAAGAGAGAAACATCGATCAGCTGCCTCCTGCACGCCCCCTACTGGGGATTGAGCCAAAACCCGGGCACGCGCCCTGATTGGGAATCTAACTGGGACCTTTCGGTCCAGGGATACCACTCAATCTACTAAGCCTGGCTGGGCTGTTTTCACTCTTTCATTTTTTGTTACTTCAAAGGGAAGTGTCTGACCCCAGCTTTGTGAGGAAGTCCAATCTGCCTCTATTTTAAGGAGCTCCCTTCGACTTCGCCTGCAGTGAGGTAAGTGATATGCAAGACTAACAGCCCTGCACACATCCAGGACTGCAGCCGAAGCCCTGAGCTCCAGGCAGCTGCTGGTGTCACAGTGGGCGGGACCTTTCTGTGAAGGGTCAGAGAGCAAATATTTTAGGCTTTGTGGGCTGTTGTTCTCTGTAGCAATTATTCAACTCTGCCACTGAGGCCTGAAAGCAGCCATAGTCACTACCATTCCTGTAACACTTTATTAATGAAAACAGGCAGTGAGCCAGAATGGGCCTGCAAGCTATTGTTTGCGATCCCTGGGCTAGATGACAGGAGTTTCAGAAAGGAAATAACAAGGCAGTTAGTTGCTGGACACCTTGCATCATTTCCCCCAGCCCAGCCTGTCTACATGGCAGGAGCAGGGGGAGAAGCAGGTGGAGGTGACGGGGCCTTCAGTTCCTCCTCTGCCATGAACACCTGAAGACAATTTGTGATGTGCGGCTGAGCAACCTTTGCATTGGGGCCATCTCTCACCCCCAAGGCTGAGCATCCAGAGTTGGGCGGGGCCGCTGAAGAAAGTGATGAAGGGCACACTGGCATGGGACATCCGCCACGGGGCTCAGGACTGGACCAGACTTCAGAGATGATCCAACCCGCCCTGGCCGGTTTGGCTCAGTGGTTAGAGCGTCGGCCCGCAGTTCAGAGAGACTCGGGTTCAGTTCCTACTAAGGGCATGTACCTTGGTTGCAGTTTGTCCCCAGCTCCAGCTGGGGTTGTGTGGGTGGCAGCCAGTTGATGTGTCTCTTTGACATCGATGTTTCTCTCTCTCTCTCTCTCCTTTGCCTCCCACTCTATCTGAAGATAAATGCAAAAAAAAAAAAAGTCTTCGGGTGAAGATAAAAAAACACACAAAATAACAAAAACAAAAAAAACCATAGAGATGATCCAACCCAACCCCAAGTCGGAGGCCTGAAAATCAGTTCCTAATCATGGCAAAGTAGGAGTTACCAAAGGGCAATGTGTGAAAACACAAAGTACCCCAACTCTAGGTCCTCCCTACATTCCCCCCAGCCCAAGCTCGAACCCCAGATTTGAGAAAAAATGACTGGGGGAAAATAAAAATCAAAATCAAGAACATCCAGAAATAATGCATTAAAGATCAATCAAGTATGTACTTAACATTTTATAAAGGGGCCTTTATCACAGTGATTTACCAGAAGTCTTTTCTGGAGGGGACAATGGATATTTTGTTAGGGCAGGTGCCAGCCTAAGGCAGCCCAAGGAAGATGGCTTCTGTGGACACCGTGTTGTCCTGAAGAGCTGGCTGTCTCCTTGCAAATGATTTATTTTTTGGAGTTTTCTATAGAAGCTGTCTGAAGCTTTATTGCCATTTTTGTGAAGGAAAAGCTGTCACCACAGGCTCAACTTAGGACCAAGAAAGAGTAGCTTTGGGGAGAGGAGCAATTACATGGTGTATCTGACTAATCTCCAAATTCAGATTACTTTTTGCTTATGCATATAGACTAGAGAACCCAAGCGTTTAACACAACCTAGCCTTAACTGCAGCCGACAGATGCATGTGTCTCTTCCACCTTCTAAAACCAGACCACAGAGTGATGATAAAGGGAGGGCTCTGCATTTAGCTGGGAAACAGAAATGCCCCCATATTATACATAGTTCCTAATGACTAATTCACTTAAGGGAGTCCAACACTTTGTTATGTATAATTGCTCACATTCCATCCCCTGCCCACCAAACTGGAATGAGGTCATATTTAAATACCTACCATATCCTCCATGGACGTCTTTCATGCTTTGGTTCTCTGAAGCGTTTGACTGAAAGAAAAGACAGACAGTCAGTAGCTTTCCACAAAATGCATATAACAAGCGGGGTTGTGAGGACATGCAGTGTTTACAAAGTCAAGTAAAAGGACTTGCTCCTTTAATAGGTGACACTATACAAGAGGCCATGAAGGTTGCAGAGGCCTTGTGTTGCTGTTGACAGGTACAGACTCTTCAGAACTGGACACTTAGCAAGAATGACTCCTCCCACTGTGTGGAAATTTACTGTTGTCCTCTTGTGGCAAAGCTCTCGGAGAGGGACTGCAAACCACAAAGTGGGATGTAGCTACTTCTAACTTCGGGACATGCTCTTTCCGATAATGAATCCAGCCACCCACCCAAAGGCTTGCTGAACGCTGCTCCCAGCTGGCCACTGAAGAGACTCCGGCAAAGGCAGTAGCTTAGCAGGAGGACAGGCACACAACCATGTGTGTGGCAAGTGCCAGAGAAGGGGTAAGTCTGGGGCAGGGTGAGGGCTCGAGGGAAGGCTGGAGGAAGGGTGCAGTCAGGAGAGGCCTCACTGGTGACAGGTGAGGGTCCTGAAGGCTGGGTGATTTAGCAAATGGATCAGGGAGGGGAGAGAGCTACATTCTGGACAGAGCACACACCATGAGCTCATAGGTAAGGGGCATAATGTGACAGAGTATGCCTGGCATAGTAATTTGATTTGGCTTCGAGATAGCAGGTAACAAGGGAGAAGAATAAGCAGGGGCTACATGAGGGAGGGTCTTGAATGCCAGGCTAAGGAGTCCGGAATGAATTCTGTAGGGAAAAAGACAGGAACGATGCTAAGCAAAGTCAAAGACATGGTGGGAACTGTTTTAGAAAAGCAGCTCTGAATTAGGTAGATTCAGAATCGGGTTACCGAGGGTGGAGCAGGCTGAGGACGGATGCTGCCTGTGTCACAGCCCCAGACAGGGGGACTCCCAGCTACAGGACAGCCAGCAGGGATGGGTGCTCAGCAACAGCCTGACTGACCTTGGAGGGAAAAGGGCTCCCCAGATAGACACCTTCACCATTTGAAGAGGAAACACAAGGCTTCTGCGTGCCCTGTCCTCCACTGATGCTCCAGGAAGACTACTTCCACAGGGATTCTATCTACCGAAACACAGAGTGTGCATGTGTGATGTGTTCCCACACAAAAGTACTGGGAAGAAGCAGACACGGATGCAAGCCCCTGGAGGACGCCACGTTACCACTGATAGCAGGCAGGAGTCAACTCTGGCCGAGCCCCGAGCTGCCAAAGAGGGTGCGGGGAGAGAAGAAGGGAGACAAGGAGGGAGAAAATGGTGCCCAAATCAATAAACCCTATTTCTCTAAATGAATACAGGCCGTCCACAGTTTGCAAGCAAGGGCTGTCTGTACACAGAAATGAAGTACATCTGGTGTTTAGAGAGACATTTTGATAGAGACCAAAGAGCAGGTGGAACTGTAAGGTGGTCTGTCATCCTGTTGACACATCGTACATACAAAACATCAACAGTGCTAGAGAGTCTGGAGTTGAGGTTAAGAGGTTCTGCTCGCCAGAATGGCTCTCAAGGCGGGAGGCCTCCTTCCCACAAGCACCCAGGTCTCGCGAGAGGCTGGGGGCTCAGCAAGGAGATGCAGAGGAAACCAGGGCCAGGATGTAACCATCGCGGGGGGAAGCCCCCAGTCAGGGCGGGAGCCATGTCATGTTCATTTGTTTTCCCACCTCAGCGGAATCTGTTCCCACCAGTATAAAATAAAGGACATCGAGACATATCCCAAGGAGAACATCCTCATTCTTAGGAGACACATGCTGAAGTACCAGCATGGCTGCAATTTACTTTCAAATGGTTTAGGAGAAAAATTATACATGATATAATTATATGTAATAAACACATTATAAATGGTATAATCATAATGCATTATCATTATAATAAATACAACTAATTATGTAATAAATCTATTATTTATACTAATATGATATATACTATAGAAAAGAAGCAAATGTGGTGTTATAGGCCAAACTGTGTCTCCCCTCCCAATTCATATGTTAAGGTCCTAACCCCCAGAACCTCAGAAGGTGACTGTATTTGGAAACAAGGCCTTAAAAGAGGTGATTAAGGGAAAATGCGGTCATACAGGTGGGCCCCAGTCCAACATGATTGGCATCCTTATAAGAGATTAGGACATTCTCAGAGACTGAGGGGTAACCATGTGAGGACACAGTGAGAAGGTGGCCACCTGCAAGTCAAGGACAGAGGCCTGGGAAGAAACCAAACCTGCCAATATCTTGGCCTGGGACTTCCAGCCTCCAGAACTGTGAGAAACGAATCTGTTATTAAAGCCACCCACTTTGTGGTATTTTGTTATGGCAGCTTTAGGAAACTAAGAAATGTGGCAATAACTGGTGAACCTAAATGAAGTATATTTGGGTATTCATTAAATTATTATTTAGACTTTTTAGTAGATTTAACACTTTTTGAAATAAAAGGTTGGGAGGGAAACACACTCTAGAAGAATGAACTAGCACGCCCATTCGGGGGTCACCTGGCCCCCCGAACCTGCAGTGCTCGCCAGGTATGTGCCTATGGTTACTAGTGCAACATATGCCAAGCCGTGTAGGGATCCTCAATGTAATCCTGTCGCAACAGAAACCCGGAAAGAAGCCAATGCCTGTCGATATGGGGCTGGGCGTAGACATCACGGTACAATGCAACATCAGGCAGTTACTGAACACAGGTAGGTCTGTATGGATTAACACAGAAAGATTTCCAAATTCTATTACTAGCAGAATAACATGCCCACCATGATTCTGTTCATATCCACTTAAAGGATATATATTTATGCTGGTATTAAGCATGTGCTTTTTCCCTAGAAGGGTGTGTGACTATTAATAAGGGCTACTTTTGATGAAAGGAATTATGGATTGGGGGAGTAGACTTTTTCCGTCCTTGTGAACGACTTAAACATTCTTCCATATTCATACCGCTTCCATTTCAAAAATTCAAAACCAAAAGAGAAACCCGTGTCAGAGCCGTGCTGAGGCCGCAGAGTGGGGCATGGGAGCAGCAGTGTGACTGGCAGCTGGGCTCGGGGACAAGCAAGGAAGGGGCGTGTGCCGGCCGTGCTGGGGGCGACCGCACACAGCAGCGCCTGAGAAGCCGTTCGGGGTGGGCTCAGATTCTGTTCAAGAGCAGAAGTGCGGCTCCTGCTCGCCATCTGCCACCCCCTCTCCCTACAATATTTCAGAGTCTGAAATCCTTTATTTTTAAAGCCCTGGCCGGTTTGGCTCAGCAGTTAGAGCATCAGCTGGTGGACCAGAGAGTCCTGGGTTCGGTTCCCGCTAAGGGCACGTACCTCGGTTGCAGTTTGTCCCCGGCCCTGGTTGGGTCGTATGGGTGGCAGCCACTCGATGTGTCCCTTTCACATCAATGTTTCTCTCTCTCTCTCCCCTCCCGCTCTATCTGAGGATAAATGCAAAAATGTCCTCAGATGAGGATATATACATATATATATATTTTTTTTTAATTAAAGAAGGAAGAAACATTAAAAGAACTACTCCACATCTAACTTGATAGGGGAAAGAACAAACAGAAAAATTCGTTCATCTGTCCAGTCACGTTTTATGGAGGAACCTGTTGTCCGACAGACCCGTTCGGCCAGAGATGACACAGTCCTGGCCTTCCTTCCATTCTGTTGGGGAGGGGGAGTAAAGGTGGAGCATGTCAGACTGTGACAAGTGGCACTGAGGCGGGAAAGGAGAGAGGGAAATGGGGTTTGCAGCTGTAGATGAGGAGGTCCGGAAGGAACAGAGACCTGAAGAACAGAAGGGGCATGTGAGATGGGAGGTCGGATCTCCCAGGCCTTGTGGCCAGGTGAGGGCTCCACCTTTGCCTGCGGTGACCTGGGGGTGGCAGCACAGGCCAGCGCCTCCACTGTGCTGACAGCAGCCTGAAGGGGCCCCGGTTAGAGGCCACCACACTAGCCCAGGGCGGCACGCAGAGGCTTGGCGGGTGGTGGCGGGGAGGGTGACAAGAGGTGGGGCTCTGCACTGTTCCCTGAGTTTCTGGTTTTGTGTGGGTGCTGGCGGTGGTGCCAGGTGGAGTTAAACTGGGGAGACACAAGACTCCTCTGTAGGTGAGAAACAGCTCCTCTGAGTCCTTACTGGACCACGAGCCAGGCCCCCACTCCCAGGGAAACCGGGCTGTTCTCTAGGGGGCCTGGCAGCGGCTCCCTCAGAGGCCACAAAGGAAGAAGCTCGTGGAGAGGGGCTCAGGCACAGCCCCAGACAACTGATCTCCACTGATGGTGCTTCCACAGGATGGAAGGACTCAGATGGAGCAAGAGGACAAAGCAACGCACAATCCAACCTCTAACGTTCATCTCTACCACGAGGCCCCTGAGTGGGAGGGCTGGTGGAGGGGCAGCGACCCCAGAGCAGAGGTGACGGAGCAGTGCCTGAAAGAGCCCCTGATGGGAAAAGGAGGAGAGGAGGATGGAGAGTGGGGACAGAAAGGGGTTTACTAGGGGGGCACGTGGCACACGGGGCTCAATTTGCTCCTTGATGACGCTGTGCGCCATGGCCTCCACGCGAGTGGGCTGCTAAGCAGGCCTCTGACTTCATGACACGCACCCTGAAGACAGGCATGGGGTCCCATCACCCCTGTAAAGCAGTGGTGACCAAAAGCCAGAGAGACCTAGCTTTGAGTCCTGTCTCTGCTACTATCTAGCTGTGTGAGTCTGTGTTAAAAAAGAGGGTTGGCAGTGTGCAGCTGGCGCCAGGGTTAAGGGAGAGAACCCAGGTTGGGGGCAAGCACAGAAGCCATGCTCAGCGAAGCAAACCACAATCCCTGCCCCAGGCGCTGTCTTCCCGCTCCTCTCTGTGTCCACTCTACCCAGCCCTGGGCTGAAACATCCCACGCTGGCCTCCAAGAAGCGTGTGACCTTGGGTCTGCCAGCTGCAAGCTGACTCTCCCCTTCGGCCTCCTTCCCCCCATACCTGCAGGCAGCTGAGGGGCCTCCTTGCC